ATCTATGCCATCATATTTTCGTCCAGCAAGTAAATTTTGTCCAATGTGTCAATAATTATATTTAATCCATTTGCTCCACTGATATCTGTTATTGCCAAGTGTCAAACACATTCTCTTATATTTTGTGGTAATGACAAAAACACAGCAGGGCCTTGTTTCTCCTTAGGTAAGTCCGTGAATATAGACCATATACCTATATCTTGCTTCCATTCAGCATATGCCTCTTCATTTACTAAAACAGGTGGGTGTTTTATGAAGGAAGCCATTCTTCTTTTAAATGTGTTTCAGCGTTTGCTGAACAAGACAGCTTCTTATCACACAAAAGAAGTTACGTTCTGCTACCATTGAAGATTTACTCCTTCCACAGACACCCAGTCTCAGCTAAACCGCCATCTTGTCAAAGGAAACTACAACAACAACAAACAAAGAGGAGATCAATCCAAACAGACTTGCTTTTATCTATAGACAAGAGGAGACAACTCAACAATCTTAACTCAGATTAACAGCGGCGTGAGTGAAAACACTTGGGTCCCCACGTTAAAAACTGACTTTGTGCCACAACCTGACTGTGTGTGTGTGCGTGTGTGTGTGTGTGTGTTCAAGTAAATATCTACAAATGAAGTCGTATGAGATGTAGTTTTTAATGTTAATGTTTTCATTTAGGTTGGTTTCTTGTAAACAGATAATAGAAGGATTTAAGGTTGTGAGGAGGATAAGAAGTTCATTAAAGTTGGGTTTTGTCCTACGGAAATTCCACTGAATGATTTTGTGATCCAGGACTTGCTTTTAGTATTCTTTTAGTATTCTTAATGTTTTTAGTGGGTCTATAATCCATGTCTATTTTCTCAAGCAGTTTATACCTATTTTTGGTTTCTGAATAGTTTTCCACGTTTTGGTATTCACTTGCTTTTGAGGAGGAACGTTGATGTGATTTTTTTTTTTTTTTGTGAGCTTTGTTTTTGCTTAAGTCTGTATCACCCCATGCAAGGCAGTAAAGCCACTAAGACACAAGTGGTTAGAGGGTTTGGAAGAATTAGGAACAGAAACTTAATGAGCAGGAAGATGAAAGAGTAATCAGGACAGTAGATAGTGACTGACATGGCATTTAAATTTTTACAGATTAAAGTTGGCTGGAAAGCATGGAGCTGGAAGGGAGTTCCACAAGCGAGGAAAGAAACTATTAGCATAGAACGGCTACATATAGCCAGCTCGAATGTAACCTGACGAGATCTCAATGCCAGTCTAGTACTGCACTTAAATTCAAAACGTTTAGGTACTATAGCAAAGAGCTCATCTGAACAATTACCATGAAAGTATTTATAGAAAAGACACAGAGCAGCAACCTTACAGCAGTGGGAAAGGGAATGAAGCCAAGTTGTTTTTTGGTAGATCTTCCTCTAGAGAGTTGAGAAAGATGGTTGAGATAGTGTTACTCTTTTACTTGTATTTCTACTTTTAATGACCTTGGGTTCTCTGGTTGGTGGATTCAGCTTAATAGACGAGGGTACATTTTCATTTTCTTTCTTGTTTGCCTTGTGAGAGTAGTTTTTTTTTTTTTTTTAAATGGTAAGTCTTCAGGTTCTTCTAGGGTTGCTCTTATTTCTTTTGTAAGTTTAGGCCAGTTGTCTGGTTCTATTGTCAGCAATTCCTGGAGTATGGCCTTATATGTATTTTCCCCTTGAAATTCATTCACTTCGGGTTTTACTTTTGTGATTTACTTGTATGTTGTTTGGGTTTGGTACTATCCTGCAAGCTTCAATGAAGAAGACATTCTTTGTATATTTAATCGAAATACTATTTGTTCAACTTCAACAAGAATGGTTTGATTTTTTTTAAATTTCTTAACCATTTTGGCTACTACAATTGCTGAAATGATCTTTTCAATTACAAAAGAGGTTGAAGTTTGGAATTGGAATTTTTTCCAGGAATTCCAAGATTATTAATCTTGGGAGTACCAGTGCCTCTCTCTCTCGCTCTCATCATTTTCAGAACTTCATTACTGGTGTAGTCACTCGACAGCCTTTTTAAGTTGGCTATTTTTGCACTTTCTTTATTTTTCAATATCCATAATTTTTTTTTTGGCTGTGCTCCCCACCCATCACAGAGCCCTGCAAGGGGAAAATCTAAGAGGTAAGCCTATTTGCGTTAGCAAATCAGGGCTACACAACCAGTATACTCACACGGGAGAAAGTAACCAGTTACTTTGTATCTCTAGGTTTTCATTCCCAAGATAATTAGTCACCCAGAGATAGTTAGAAATCATCAGTCTCTATTCAGCATGATTGACCCTACAGCCAATGCCTTCTGATTCAGGATTTTTACAAAGTGAGGTCTGTAAAACACTGAATAAGAGATTGTCATGACCAGGCCTCTCCAACTGCCTCTCTAGCCCAACTAAGGGCCAAAATAGTGTGTTGAGGTTTAGGAGTTTAAACAATCTCCCCCACAAATTCCTCAACCACCAGGATCAAGCCCTCAGGCATTACAGGTCACCACCCATAGCAAACAAATGGCTTTATTGGAGTGGAGGGTACCACTCTGCAGAGGTGTGTCATATTCTGAAACCCTAGCTGAGAGGGCGAGAAAGAATTTAAAAAAAAAAAAAAAGAAAAAAATTATTAAGAAGTGAGAAAAATAGAAGAGTAATCAAGACAGTAGATAATGATTGACATTGCAGTTATATTTTTGAGGATCAAAGCTGGCTGGAAAAAAATAGCGCCGGAGTTGCACAAGCAAGAGGCATGAGAAAAAAGTAAGTGTTACTATCATATTTCATGCTAATAGGAAAATATACTTCAAAAACAAGGTGGAAAAAAATAAGTAAAGGTTTATTGTAAAAAACCAGTACAATAAGAATAAAGGTAACAGTTATGCACAAGTTCATCATAAGTCAATCCAGTAGTGAGTGCTACTATTGGAAGGTCAGCTAGTCAATATTTACTAGCCATACCAGAAGGTAGATGTGGTATAAGACTGAGTTTCTCGTGGGTCATTCGAGCACATGTGCTAGGCCAAAAATTCCTCGTAGAACCCGCATAAATGGGTTCGGGTCAGTCTACCTCCCTGGATGAGACTGTCCTTCGGCATAGCCTTGTCTGGGTTCTTATTTGTCCAAAGGCAGAAAGTTCGACAGCACAGTTGGAAGATTCCAGCTTTGTAGTCCATTGACTTACAGATACTTATAGGTAGTTACTACCTATAGTGTAGTCACTCATGTGTGTGACAGGTTATTCCATTACAGTTACCTTAGAACTTAGTTACATCTAGCCAATTCAACTGAATTGATGAGACCTTGTCACCAATCTAGTCCTGTGCTTAAATTCATGAAACAAGAGTTCAACTAAACAATTACCATGAAATTGTTTATAGAAAAGGCACAGGCATGCTACATTACAGAAGGGGAAAAGTAACTGAAGCCAAGATGCCAAGTCAAGATATTGGAAAAAGCACAGGGAATCTACATTACAGCAGAGCAGAGATAGAGGCAAAATTCAATGCACGAGTGAATGATAGATTTGTTTATTAAGCAATGAAAATAAGTCAATTTGCAATGTGGACAGGGGTGGGGTCTACACAAATACAAACAAAGATTTAACTGTTTTATGTTTTATTTCAATAATTTTTTTTGACAATAAATATGTTCCCTTGTGCTGTATTGAGAAAATAAATTGATTTAGTATATAAAAAAAAAGGAAAAAAAAAAACATTGTTTATAACAAAAATGAAACATCAAATTCAATAATTGCATAACAAATCATTCCACTCATTGTGCTGTCAAATTATCAGAAGAGCAGCTTATTTTCTGGCATGATCAAAGATTGTTTTGTTTCTTTGAAATTACAATAATGTCAATCAAAACACTCCCACCTTCCCTTTCTATGATGTGGGTTATTGAAAACAGACAGAAACTGAAAATGTTTCTTTGCTGTCATCATGTTAGGGTTAGCGGCCAACAAGATATTTTTTGGTTTAAATTGTGTTTGGCAAACAATTTAGTTTACAAGACAATGAATAAAATCTGGCTTTCTAATGTTGGTGACTATTTTCGCTAAGTAAAAACGTTAGTCCAGCCAATGCAAGTTGAATTTCTTGGTGGCATAGCCATATCTTTCTATGGCAACACCTAAAACAATCTTGACTGAAATTGAGAGCCAGAGTACGGCAATTTCAAATCTATTACAGTAAGAAGAGGAAAGTGCTAAATGTTAACAAAGATTTCCGATTTGCATTTAAGTGAATTTTAAATGCTTATGTCATATTGTAGTAGCAGAAAACACAGTTGCCAGAAAAAGCCGATAACCCCAGACAGAAATTATATATATATATATATATATATATATATTATATATATTTCTCAGCTTGACCCACATCACAAAATCACTATTTGAATGACCAAACATTACAATACCAATTTTTGTGAAGTAGATTGAATTTATCTTTTCCACACCACCCCAGACACAAGAAAATATTCTAAGCAAAAATTGCAAACCAAGTGCTGGTAAAACAGACAATTACTCAGAAAATGAAATTGGCAATCTGAGTTCAATTTCACTCATAGTATAAGCATTATTTCTGCTCTCAGTCCCATCATTAGTCATCATGAAATTTACATAACTTTCACACTATAGTACAATATGCAAAGAGAATGCATAAGGATATTTTCATGAATCCAAAATAATCCATTCTCCCCCACGATTAATAGCTGTATTTAGCTGCTAATCATTGCAGATTAAAAACAAGTAATAGCAAAATACTTCAAATAACAATGCATCAGCCAGTTTCTTAATAGCCTAAACCACAGCAGTAACATAGCTGCTATGCACATTGCTAGTAATGAAATCCATTAAAGCATGACTGTCTATTCAAACACGCTTCAATCAATTTTTACTCTTTGTCCCAACATCAGTCGTAAACAAAATATTGTGATTTTTTTTTTTTTTTTAGGGTGTTAACAATGTTAAATGGTAAAGTTTCAGGAGGATATTTCTTGAATACAGCCTCTATTCTTCCATTTCGTCATCTAATAAGTTACACATGTCAGTATCATCCATGAAATCATCTTTGGAAAAAGAGTTACTTAACTGCGAAGAACTGGACTGTGATGAATTAACCGTGGAAAGTTTCACCACACGAACAGGGGTTGATGAAACTAGATAAAAAAAAAAATAAATAAATAAAAATAAATATTTAATATCACAGAATAACTTCAGTTCCAGGTTTTGGAACAAATACGATACATTCATCTTTTTTTTTTTTTAATCTGACTCAAAATTTAGAAGAAAAAGAACGAGTGGTAAAATGCTTTGCAGCATTCTAAATTTTTTTAGGAAGGGTGTTTGAATAATCCAGAACTCTTTTAAGGTTCCATTGTTATAATTTATTTCAGAGATTTTATTTAAATGCCTTGACAAAGATTATTATGTTGTTATACACCAGGGGTGGGCAAATTATAGCCTGCAGGCCACGAGCGGCCCTCCAAAAGAATTCATGCAGCCTACCAAATTTTTGTAAATTTGAAAGAGAAAGTTACCAAGCAATACCAAATAATTGTTACAAGCAATTTGACGCCTAATTTTAACAAACTGTTAAATGACTGCAGTCAGATACATTATTGAGTCATTGAGATTCTTCTGTTGCTGAGTTACTTTGTTTTTCAAACAAATCTGTTTCATGTGAAGTTTCTACTTTAAAATCTAAATTAATTTTTTCTTTAAATTTAGTTACTTTATATGTGTTTTATTTGAAGTTTCTACTTTAAAATATTAGTAAGAATTGTTTACTTTATAATATTAATAAATAAAAATATTTGTTTTCCTTAAAACAAAGTTATTTTGTTTTTCAAATAAATGCGTTTCACGGGAATCTTCTACAGTACTTTAATATATTAATTAATAAAAATTGCACTTTTTTCTTTAAAAGCCTTTTATTTTGCCTATTTTAAATATTAATTATTTTGGGTTAATATACTATGTGGCCTAATAAAATTTTTGTATGTGTCCCTTGCACCGAAAAGGTTGCCCACCCCATGTTATACACCTTTATATCTAGTCTAGTATATTCAGATTTCTGACTGTTGTATTCTTGGGCATCTATTGTACCCTTTCTGGAAATTCAAACAGAAGCCTTTCCACTTTCCATGTTTAGAGGAAATAATTTGTGCCACTTTATTTTTTATCCAATGAAAACAGAGTAATTGTTTTTTTTGTACTATCCGATATGTCAAGATTGAACTCACCACTGCTAGTGGACCAGATATGTCTAAACCAACACTAATCTATTAAAACTTGTTTGATGGTGTAATTTAGGAGCCTTAAATATATCTGTACTCAGGTGGTGAAAGTTTTGAGAGTCCTTTCTTAATCAGAGGTTCCTAAATGGTGTCTAACACTACACTACATCTACTGAGACAATTTAATCCTGTCATAAAGGGTTTGGTTCAGAATTCTGAGAGTTACCAAGTACAACAGACACTGAAGAAGACCAGAGAGTATAGCAGCTGAAACATTACAAATATAAAACCCAAGATGAGGATATTAGTCCAGTTGTAAAGTCACCTAATAATTCCTTATCTTCAAAACACCCAACATGGATATTTGTTTGTAAAATAAATGCTTTTCCCATTATTCATTTGCAGCCTTACTGTTGTAGTAAAAAGAAAAGACTGCCAACTGATAGTAGCAACTGCAATAGATTTTTTGTTTCTTGGCCACAACACTTGTAGCCAAATCGCAGTTCACATGATAGTCCGACGTAACAGTCCAACACACACCGTAGAAACGACAAAATGGGATCACAAATCCACCCTTCACTTCTCGCCAACAACAACGCGTGTTCATTTCACAGCTCAAAAATATCATCTCCTTTTATAAGTGAAAAACAACGACTTCTGTTCACCGAGAGAATTTTCTAATTGGTCACACCATTCAGGGGGAGGGAAGAACATTAGCATAGCTTCTAGTCATTGATGCAGATTTTTGCTGACTACTTTTTGATAATTTTTCTTTGGCAGATCGCACACAAAACACAAACTTTTTTTCGGGGTAACTGATTATCTCTTTCACTACACTTACCAATATGCCTTTTTTCATCATCTCACTTCAGGCAAGACAATAAAGCCACTAAGATGCAAGGGGAGGGGGGGAGTTATTGAGTGTTAAAGAATGAGAAAGCTACTATTAAGAGAGTACAATAAAAGAAAAGACAGAAGATAACGACTGACATTGCCTTTAAATTTTTGAAGATCAAAGTTCACTGGGGAGCAAGAACCTGGAAGAGGATTCCATAAGCAAGACGTGTGATAGAATGTCTAAATACATTTCTGAATGTTTATCTGAACGTACCAACATTTACTTTTCTAATATGGACACAGTATTCTTATTTTAATATCAAATAATAAAGTTCCATTAATATGATGGACTTGAACTTTTTTGTTCAGCAACATAGAATAAATAACAATTTTACAAGCTAATTACTTTTAAGTTTGCAACATTTGTTTTTCAGTTGGTAACTTTAGTTAGTGAAGTTAATATATCATTCCATATAAATTAAACTGAGGATCCCAAGGTCACCATCTCATACTTTTATTTAGTTTCAGCAGGTGACACTCCTGCTAGCAAAATAGGAAATCTGAAAATTTTATCTTCATTAAACTCATAGCTCAGAGATTATGGCTTCTTGAAATTTGTTTGAATTTTCATGTCTAATTTTTCATGTTGCAAGACAGCAGAACAATTTTGCCAAATTCGGCACTTTATAACTGTCCACTCCGAGAAGATGTCAAGCTGAAATTTGGTGACTGATACATAAATATATTCTTAGCTTCATTTTCATTCTATTCCATGTAAATAATGAAAATTTTTATTTACCATTTTTTGGTAGATATTTGGCTACATAAAAAAAAAAAAAAAAAAAAAAATTACTTAATTATAATCATTTTATATATTGTGTAAAACAATGCTACTCAAAGTGTGAACTGAAATATGTGGGACAACACCATTATGATGGCGTGTGACTGTGTGGGAAGAACACCCAGGAATACGTAAGGGATCATTTTCATGGGCATATATTTCTACAAAAAAAAAAAAAAAAAAATTATTATTATATTCATTATATATTTCTGGTATGAATGAATAATGCTATGAATGTTCAAATAAAATTTTATCAAGTCATATAATCAAAAGGCACAAATATGGTACTGGTCCCTGGCACACTAGGAAAATGTGTTATCTCAACAATGACTGGCCTTAGAATGAATGTGTCCTCATTTTTAGTTCAGATAGTCTCAAAACAACTTTGAAATAGGACATATCTGAAAAGATTAAGAAGGTGGGTACAGCGCCCCAAACCCCACAGATAGGAAAAGCTTCAGGGCTCCTTCACACATTTGGAGGGAGAGAAAAAAAAAAAAAAAAAAGAAGTCAGTATGCCACATCAGATAGTTTGAGAAGCACTGGTGTAAAACATTGAAATATTAACTCACGACTTAGAAATCAAAGCAAATTTGAAGAGGCCATAACATCCCAAACTATGAGTCTAATAAAGACATAATTTTTAGGTTTTCGAACTTACTTGGTTAAAAACAGCTGTGAGCAGATGATGCATATAAGTCTTAACAAAAACCACCCTTCTTTGAACTTTGGACATGGTGCTACAGAATCAGAAAGAACTCTACCAAATAACAGAAACCACATCACTTAAGAACTTTTAACAACAACCACCATTAAAATGGATTGACATTCCAAATGGCTTCAAACAAAAGGTCAGGAATGAAGGCCCTTTATCAATATTAGAAAGAGCAATAACAATTTCTGGTCTTGAGAAACAGATTTGTCTGACAAATTTTTTCATTGAAGTATTTTATAAATTTCAATCAAAAGTTGTATTGATTGGTTGGTCTTTGAACACCAAATATTACCATTGTTACCTCCAGAAATTTCCCCAAAATCTGACATGGTGAGCAGATGAACTTTTGAAATATTGGTAGAGTTGATATAGAATGACATGTGTAGACATACACACACATCAAATATGGGTAGCCACTAAAAATAACATTTGAAGGAATAAATATTTATAAAGAGTTAATCGATTTGTTTTCAATCTGACATTATTACCACTTTAAATGTTATTTTTAAGAGATACCCATGTTTGAAGTAGCTGTCCTGTTTTTCTATTTTAAACAGTGTGTATTACCTTTACTGGTCTGTACACTCAAGAAAACTCAATAAAGAAAATGTACTCCACAGAATCACAAAGAAATGTGTGCTGTTGGAGAGGACATTTTCTCATTTCAAAATAAAAAAAGAAGGGCATCTATTTCAAACACAGGTATCCACTATAAAATAACGTTTGAATATTATAGCGAAGAAAATGGCGACTTACTTCATCAAACCAAGCGACAGTGCGTCGCGTGTATCCTACGACGGAAAAGAAAATTACTTACGAAAAAAAGGGCACATATTCCGCATGACATGCAGAAGACAGAATGTTTAGATTAAAAACAAGTCCGTCGCAGGAGTCTCTATAAAAGTATTTTGTTATGCAAAATACTTGGCGTCCTCTCCCAGTTGTTGACGAATGAAAAAACTGCTTGGCCGCTAAAAGCAGTTGGTGTTCTTGAATCGAGAGGAATAACTGTATTTTGGCCACAGCGTTCGTTGGTGACTGAGTTATTTTTCTAACTGGTTACGTGCAGTGGGATTTGTGAGATAGTACCTGCAAATCAAGTTTTCGGCATTTCTTTCTGCCCCCGGTATTCGAGTCTGAACTTAGCGAATTGTCCTCTGCATTGTGGAAATAATATTCAACAAATATTTCCTTTGCTTTTAGAACGCTTACAAATGTGTGTGTGTGTTCAGGATTAATACAAATATAAAATTTGTCACTTAGGTGACTGATGTTATATACAGTACCTAAACTCCAAATTTTCATAGACAAACCCTTTTATAATTGTTCAGTCCACTCAGCAGAAGGTGTATATGTGTACCCTCTGATGAATGGACAGAGTAATTTATACAGTGAGGCAATTCTGAGGGAACTGGAGATCCTAGCAGGATTCATCATTGGCAGCCACAACCTTACCAACATAATACACAAATAATACAGTACTGATAGCAGACACAGAAAAGAAGCCACAAAACCTGCTACAGAAGGTAAAGAAGGAGAGCTAGAAGAAAGGACTAACCATAAACTACAAGAAGACAGAATGCATGGTCATCAATAAAAAGATGAGCCCAAAATGCAATTTGCAGGTCGGGGACACTAAAATCAAACATGTGCAGAAGTTTAAGTATCTGGGAGGTGTTCTGACAGAGGGCGGTAGGTGTGACACTGAGATCCGAAGACGGATTGGGATGGCCAAGGATGGATTCTAGAAGCTGGGCAGAGTACTGCAAAACAGGAGGATTTCTATGGTGACAAAGTATTGAGCTGCTACGTGACATCTATCCTCCTATATGGCAGCGAATGTTGGACGTTATCCTCAAGGATGAAGAAGAGACACAAGGCAGCAGAGATGTGGTTCTACAGAATGATGCTGAGGATATCATGGACCAAGCATGTGAGCAACCATGAGGTCTTGGAGAGGATGCAAACAAGGTAGAAGCTTATGCTTAACATAAGGAGGAGGCAGATGAAATTTCTGGGACATGTGATAAGAAAGGAGGGCCTGGAGAATCTGATACTCAAAGGATGAATAGAGGGAAAAAGAGACAAGGGAAATCAGCGCTTGACACACATGGCGAGCTTAGGCAGGTGGATGGTGGAGTGTGGTCTGGAGGGAAGTGCAGGGCCATGAGTAGCTACATCCTGAAAGGACATGGCACATAAAAAGAAAGAAATTCCATGGAAGGGGGAATCCACCTACAAAACTCTGGAGCCAGAGTGCTGAAGCTAGCATCAGTCAGCTGAGTGACAAACTTTTTTCTTGTATTATATATATGTGTGTGTGTGTGTGTGTGTGTGTGTGTATTAATTTTATATTTTGCCATCCACAGACAGACAGTTTCACTGTATCACAGCTCATCAATGTGGCTAGACATCCGATTGACTCCAGCCAAGATTGAAACATGATGGATTTGGCATCAGTTGGATATTTTACCCTGAGTTATCAGCACCTGGTTGAGAGGAAAGCTAACTTTTATGAACTTATTCTTCGAAAAAACACACCAATGACCAACGAGGTTCATGAGAGAGCTTTGCAGTATTAGCAATAGTAATTCATATAATTTGCTCTGTATCATACATTGTGCTCTCATATTGACAGAAAATACTCTTTGGAATAAACCCTACAAATTACAATTTTGTGTGTGTGTGTGAATTTGCGGGGGGGGGGGGGGGTTAAAAAAAAAAACAACAAAAACCCTCAAATTCTAAAAGAAGCCAAAGGAATAAATTGTTTGCTTACCTTGTGGTTTTACTTCTCCATTGAGTACCTTTTGACTCTCATCAAAATATTGGTTCGGATGCTGAAGGCCAAAGTTGTTGTTTTTGAGATTGTGGGTGACTTCAAAGTAATGTGTACAGGCTAAAGTATAGTGCTTCTGCTCTACATAGTTCATTATCTGTAAAACAACTGAGACTCATACAATAAAGAGCAATACACATAACACTTACTTAATAGTAGAATTAAACTGTCTTCATAAAGAGAAACAAAGAAAATGACTGAAAAACATCAACTGAGTCTTCCAATAAAACACCTGCAGTACTTAGGGAATGGACGAATCATTATTTCAAGATGGTGGAGAGATGTCACCTGAGAAATGGATCCCCAGTGTCCAGACAAATTACACTTTGCCTAAAAGTGAGAGCTGAAGTTTAATATATGTTAAGCTGTAAAATCTGTTTATATAGAAATAGATTTTTTTTTTTTTTTATTTATTTCACCTCAAGCAAAACAATTGATGAATTGATTAGTTTTCTATGGTTTGACCCTTTTCAGCTTATTTAAAGCCAGAATTTTTAGATTGCAAGAATTAAAAAAAAAAAAAAAAAAAAAAAAAAAAAGATTTAGTGATACAAGTCTTACTAATTAGCCTATAGCTGGAGAGAGAAATGAAAGACTTATAATTTTACCAAGGATACCTGTGTGTAAGTGAATATAACAAACCTGACCGGAATTGAAACTGCTCCCTAATTAACAATTCTGAGCCATTATTCATTACACCACCCGCACATCCAAGTTTACAGCACCTGGTATTCTCAAGTGGTCCCCAAGCAAGGTGATAATACCAGTAAGATGCAAGAGGTTACTGAGAGTGAAAGGGAACAAGAAGACTTTAAAAGTGGAACACTCCAGTTCAAATGACAGGAAAAGAGTGTGAACCATGTTTGCAATAAATTGTTAGTTATAATTATGCTGTCACAATATTTTTTTTTTTCAATAGCAAAAAATATTATTTCTGTTGATTTTTAAATAACAAACAGCACAAAAAACACATTTCATTTGACAAATTGAACCTGAAGTGAATAAAATTCGATTTTATCGTGATAATCAAAATTAATATTTGCAACATGGATTAGCATGAAGCCAAATAGAGAAAAAAATGGAGATAGTGTTAAGCCATACTTTAAATCTTTAGTTTATATAAAAAGTCACCTCACCAAGGAATATGAAGAAACAATCCCAGGTTTATGTTAGAAAGGGGACTGGAACAGGCCAATAAATTTTTGGCATGCCCTCATATTTGGTCACGAGTGATTATCACTGACAGGCACCAGAAAATAGGGTAATTGTTTGTCACAAATTAAGCCATAATTATCAATTAAAATAGAAGTAGAAGGTAGTCCTGAAAGCAGATTTACCTCCCTTGAAAGTTTTCGCCATTGAATCTAGGGGAAATAACTCCTACTTAACTTTAATTTGAATGGAATATGACAAATTGGAAAAAGGTTTTGTGACACTTTTCATCCTTTCGGACTTCAATGGATGAAACGCTATATATTTTTTCTTTCAAAAATGTTATTACACATCAAGTACTGGCATTGAGTGCTCAATGTAAAAAAACAACAAAAAAAAAAACAAGCTATAATTTATATATTAATAAGAAATATACAGTTTTTACTCCCCTTAGAATCACGAGGAAAGGGTGTGTATATATATATATATATATATATATATATATATATATATATATATATACACACACATTATATGCGCAGTACTTAGTGGAAAGTTCTCAATATCAGTGATAGAGCTAACATATTAAATTGTATGGATATTAATTTGTGACCCTGGGTTTCATGCTTTTGCGATCATCAGACAAACTGGTTTATTTTTTTTAAATGGATCTATTTATGCTTTTGTAATTCTATTTCGGTGTCAAGACTGTCACGTTTGTATATGTAGTGATCTACTCCCAGTAAGGAACAGGTGTGTGTGGGGGTGGGTCTTGATGCTTTTCAGATCGTCCGTCTGCGCCATCAGACAAACTTACACTTCCTTGCGTGCACATACACTCCCATTGGTCTGGGTCTCCCATCATCACTTTGGTTAAGTTGGGTTGTTTGCAGACATGGTGATGATGTTTGTATTTTCAACGTTAACTGCTTGTGTATTATTGATGATTGTGACTATGCTGATAGTAATAATAAGTGTGATATTATTGATATAATTAATAAATAGTTATTGATGAGTTAACGGTAAATTTAGCCTTAATGATGATGTGAACAATAATATTATCGTTTACATTATCATTAAGGCTAAATTTATGTATGATGTTTATGAAAGTATATTGCTCTAACAAAAAAAAAAAATCCTTCATGAACAATAATTTATAATACACAGACACTCGAAGAGTCTGCCCAAAAAATGTATACACACTTCAGCAAAGAAAACATTTGTTTTTCGTAGTTTTATCAAATTGTGATAACACTTTACTATAATATATTTTCTTGACAGACTGGTATTACATTGGCATCTCTTAGACCAGAAATTGAAAACAGCAACCTCACTGGGCACTTTGGCCAACAATGGCCAAGCAGTACTAATAAATTTATGGAAGTTAAAAGCCACCATTTTGAGTACTTTTTTGTGATTGCAGAGTCCATAGGTAACTTGTATTAATCTCATGATGTTTAAATACATTTAGTATTCCAATATCTATACAAGTTTTTCCTTTCCTGAAGTTTGTATACATATTTTGGCAGACTCACTCACTCATATATATATATATATATATATATATATATATATGTGTGTGTGTGTGTGTGTGTGTGTGTGTGTGTGTATGAAATAGTGCACAGTGAGTGCTGGTAGTAATAAAACAGTGCTTGATGTAAAGTAAACAATCTAAAATTTATAATAATAAATATAAATTTGTCCATTTACTATCAAACGATAAGAAACAAAAAAAAATGTGTGTGTGTATGTAATTTAAATAAAATTTTCAGAAATTTCCATGGGCACCATTTCAGATTTGTATGAAATTTCATCTATTAGCTTCAGAGATCATAGACTCTTGAAATTTTTCACAATTTTTAATGACTTTACAATAGCACAATTTGACAAATTGGCACTTCATAAATTTGCATTCTCCTGTAGTTTAAGACATGGAGAAAACATTTTATAGTTATAGTCTAATAAAAATGGGGAAAAAAAGTTTTATTTTGCCAGTTTTTAGCATGAACTAAAACTTTAATAGAATAAAAATAAAATTGGTTACAATCATTTTCATCTGATAACTTGAATTGTGAAAAACATTGAAATATGTTTGACAAGTTCCATGATTCCTAGGTGACAAAAATTTGCAACTCCCCACCACTTCAAAGGAAATCAAATTTTAGACCTTTTTCAAAAGTTTGCTAAGTAGCATAGACAACTGAATTCAAGGTCCATATTTTACTCAGTTATAGACCCATCCCTTATTTTACACTAATAAAAATATTAAAAAACCCTTATTTGATGTTAACTTAGTAAAAACATCAAAAGTAATATATCCAAAGAAAGATTTTGCTTTAATATTCACCATTAGAATCTATAGTATAGTGAATATATTCTTACTTTTTAAATACCGAGTCCTAATCAAGGTTTTATTTGTCTGACTGATTTTGAAGCCATTCAGACTCTGGCACCAATCCAAATAGTGGAATTGGCTCCTCTTCATGCTCAGTGCGGCTCTATTTCTTACTTCTTAAATCGACTTTTTTCTCTTTGTTCATAATACATATTTACTTAATATTCTAAAAAGTTTCCATATATCTTTAATATTAGCATGAATTTTCTAATTAGGGTGGGGAGTAGTCTGAATAAAGGTGGGTGATTAGAAAATCAGTTAAAGGCTCAAAAATTGCAAAATTAATAAACAGGGCACTCTTAATGAATTCAGGTGTTGGTAAGTAGGAAAATTTTTTTCTTCTTCTTTAAAACAAATGTCCAAAAAGCAGAACTAAACTCACCATCTCAATACTTTCAGCAGGTATTCCTTGGTTCCGGTACCTCTGTTTCAGTAAGTCAGGATCAACATGCCTGAAAACACATCCTGGAAAGAAAATAAATTTTATTATTGAAAGATTTGTGCGAGGTAAGCAGCAATCTTGGACTTTCATGCCCACCAAAAAAAAAAGAAAAAAAAGAAAAAGTAAAAAAAAAAAAACAGAAAAAACAATTTGAGTTGTAATAAAACTAAACATATGATCAAAGTGAATTTATACAATTTTTATTTGTTCTTGAGAATTCACAACAAAAATATTAAACACTATTTATTATATTGTTTATTTACTAGAATCATTTTATATTGACAACATTCTAAAAGCTAACATAATGCAATATTTATCATTTACCAATTTATAAAAAATAAATATCAAATTTTTTTTATTCCCAAATTTATAAATGCTTACTGAATTATTAAAATATATGAATCAACTATAAAGAAATCCTTATTATTTACCATTTTATAAAGTTCTAATCAATTGGCAATTAACCGATGTTTGCCAACCATTTGAATATCCTTGAGAAAAGCACATTTGTCTTTTCTATTGTAGCAGATGTTACACCTTTTTTTTTGGCCAGGCCAGGAATAAACTTGTTGAAAACCATGTCAACAGTAGTGATCTTCTTCAGCTTTTGGGTATGTGTAAAAAAAATAAACAAGCATGAATCTAAAAAAGCTACCATTTCATACCATGTGACAAAAAAGTGACGAGAGGGTTCACCAGCAAACCAGCTGTTATTCTTCGCTGTTGGTCGCCTCAAAGAAATGAATTGCGAGATTCCTTTTCTCGGCCGTTACACCGGGCAGTCGTGAAATGGACACCCAAATCAAACGCGCCTACTTCAACTGCCTCTTGGTCTGCCAGTCTATTCGCACATCCGTCTGTTTCACGAAGTCCGCCGAATGACTCGCTGTCTGCCATGCCGTTGGCGCCTCGCCTTTTTTATGCTAGTATGACACTGCTGAAATTTGCATGTGTACTGATACAATCTCGTTTTGGACGAGACTGGCGCGTATAAATCGCGTCTTCGACAGTAGCCATGTTTCCTTTGGGATTTGTCATGCAAACGAGAGATGTTCGCACACATTTTGAGCTTCGAGGTAAGTCATCACACAGACACACATGGTTTAGACAAGGCACCTCACTCAAACACCACAACAGGGTAAGTTCATTTTTTTTTTTTTTCTCAAAGAAACTATCATAAGAACATTCCAAAATCTTACATTTCTTTCAGAAACTATCCCCAAACATTCTTACCAAAAGTGTGTGAGAGAATAAAAATTTCTAGCTCATTTTATTATTCTCTTGGTTGTCTATTTTCCCAAACAATTCAACACTTGTTAATTTTGCTCGACATTTTACCAATTTCAAATGACAACCTAACAACACTTTACCCTCCTATTGGTTAAACAGCCAGTCTAAGTAAAAAGAAACACTAAATGCCAAACTGTAGAGAAGGAAATGCAAAACCACTTTATTATCTTTCCCAAGAAAATATGGTAATTCACAGATAATAATAAAAAGGAATCTGTGGCGAGCCATGATCACATACATGAAGAGACAGGACATTAACACACACACACACACACACACACACACACAATAAAAAAAAAAAAAAAAAAAAAAAAAAAGAAAAAGAAAAGTAAATAATGACAAATGCTACATTTTTTTTTAGTAAAGTCTCCCGAGCATCAACTGAGGTATTCTTTTGTATAGACTTTCCTTGTAGGAATGTTGGTGATCATGGCTCTCTACAACTTCTTGTCGTTTGTTGCTCTAACATTTTACCATCCTTATTTTACTGTAGTTGCCTCTTTTAGTCAGTTTCTTCTGGTTTGCAAGCAATTTGTGTAATCAGTTTCCTTCAACCAATAGAGTAGTGGTATGATCTTAAGTTGAACAATTCACAAACACTGACTGCAACACTTATCTCCTGTTCATTACCGCAATCACTTTGTTTTATTGTCGCCTCTCTTTGTGCACTTTTTATAGCTTGAATGACAGATAAAATTTATGTTAAGAGATTCTTGCAAGAGTCTATCCGTGTTAAATGTATGACTTGCAAATCTGCCATTTTCTTCTGTTGTATTGTCAAGATGAATGATGCACAGAAAAATAAGTGCTTAATATGTATTCAGCACCAGTATCCAGTGCTAACTGATACATACAAAAAACACCGAAAAATAAGTTACAAAACAATTAACTTACAAGGAATAGAGGAGGGTCAAATGCTGTATAGCCAAACAAAGATCAGTCTGAATATTAATCAGCTTAGTATCAACTTATTAATCAACTGTTGAAGTCCTTAATCGTAGACTATTTAAGGCTATGAGCCAGGCCATCTGGTAGAGTGCAGAAGGGTTGCTAGCTACTATACAACATCTTCCTTTCTTTTGGACACCCTACATGCAAGACATGTCTGAATCAGATTTCATCCTGGAGTTAAGCCATTTCTCTTGTCTTACATTTTTAATACACAAGTAGCTTACTTGACTTTCTCTCTGCATTCAATGTCCTGTGAGTCTTAAATTCTCCAAGCCCCTTTTTGATTATTATTAGTAGTTCCCATTTCACTTCACTTAAAACCTCCTTGTTATTCACATGTTCTATCTAAGGTATTATCAAACATTTGTCAGTAAAACCATATCTCAATTGCTTCAAGTCTCCTATACATCTATGAGAAGATTGTGCAACATTCGCTGCTATATAGATTAGATATTACATAGCAATTCAGCATCCTCTTTGCTTCTATGGACATTTTCCTATCTCTTAATTCTATGCTTAGTTTCTGAAAGGCATCATTCACTGTTCCTATAGACTATCAGCTTTCCATCATTTGCAAATAGACAAACCAGATGGTTAACAGAAGGGTGCCTTATTATGGGGTCAGTTGACTTGTTACTGAGTGGTGGGTTCAATCCTTATTGGGTGCCTCATACTAAACTGTAACATTGGATAATCCAACAATGGTCGACATGTCATATACAGTTAAATTTCTCTACCTGCTTGATTTTAATAATATAGCCTATACTTTGGGCCAACATTTGCTTACAACCACACATTTTGTCTTTGTTCATGTAGTAACCATACATTCACAATTTTAAATGGTTAATTTGCAGTATAAGGACCAAAACCCCCTGTATTGAGAATGTACCATTCTGCTGTGAAATTGCCTGGTTATTTCGAAAATGACATTAAAACATCGTGCTTGATTACTGTTTGCAATTTATGGTCACGTTGTCCAGCTGCCATTACTGGCCTTGTTTACATACGTTTTCCTCTAATCATAATGCTTGGAAGCTTACTTAGTTAATGGCCTTTTTATAGCTTTTCATATCTAAAAATGCAATTATTTTTTTAAAATGAAGTTTTAAATGAATAGTATTTTTTTCTTTATTGCCCTTAATAAGTCTGCTTAGAGCTAATGAAACAGAATCTCACTCTAAAATCTAATTTATGAAGCTTTAAATTCAAGAAACTTCCACAACACAAAAAAAAAAAAAAAAAGAAAAAGTAGAAATAAAAATCCAGTTTTACTTTTTTTTTTGTGGTTAATTTGCAGTTTAAGCACCAAAAGGCCCTGGTATTGAGAATGTACCATTCTGCTGTGAAAGTGCCTAGTTATTTCGAAAATGACATTAAAACATTGTGCTTGATTACCATTTATAAGTTATGGACAATTTAAGTTCGACTTCTTTCTTGTCACATAGACAGAACGACTGCCATTACTGTCTTTGTTTACATACTTGCGTTTACCTTGAGTACTCATATGCAGATACTTCACTTGTGTTGATTACTGCACAGTGCATGAAGTTTAAAATGAATGCGCAAAATTTTAGTAGTAACTCAAGAGAAAAACGACGTGATTCCAAATATATTAGTAAAAATTAAAAAACAAAAAATAAAATCAAAATTATGTGCCTGAAAGGATAAAGAAGAAAAAAAGTCTCCTTTTTCTTCAAATTGTTTTTTTTTTTTTTAAAATCATTTAATTTCATGAATCATTGATATTTTAGGGTGAAAAGGTGTTACCTAAAATTTTTTCTTTTTTCCTTTTTTTTTAAGCATTTCATCCCAAGCAAGGGAAGCCACTAGGATGCAAGGGGTTACAGAAAATATAGAGCGAGATCAGATAGGAGTGATAGAAGAGGGTATGAGGAGAAGGGTAGTGGATAGATCAAGGCAACTGGAGATGTCGATTGACATTACACTTGAATAGCTGGAGATTATAGCTCTCAGGGAAACTGGTATAGGGAAGGGAGTTCCACAGATGAGAGGTGCGAGACATGAAGCTATTAGAGTAGAAGAGATGGCTACATTTAGGAGTTTCGACAGTGAAGGGGTGAGAGTGGAAACTTCTGCACGTTACTACTTGAGGAAAACGTAAACAACACCAGTAATGGCGGCTGGACAATTTGAAGCAGATCTAACCTACATTAACGATAAATCGTAAACGAGCACAAAATTAACCTTTTAAATAATATAAGAGGCTGAAACTATTATGACAATAATCAAGGATTTTCCGACAATATGCCATACATGTATAATAAAATTACGAATATAAAAAATAAAAAATTTAATCAAAAAGCATCAGCCTATTTATCAATGTTTCTCATGGAACCCTTAGTGAACTCTTGCAGAACTCTAAGGTTCTGGGAAACAGCAGTTGAGAAGCATTGATATCCTTGTAATTTTCACTTCCTACTTACTCTTTTTAATATTCATATCACACATCCCATTCAGTAATCCTTTGCCTTGATTGGCTCTTGAGCCTTGTAGACAAGTCAGAAAGACCGATTGGTTGCATGAAACTAAACGGAGTTAGCAGAATTTGAAACTGTCCTTACCATGATAATCCCCCTGGCTTGGAGGATTGGACATAATTATTTTAGCACAGCTATAAGGGGTGTAATTTGCTCGCTTTCCTTCTTTGCCATAATTGTAACGGATGTTGTAAGCGTAACTCTTTTCAAACTGTGAATAAAAATATAAAAATAAATTATTTAACAAAATAAATATTCATCATTGTATATAAAAATATATGGGTATAATGTATGCCCATCAGCTAAGGTAACTAGCTATTCCCTATTGCAGACGCCAGCTCTGGTAGATTTATGGTTTTACAGCAGCCAAGCCAAGCTGCGGTTTATACTGCAACTATTTTGAGTGGACCTTAGTAATCATTTCTCAGAGTGCAGAATCTTGATAAATCAATAGCTGAACAAGGCCGGTGCACTCAAACACTCGGTCATGATGGCCTGTGACTTTCTACTAGCACAACCATTGATGACTTCATCATATTTTTTGCTACCCAATTTTAGTTACATGTCTTGAGTAAATAAACCAGTGGTATTTTTTGTTTTGATTTTAGGCATTTCTCCATAGTGTCATATATTGGGATCAACTCACCAGTCAAATACCATGAATTCACATCTGACAATTAGACCAGGAGTCAAACATTCTAATCACTCAGCCAGGCACCCGTAAAAAAACAACAAAAAAAAAAAACAAACACATGGTAATATTATCCATTTTCTTATAAAGAAACATTTGACATTCACCAACTGTGCAGCCACTGAAATTTATATATTGTTGTGATATACTTGAATTCTTTGTATTCATTCAGTTAATTATTTAATACCTTCTACTTATCTGCATATGAACTGTTGCGTGATTTCGCATTGGTTCACGTCATGTGATCTTGTGTTTATAAATAATGGAGGGACGCTTCTATCTTTCTCTCTGGCGTCCATTCATTCATCTCTTCTATGGTAACAGTGTATGCTTTTTATGTTGAATAAAATCTTAATATCCAACTTTCTAAAAAGGTCTCTTTTCATCACATATATCTTTCTCTTGAAACAATTTTTCAGGAAAAATGGTTTCTCAAGTTCAGTAGCTGTTATCGCTCTTTCCACTACTGATGGAGGTTTCCTTTCTAACCTTTTGTTTGAAGTAGTGTGGAATGTCAAAATCTTGATTATGTCATTGTTTTCTCTTAAGAGAAACGTCTGGCATGGATTTTAGTTGCTAATGATTTTGAAAGTGCCCTCAAGTGATGGGGTTTGTTATTTGTTAGTTCTTTGTTGTGTGATTAGTAGCTGTTGAACAGATTAAGAAATAAACCACCCAAGAAATTATTTAGTGTCCAAGGGGTTTTTAACCAGTTGCTATTAACTGTTACCATGCTAATTTCTTTCTAGTATTGTTCTCCCTGCCACTCCATTTTTTTTTTTGAGGGTGCAAAAACATGAACACCTACTGTTTTAAAATTGTTATAACTTTCTTTGTATTGTGCACATAGATTTTCATTTTTGTATACTAATAAAAGAATGAATGAGTAATATTTTGGCATAATGAATTACGTTTTGCATGCATGTTTTGACGTTGAAAAAAAAAAAAAAAAAAATTGCAATACACAAAATAAAAAGCAAATTTCATTAAAAAAATACATAAATAATTCAACATACTTTAACTTTTATTACTCGTTGTGGGTTTCTGAGGGGTACAATAAGAAAAAAAAAAATCACCAAGGCTTTTATTTCGTCAAAAAAGTGACATGTTTCCTCATGCTTACATACAAGAAAACACTAGCATATTTTGTCGTTTATAAATAGACAAAATAATTCACCTTCAGAAAGACTATCCAGTATATCGATGGTTGCCAGTAGCTTTCATAAATTTAGTCAAGCATGATAGTAGCTGCTAGGGGTCATCATCTTCGACCACTTCACCATCAATATCCACTTGAGTAAAGCCTTCAAATCATCAGAGTCCTAATCAAAGAAAAACTCATAGAGGCTTTGTTGGATACTGATGCAGCCATTTTTTAGTGTAGAAAAATTCAAAATGGTGATGGAAAATGGAAGTTTAACCTTGTTCCAAAGCAGTAGTAGGTGATTTCCAGTTTAAGATACTGGGAATAACAGTTGACAAGTGTTTATTTATAGCAACCATCTTAAGGTAACAGAATGCACCCAGAGCAGCAAAGGGAGAGAATTTTACGGCGATAATTTTCGCCTGCAGCATGGTAAAAGATTAAAGAGAATTTAATCAATGTTACACCTTGTGTAGAGTCAAGAAGAATTCAAAATGGCATTGGAAAAATGGAAGTTTAACCTTGTTCCAAAGCAGTAGGCAATTTCCAGCTTGACATGTGTGTGTTTATAGCAAAAGTCTTAAGGCGTCACAATGCGCCTAGAGAAGCAAAGGGAGAGAATTCTATGATGACAATTTTTGCCTGCAGTGTGGTAAAGGTTTAAGGTAATTCAATGAAGGTGATAAAGATAGTGAAATTTATAACTGTCTCATTCCTCGGATAATAAATCAGATATTAATTTTAAAGAAATATATAGATGATGAATGCAACGACAGGCATGGAGCAATATATCACATAAAATACGCAGTCTCAAGTGGTTAAAGGTAATGTACTTCTTTGACAGTGTAGTCCTATATATCACACATTGAAAGAAGCTATATCAAATAAAGATCTTGATTAAATGAAACAATTTTTAGAAATATAATTCACCTTATCAGATTCCATAATTTTTGTAAACTCTAGCTTCCAGAAACGCATAGCATCTTCAAGAGAAAGGCCGATACCCTTGAGAAAAAGTCCATACTGTAATCGCCCACCATGCCGCAGATGGTGATTCTGTCGAAGATTCTGATGCAGCTGTTGCATGCATGGTGGGAATGACTTTCGTGACAGCTGAAAAAAATAAATAAATAAAAAATTACATTCTTCTATCTGTTCTCATTTATATAAGGTGAGAAGAATATATTATTTATTAATATAAGTGTTATATCCATGGGTACATGTGTTTGTGTAGACATCCCTGTCTACTTACAAATGAAATTAATGTCTAACGGATTAGTTTATTGAAAGTCTTATTAATGAAGATCTAACTTTGATCACTAATGGTCAATGATCTAGACTGCTGGTAGACAATGTCACTGTTTATAAATAAAAAGTAATGTCTACTCAAGATAAGTCATAATTACAGTAAAACAACTCCTTAGTACTGAAGGTAAACTGGTTTTCTTAATAAAAGATTGGTTTGGTTTGTTTTACAGCATGTTAACCTCAATGGGTTATTTAATGCTGACAAAATTTTTATTTCTGGTAGTAATTTTTGCTTCAAAAATGTATAGCTGGTAGTATATATTTTTTTTTTCAAAAATGTATTGCTAGTAATTTTTTTTTTTTTTACAAAGTATTTCTGGTATTAAAACCTATTTTTACACTTACAGAGTGTTTTCACCCCAGTTTGAGGGTTAACTATTTACCCATAGTTGGGACCCTAACAGGTGCTACCACTCCGGTTCAGGGTGGACTTGGGAACACCAGCAATTAAGAGGCGGTTTCACGCTCTTCAAAACCTCCTGAGCAAAGGCCTTGCCATTGGACGTAGCTTATCGTCTTACCCAGGACTCGGATGTAGTTTATCATCATACCCAGGACGCTCTTAATAAAAAAGTATAATTACATTCACTCCACATAACTTATATTAAGGGTAAACAAATGATTTGTAAGACTAAGTTTCTATTTTACAATCTCTTCTTCTTATTGCAGAGCTCAATAGCTTCAAATCCTCCCTTTGAGATGTTGCTGACAGACATAAGCATATAATACCAAACTGGGAAATAAAAACTACTGCAAGCTCACTTGGTATCAGCATTTTTATTAGAGGATATGATCAACATATACAGTAGGCTAACAAGCAAATTAATCAGGTCACTTACACTAATACAGCAGCACCCCTCTTCCCCAAACCAAATACAAAGATGTGTCCCCTTCCTTTTTTTTTTTTGGCTAATAAACTAAGTTGTCACTTTATTTGCTAATAGGCTTTTTCTATTGTAACAAAGGAGTCAAATTCAATATGGAGTGTAAGGGACACAACTCTTTCCGTAGGAAAATGTCTGACACGACGCAATGCAAAGCAATATATACCGAACACGGGTGTAATGGCTTCAGCTAATTTCTCCAAGCAACCTGCTTTTATGGAGCCCAGACACACCTCATTAGCATGCGTGTAATGCGACCTTGCGAGACTGCACGAGACCGTGAATATTAAAAAGTCACGGACGCCATCTTGGACCCTTTCTTTCTTTTCTCAACCCACAGGCCAGACAGAGGGCATTTGGGAGGTAAGCCATTTCTATTTTCCCCACATCTTTCTTTTTATGTGCCATGTCCTTTCAGGACATGGGCAATGATGGCTCTCCACTTCCCACTATTCCTTGCAGCTCTTAACAAGTTCTGTCCCTCTGCCACCTCCCCCAGACCATGTTCTGTCATCCACTTGCTTAAGCCTGCTAGGTATGTCATGTGTTGTTTTCCCTTGTTTCTCTTCCCTTCTATTCGACCTGCATGTATCAGATTCTCCAGGTCCTCCTTCCTCGTTACGTGCCCCAGAAACTTCAGCCGCCTCTTCCTGATGTTAAGTATAAACCTCCTCCTTGTTTGCATCCTCTCTAAGACCTTATCAATGCTCACCTGCTAAGTCCATGATATTCTCGGCAACCTTCTGTAGAACAACATCTCCATTGCCTTGAGTCTCTTCTTCATCTTTGAGGAGACCATCCAAGATTCGTTGCCAAAAAAGAGGACAAATGTCACATAACAGCTCAGTATTCTTTTCTTTGCCACCAAGAAAGCCTCCTGTCTCACAATACTCTGCCCAGCTTTTAGAATGAGTCCTTGGCCATCCCAATACATCTATGGATTTCAGTGTCACACTTACTATCCTCTGTCAAAACGCTTCCCAGATATTTAAACTTCCTCACCTGCTTGATTTTAGTGTCCCCAACCTGCAAATCACATTTCGGGCTCATCCTTTTACTGATGACCATGCATTCTGGTAGTTTATGCTTAGTCCCTTTTCCTCAATCTCCTTCGCTACTTTCTGTAGGAGATTTTGTAATTTCTTTTCCATGTCTGCTATCGGTACTGTGTCATCTTATGTTAAGATTGTGACCATCAATGCTGGATCACAGTAGGGTTTCCAATTCTCTTAGAATTGCCTTGCTGTATAGATTGAACAGGTTTGTCGAGAAGACACATCCTAGCCTTACACCCCTTTCTATTTTTGTATATTCACTGAACTCACGCTCTATGCACATGCATGCTGTTTGCTCCCAGTAGAGATTCTTGATTATTCTAATCGTTCCCGAATATATCAAGGTTGCTGAGCAGTTCCAACAAATCCTTGTGGTGTACTTTGTCAAAGGCCTTTGTGTAGTATATAAAACATAGTTACATGTCCTTCTGCATTTGTACTGCTCTTTCTGGTAACATTCTAAGCATAAATATTGTGTTCCTTGTTCCAGTGTCTTTAACGAACCGGCACAATTCTTGTCCTATCTCTGGCCTGATTCTGCTGCATGCTCTATTCATTAAAATACAGATGATTAGTTTTGTTACGTGGCTCATTAGGCTGATTGTTCTGTGGAGCTCACATTCGTTTGCACTTGGTTTCTTAGGCACTGCTATGAAATTAGATTTGCTGAGGTCTTCTGGTATATCCCTGCTGTTGTAAATTTCATTTATTATTTCTGTGATTTTGTCTATGCCATAGTCATCTAAAGCTGTCAGCATTTACGTTACAATTCTGTCTGGCCCTGCCACCTTGTTTCTGATCAATTTGGCCAGTGCAGCTTCTACTTCGGTTTTCAGGACTTCAGGTCTGTTGGTAGTACTGTGTATTGCCAATTGTTTTCTCTCGTTGTGGAAAAGTTCTCCAATATACTTACTCCAGCGTTGAAGAATTTTTCCTTCTCTAATACAAGCGTTCCATCCCTTGATTTTAAGCAGTCTGTTGACGGATATGTCTTGTCCTATTAGTTGCCTTATTTGTTCATGCATATCTCCTTTGTTGGTAGTATTCAATCTCTCTATTTCTGCACATTTTTCAGTTAAGCCACTCTTTTTAGCCTGCCTGCATTTGGCCCTTATTTCATTGTGTAATCTTCTGTATTCTGTTTCTTGGCAGAGTTTTCTGTCTCCTTTGCATCATGTCGAGAATCTCATCAGTTGTTCATTTGTTTTTTTTCTTTTTCGTCCAGCCTCCTTTGGGATATCATTTGCTGATGTCACTAAAGCGTCTTTTAGTGCGTCCCGTTTGAAGCTTCCATTGTTTTCATATTGTCCATATATTTTTCTTTTAGGTTCGGGTCACTCAGGAGTTTGTTGTATTGCAGTTTGGATGCTGCGTTAAGTTTGCATTAAGTTTCTTCAATTTCCCCAGTTTCACTCTTACTTTACATATAAAAGGGCGATGATCACTTTCGCAGACAGCACTTGGGTAGGTTTTACAATAAATCATTGCATTCCTGAATCTTTTGTTGATGGTTATATAATCAATTTGATTTTTAGTTTCTCCTCCATGTCCATAGTTGTCTTGCATGTTCTTGAAACCATGTGTTGGCTATTATCTGGTCATTGGCTGTGCACCATTAGATCCATTTTTCTCAGCGTTTGTTGTGGGTTCCTAATCCAAATCTTCCTGCTATATCCCCCTTTCCCTGCCTACTTTGGTGTTTAGGTCTCCTATGATAATGATGACTTCCCGTGATTTGCATAGAGCCTTTGCATTGTCTAGCATGGAGAAGAAAGATTTGATGTCCTCTTCCTTACTTTGTGCTGTTGTAAGCGATCTGGGATTGCAAAGGAAATATTTGTCGCAGATCATTTCCACAACGCAGAGAATAAATCACTAAGTTCAGACTCGAACATCGGTGGCAGAAAGAAATGCTGAAAACTTGATTCGCAGATATTATCTCACAAATCACAATGCATGCAACCAGTCAGATAAAATAACTCACTCTCCAACAAACACGGTAGCCAAAATACGCCACTTCTCGATTCAAGAACACCAACTGCTTTTATCGGCTGAGCATTTTTTCCATTCATTGATAGCTGGGAGAGGACATTCAATTTTTGCATAGCAATATATTTTTATAGTGACTCCTGTGATGGACTTGTTTTTTTAATTTAAATATTGTCTTCAGCATGTCAGGCAGAATACATATACTTTTTTTGGTTAAGTAATTTTCTTAGGATACATGCGACACACTGTGGCTTGGTTTGATGAGGTAAATCGCTGTTTTCTTCACTATGGCTGTCGGTGTATACACTACTATGATAGCTATGTTGAAAGGCTTTCCTTTGAGCTTAACTACCAGAACTCTTTTGGAAAGTTGGTAGTATCCCAGAATACATTACTTAAATGCATTATCTAGTATTAATCCTTCTCCTTTGTCATTTTTTCTCACTGCATGCATAAATTATGCTGACAAAAATCACCGTTGTTTGGCCATCTTGTTTCACATACACCTAGGATGTTAATGTTAAGCCTGCTCTTCTCTTGTTTCACATTATCTAACTGGCTGCAGTTGTTCAGCGTCCAAACATTCCATGTCCCAAGAGTTATTTTATACTTGATATGAGCAGTTGCAAGTTAACAGTCTGGTGACATCTGTCACTCATATAATTTTTTTCCGGGCGAGGGATACGTTCTGAGGACTTTTATCCTCTTTAGGCCATTTATGCTAGCAGTCGCTGGATGATGGTCAGGTGACACCTGTTGTGCAAGTCGGACTTTATATGAGATGGGATTTATGCATTCTCTTGAAAACTGATTAATTTAATTTGTTTAATAGCATATCAACACCTTATGAGTCATTTAATGCTGAAATTTAAATTTTCTTGAGAGCTTTGAAGTAATTTGGTAATGTTACCATAAATATGTATTGTTGGTAATTTTTTTATATAAAAATTTATCACTGGTATTTTTACTATAAAAATCTACTTTTATACTTTCATAGATTTTGCTTTTCTTTCATAGATTCATTATTTACTCATAGCTGGGACCCTAACAGGTACTAACACACCAAGTCAGGATGGACCAGGAATAACAACAATTATGGTTCCACGCCACTCAAAATCTCAAATCTCCCAACCAGAGGCCTTGCTGCTGGATATAGTTTATTATCATACCTAGGACTTCTTGAGAATTTATAATAAAGGTATTAAACATTATTCTTGTAATTAAAGCAGTTCATTAAAACTTATACGAGGTGCTCAAATGCTGAGCTATCTTCTTTTTAATGGTTCTGTGACATTCACCAGTAGATTTTACATATAGATGCCAATTTCATTGTTTTAAATGAAATCTTATCAATGAAAACACAAAAATATTGGCCCAATATTTTCAGAAATTTTTTTTTTTTTTAGCTTCAAATGCTTACATTTCAAAAGTTATAGGTAAATTTTGATAATTTAAAAACCAAAAGTCTCCGATCAATTTATATTTTATAAATCTCCTATTTTGTATAGCAAAACCTAAAGTTTAATTTCTTTGTGAGCATTGCTAATTTTACTGCTTTTCTTGGGGAGAATTCAATTAAAAAAAAAAAAAAATTTAAAAAAAAATAAAAATAAATTAAAAATCTTTTTAAAAATTAAAAAAAAAAAAAAAAAAAAAAATGAACTTACGGATTCTATCATATCAATTGTAACGGCACCAGAATTGGATTTGGCACTGAAATCTTCTCCCAGATAGGCCCTACTGAGATTGTTTAGCAAAGGCAGCAATCGATTGTCTTCTTCCAAACGAGGAAGGGAACGACATGTTCTCTGAAGAAGAAGAAAAATTTGTACTGAAACACAGAGTAGACACATAAAATCTCTGATGAATAAAACTTTTATCAAAAAGAAATTTGAAATAAAATGATATTGGCATCAGAAAAAGATCATTTCAAATAATTTGTGGAAACTGAAGTTTAAGATTGTTAGTAAGTCCTACTTTGGATAAGAAAACCCTGCCGCACATGGGCTTATGCCCACAACATATTGAAACACAATTTCCCGTATAATCACTTAAGTTAAGCAATATCAAATCAGGTCAGTACCTAGATGGGTGACTGCTTGGAAATATCATGTGTGGGTGGTGTAACAGATAATGACTTGAAATTGTTAATTGGAGTGCTAAGTTCCAATTCCAGTTGGGTTCGTTGTATTCACTTATTCATTTCAAATGCTTTTGGGAAAGGTACGACTCTACCTCTTCTCCCTCCACATATGGGTTAATTAGTTAAAGAAAAAAAAAAGGAATTCTTACAATCTAAAACTTTCCTTTTCTCTGGCACAGATGTGCATATATGTTTCTACTGAAAGTTTCTTTTACAGATAGACAAATAAACATTTTCAAACAATGTTCAAAAACCTACTACAGATGTGTTTATACATCGATCTTGATTCTTTTTATGTCCTTCCGAGATTGAAATGAGTACAATTGTCAACTCATACATCTGGTAGAGGTGCTAGCCACCAAACAGGCACTTCAAGGTACCTCAATCTCTTAGTTACTGTATTAAAAACAAATAAAAAAAAAATTGTCTGAAAATGAAACGCTTTTTCCAAAAATAGTTGGTGGGGGAGGGGTTAAATAACCTGCAATGGACTGATAAGCCGTAGTAAACTAACCAAATGCCAGATGGTACATGTAGGTTCAGTCAGTGATTGAGATTATGTTCCGATTTCTAAGAGCCTGTTTCGAGATGGCTATATCATACTTATTATAAAACCCAGGTTGTGTGTGTGTGTGTGTGTTCGTTTATATATTGGATCGGATTTCCTACATTTTTCAACCGATTTCAACAAAACTTAACAGGACTATGTAAAATTACCTAGCGGTGGTTCTGAAAGCACCAAAAATTGGAAAAACAATTGTTTTTGCACAAAATCAATTTGAAAACACAATTAAGAGGCATCGCAAGAATGAAAGGACAACTCATATCGAGTTATACTTATTATAAAACCATGTTGTTTGTGTGTGTGTGTGTGTGTGTGTGTGTTCCTTTATATATGGGATCGGTTCCTACATTTTTCAAACCGATTTCAACAAAACTTCACATTTTTTTTGGCAGGTAGTGTTTCTTATTGTCTTGCACACTTTTTTCTTTATTTTTACATTCAGAATGCTTTAAAAATTCCATTTACAAGACAAGTGTTTATAATAAAATTCTATTCAATCGGTAGACTCATAACAATTGAAAACAATGTTTTTGTTTGAGTTTGACCAATTCGAAAAAAACAAAAAAAACAAAACAAAAAAAAAACTAAAAAACTAAGACATGCATGTCCGTCAACCTTAAACAATAATCTTTGTCAATTTTATTTTTCAGTCTTTATGATGGTCAATACTTGATCTATCTCTTACTGTTGCAACGCCGGGCGTTACTGCTAGTGTATATATATATATATATATATATATATATATATATATATATATATATATGTGTGTGTGTGTGTGTATTTAGGCAATAATCCTTCATTTATGCAAGTTTCATTAAAAACGACAGACAAGGTACTATGATTAAGCTTTTTCATTTAATTTTTATTGTTTGAACAAGTGTTTTCTTTTTTGGACACAGAGTGTGTAGAAACTGCCTATATGTTCTATAATTGTGAGCACTTTTGGCTATACTTTTAGCCAGTATCAAGGATGATTTTATTTATTCAGTTTGTTTATGTTGTGTGTATGTTTTTCGTGTTATAGAGATATTTTATTTTCTGAAAACAGCATATTGTGGCCGTGTTCGTAGTTAATATTATTAAGTGTTGGCTTTTCCTTTTTATTATATTTCTATAACACTAAAAACATACACAGATTATGAGAATATTTTTAAAAATCAGATTATGGAGTAGTTCAAAATTATCTAAAAAAACATGCTCACATCATTTCCTTAAATTATGCTTTGCAGATAAAGTCTTCATAGAACAACAATAAATCTGTTATCACCTTGTCACCACTTGTAAACATGGCTACTGTTGGTTAAAAAATGTATTTCTGCATTTTTTTAAACTTAAAGTAAATAATATTTGTTTCAAATCAGATTAACTATACTTTAAATCAGCTAATATTCCTCAAGTAAAGTTTCAAAAAAGTATATTTTATTTTTGGAAGATTTGTTTTTTTTTTTTTTAAGAGCACTAATCACCTATTTTAGAAAAAAAATAAATTTTGAAATATAGCAAAGGATTTTGCTTATTGGAAATATTAAATTTAATCTATGAGCTTGAAATTAAAACTAAAATAAAAGTATTTTTAAATTTCATTTTAAAACTTAGGTATCATGTTTTTTGTGTGGGGATAGCTACTACAATTACTATAGTCCAAAATATTAAGAAAAAATATAACTTTCAAATTTGGATACTCACGGCAAGTTCCTTTGAAAGATGCTCACGAAAATGATTGCTTATGATGGATATAAGATCACTAAATTTGACGTAGGCATAGCCATTTTGTAGGTAGACTTTTCGTGTTCTTACAAGATCAAGGACCTCTGTGAAAAATACCTGGAGGAAAGAAAAAGGACACTTCTGTAGTCAGCATTGTTGACAGAATGAGAATTCTGATCCATTATTTTGGCAATCAGCAAATCCATTATTTTGGCAATCAGCAAATCCATTATTTTGGCAATCAGCAAATCCATTATTTTGGCAATCAGCAAATCCATTATTTTGGCAATCAGCAAATCCATTATTTTGGCAATCAGCAAATTACTGATGAGCTTAACATTCGGGTATTAGAGAACTTTGCTGAACTTAAAACTACAACCACTAAATGCCAAAGATTTAATTACCTTTTCAAGAAATTTTATTATTTTACATAAGGTGACAGTTTCTTTTGAAGATAACATTCAATGAGCTTACAAGAGGTAACTGACAAATAGATACCTGTTGCAAAATAAAATCATTACATTTGCCTTGATGGAGTCCATCAGATGACGAAACGTATTGGCTTAGCCTAAGTATTTCACTCCTGCTTTTTTTTTTTTTTTTTAATTTATTCACACACAAACATGATGGTGCTGTTTTTCTTAAAGACAATGCCCAGATGACCCTACTACATTGTGCAGTCAACAAAATGGTGACAATATACCCATTGCACCCTGTATAGAGACACACACATGCACACATATATAAAGATTAATGTCAGTAAAATTTGTCACTTAGCAGACTGATTTTACCTTCAAGCATCTCGACTCCTAGACAGACATGTCCATTCACTCTTCAAGAGGGTTTCAGCTATTTTATATATATATATATATATATATATATATATATATATATATATATATGTATATATATATATATGTATGTATATAATATATATGTGTATATATATATATATATATATAATATAATATAATATATATATAATATATGTATGTATCTGTGTGTCTATATACAGAATGCAACAGGTAAATTGTTGCCATTTTATCTTTTTAACTACATACATGTGCATTGTTTGTTTTTGTCAACTGCACAGTATAGTAGGGTCAGTTGGGTACTGTCTGGGAGAAAAAGACCCTTATAATAATTCACAGCCAGAAATTTGCAAACGCCATGCTGCACTGATAGGCATTTGTGCCAGAAGTTCAGATACAAACATTTCAGAGTGTTTGGGTGTCAATCAAAAGACAGTGCAGAAGATTCGGAAAGAGTTGGATGAGTTTAATGGTGATTATGAAGGTATGGCAGCTTGGAAAACTCACTCCAATGGTTCTGATAATAATAGAACTCCCGAATTTGTTGGTGGGGGCCTCAGACTCAACACAGAGGCCTACATCTAGTACCTTGAGGAGGTAGTGCTGCTGCCCAGAGTCGAGAGGGTGGATGCTGGAAGATCATAAGTCAGGATTCTGCACCACACCTCACAAGCAGGAGAACTGAGTCATAGCTGTCAGAGATGTGTGTGAGTGTGTGTACACACACAGAATTGGGGGGGGGGTCAAATATTTGTAAACATACAAATTTTTAATTTATTGCATTTCTAACTAATGAGTAAACATACTTTTCATATAATTAACTGCACACAAATGCATAATAAATATGAATAGAAAATGGAAACAATTTTGATTTAATAGAAAAAAAATCCCATTTATCCATTTTAATGGGTGAAAAAAGTATTCTGTGCACTTACTAAGCTTAGTTTATTCTTGCATATAGTTATGACTGTAGGACACTTTGTGAGAAACTATAAATTAGATCTACTTAGCAGATCTGCAATATAAACCACAGATCAGCTTTGTAGGTGTTGAATTAATACCTGAGCAGGCACCTGCAAGAGGGACTAGAAAACTACATTAGCATACTGGGAAAGTAATAAAACAAATAGTCAGCCATTACGTTATAAAAATACACACAATTTTATATGTGGGACATTTTGCCACTCTAAGCAGGTGATAGTAATGATACGTCAAATTGTATCAATTTGGTATAAAAACAGACAAAATTTTGTACTTACCTTATAATATTCAGATTCCATGGTACCTTTTCCACATTTGCTCAATTTGTTTGCAATTTCATCTCTTTCATTATCATCAATCTTAAAAAAAAAAAAAACAAACAAAAAAGTAACAGCAAGGATAATAGTAATATTAACCAATCACTTGCTGCAGAAATTTGAATCATTTCCAATTCAGCCATAGAATTGCAAATGACAAATTAACTTAATCCCCAGTTAACAGTAAAAAGACACCAATCAATGTATTGGTCTAAGATCATCACTGATGATATTATGACTAACACCTGCATTTGATTTGTTTCTAGTTTATTCATTTGACAACATAAACAAAATAATTTTAAAGGAAGTATATTTCATTTGACTTTCTTTTAAACAAAATATTATTTTAAAAGAAGTACATTTGATTTTATATTAAACAAAATATTGTTCTCCATAAAGAAAAAAAAAAAAAAAAAAAACTTGTTTCCTGGTTCTATACCAAATGATGTTTATACATGTGATATTCCTAAGTAAAAAAACTACCAATGATTTAAAATGCTGAAAACATTATCTTCAAAGGATACAACATTCAATATACATTGTATTTAATCATTTTCTATGTATATGGTTATATATGAGTGTGTATGTGAACAAGTGAAAACAAAAATAAAACAAAATTTTGATAAAAATTATTTTCCTTATAAAATTAAGCATGCCATTCAGAAAACCAATGGGATGTGACCTGCAGGCCACAGTTTTCCCATGACTGATCTAGCCCTTCTATTGGCAAATGTCAGGTGTAAATACTCACCTTTGTATAACCAAGATCATTTTCAGCTGCAAAATTTTTCTTTTCATCATGATTGAGAATAGAAAATCGATAGCGAAACAGATCCAGTTCTTGTTGTAGGAACCAGCGACGTAGTTCATCCCTATTAAATAGAAAGTTCAAGTTATATACGTAGGCTTTCTATGGGTTAGTGAGCTCATCTAGAAATCTATTTCTACAGTGGAGTGAGCTTGGTATTCACTTAGTGTCCTACAGTCATACTATATGAAGCTTAGTAAGCAGGAAGAATATGAAAATGGAGACTGGGTTGGTGGACTGAAGATTGATTTGGTATTATCTTAAAAAGTTCTTAAAAGCCTAATACTTGATATAATGTATGGATCATAGTTACAAATCTGAATCATTTTATTGAATGTGGAACAGAAAGCACACTGCTGTAGAGTAATGTAGTGAACGAGATAATCAAGTACCCCGGAAAAAAGTTTGTGTTTTGTGCGCGATCTGCCGGGGAGGGATTGCCAAAAACTAGTCAGCAAAACTCTTATTCTACGGATAAGTGGTATTCACTTACCTACATAGTGACGCAAGTCCTTTATGTGTCTTGGTATGCCATCAACCAGCACAGAGCGTAAGTTACTTAGTCAGTGACATGCCACACCGGACGGGTTGTACACCCGATCGGCGTGTGAAATCTGATGGCATAGCGGTGTGCAACCCGGTAAAGGGGTGGGGCATGTTACTGGACTATGTAGGTAAGTGAATGGCATACCAAGACACATTACCGTCAGAATAAGAGTTTTGCTGTTGACTTTTTTGGCAATCCCTGGCAATCCCTCGCAGATCGTGACACAAAACACGGTAACTTTTTTTCCGGGTACTTGATTATCGTGCTCACTACATCCCCTGTCACATAAGTGACACTCATGGGCAGGCCTCTTTATTCTTAAGCTTCTCCGGCGCGGGGCGACTGTTGGAGGAGATTGTGTGTTATGTTCTGCGGTTTCTTTGATGTAGATGTCGTCAATGTAGGCTGACGTCGCTGATTTAATTGTCTCATCCTGGGATAGCACAGCATCCACGATGGCTTTCATGATGGCCGGCGCCACATTGAGTCTGAATCCCATTCGGGTTAAGCAGTACCTCGTCCCATTAAGAATCACCGTCTGAAATGGCCACAGTGACCGGTGCACGCGTACCTGCAAGTAGGCCTTTCAAAGGTCAATCACAGAGACATTGGATCCCTTCATTCGCCATTCTCCCAATTTTTGTGCACACACATCAGCATGAGCTGTGTATGTGTCTACATGTTCGTTCAGTTCTCTATAATCTAGTACAGGGCGCACCTTTCCCTTGTTCTTTTGTACCACAGCCATCAACGGGATGAGGCCTCTTGGAGGACCAAGCTCTTCCTCGGGATACAGAGTCAGCCATCCGTTATCCAGCCACACCTGCAATTCGCGCTGGTATTCTTCCTTGACGCGTTCAGGCACCGAATATTCTGACACTTTCGGTTCTGGAGCTTTTCTGGTGGGTTATTTTCCGACCATTTCCAAAATGCTGTCCATGTCTTCGATCCTTTGGTCGAACTCTGCGCTAAAAGTCGGGCTCGTTAATCTTCAAAGTAGCACAGATGGGCGGATCAGAAAACTTGACAACCGCCTGCCTCTGTAATCGTCGCCCAGCTCCTTAATAATGTCCATCCCAAGGAGCAGATCGAAACCTAATAACGTGCTGTCCACGACCAACACACTGACTGTGACAGGGTCACCGTTATTAATACTGAGTTTGATGTTTCCAACTCCCGGCTTCTGAGAGCCTTTCCATCAGCCATTAGTATGTCCATCTTTTGTCTGCTCCACTGTTGGCACATCGAACCGTTGGTGAGTGACCGAGAGCAGCCCGGATCTATTAACACGGTATGCGTTATTCCATTGATGCGTACCTTAATCACAGGGAGCGCCACTTTTATGCTCGGTGCGGGGAAGAGACCGGCGCTGACGTCGCATCCCCAATTCCATTTCCCGGGCACTTAGAGGCAATATGACCTACTTTCTGACATTGAAAGCATCGTAGATCGAGACGTGCCTTTCGCGCCCGACCGCTGCGCATTTCTTTGCGTTGATAGCGGCAGTCTCTGGCAAAATGATTCGCCCAGAGCACCGATAGCAGGTGGCAACGCCATGGTGACGAATGGCTGGGGTCAAACCTTCTTTGACTTCAATTGGTTGAATAACTGCGCCACTGGTTCATCAGCCTCTTTTTCGTCGATCATGACAGCACGGGCTCTGGTCAACAATTGATTGAGCGTCAGGTCTTCCATTCTGGATGATGCGGAGTATCTGCTTAACATGACTGGGCAATCCAGAAACGAAGGCACATGTCATCCATTCTTCAGGAAGCGGTGCGATTGGAACGGCGAGCTTCTTTAATTCTGCCAAATATACCTCTACTGTCTCGCCAGGTCGCAGACGCCCGTGCCTGGAATTGGTCGTAGGCCATGAACCGGTCAGTTCCAAAGCGCGGTTAGTAAAGCATGCTTTATTTGCTCAATGTCACTTTTCTGTTCTTTACTCAGCTGCCTATACACAGCAAGGGCACCGCCATTCAATCGCAGAGGAAGAATCCGATCAATCTTCGTGATCTCGCATAATTGCAGACCAGTTCCACCTTTTCGATCCATTCAACCACAGACTGTCCACTAGTATCACCACTGAATTCGGGGATCAGTTTTATATCGAGCGGTCTTTCCGCCATCTTGCGAGAGACAAAGTAAACGCTGAAATAGCTTGAAGTGTAAAAAGCGTTCTCAAAAGCAAATTTGTAGCTTTCACAACACAATGAAAAGAAAATCACTTGTAACACGTCAGGAAAAAATTCGGGCAGTTTTGGCTACGGCGTTCGCGAGTTATTTTCCTGATGTGTTACAAGTGATTTTCTTTCGTTGTGTTGTGAAAGCCACAAATTTGCTTTGAGAACGCTTACACTTCAAGTAATAATCAGTAAGTTAGACTAAAAGGTCATTACTCTGGACTTGAATTTAATCTTTAGTTGGTACTCTCACACCAAGCTTAGTAAATACCAACAGTTGATGTTATTAACATATATAAAAATGGACAATGTACATAGATACTACACTCATCCTAGTCAAAAGTATTAGAGAGTGATACATTGATCTAAGACAAAGGACCTATCCATATGTAAATAATCCCATAATTTTTTATGGGTAGTATGCTAGTTTTAAAAGTAAGTTCTCCAATACTAATTATTGGTCAACACCATAGCAGAGAATGTAAGCAAGAGGGAGATAAAAATAGATGCACTAAAACTTAGTGTTCTATGATTACAGTAAAATTTACATTAAGCACATTCGTTTTTTTCTCATATTACAACACTAAGTGTAATAAATAGGGGGGCAGGATTTGAAAAGTTCTCAGACAAACCCTCTCCCCAAAATCTTTTTTTTATTTTTAAATGTCAAAATAAAACTAGAGATAAGTAGTACTAAGAGGTCAAAATCTAAATATACGGAATAGTAAGTATGTCATTCTTAGTTGGACCAAGAACTTTACAGCACTCACTTCATAGATACAAGTTCCATCTACAAATACTTACGATCTACAGTAGGCTAATCGAAGGATATAGTGAGATATCTGATCAAAATCCCCCGAAGTCTGAAAGAAAGAGTAGAAAGAGAAATGAATTGGGTGGGGAAAAAAAAAAAAAAAAAATTCCTTTATATTATTAATGCTTCCATTATTTTAAATCTTTTTTTTTTTTTACAGGTTGATGAGATTACATTTGTATTTTCTACTAGTATGTTTTGGATGGAGTCTGGTAAGTTCATGTGTGTGCATTTATTCAAAACATACTAGTAGAATAGAAAATACAAACATAATAAACTCATCTGCCTGTAAAAAGAAAAAGATTAAAAATAATGTAAGCCTTAACCATATAGACATTATATATATATATATATATATATTAATATTTTTATTTAACAAGTATTTTAAATTGCAACATGGAAATTTCAGTGTTTCGGAACTTTAAATTTGTTCAATTATCAAGCGATGTCAGGTGACTTGATGTTAAAAAAAACTAAAAACATTTTAAAAGAAATTATAGACATTTTCTAGTAGAAATGGCAGCAATATAGCTTGACAATAGATAAGGCATTATTAAAATTTTAGGGTGAGTTATAAGTACAATATATACTTGAGTCTAGTGCTTAAAAAAACTGATCATAAAAATGATCAGTTTTTTAAGCAAAAATAAAAATCATACAGTTTTGGTGTATATGCATTATACACAGGTAATTTTTTTTTTGGATGGGTTAAAATTCATGTAGTTTTGATGACTGTAACCGACCTGGTAGGCCTACATTCTCATGGTACCTTTGGCTAGCGTTAACGGTACGGGTAAGCCCCTTTAGCCGCCTATATCCTAGATTCTTTCTTTCCACAGAACATCATTCACTATGTATGCCGCTTATAATCTACAAATACTTTATATAAATGAATTAACAATGTGGCTTTCCCTTTCTTCAACTTGTGTTCATCTTCATTCACATGTTTACATCACCGAGGTATTGCTTTTCCAGTAGCACACATTTGTCCTATATATATCTATATCATATAAATGTTTCAGTTGAGTTCCTTATTCTCTTCCTGTTTATTTTTTTTATTTATTATATTCTTTATATTTACTGGTATTATTTCATTTTATGATTTTCCTTTATATATTCTTAAAATATTTTGACAAGATGTACCACAATATACAGTAAATGAGGATTTCACAGGGTAAAATAACAACTAAATTTTAATCCTAGCAGATTTATTTACAGTATACAAGAATATTATCAATAAGAATCAACAAAAATGAAGAGTGTTATAAAAACATATCCTACTATTCATATATAAATTCTTCACATTATAAATTTGGAAACAGTATGTACTGCTTGGTATTTGCACCAAAAGTGCCAATACAAACATTTCACAGTGTTTGGGTGTCAATCTGAGGACAGGGCAGAGGATTCTGAAAGAATTAGAGGAGTCTAATGGCGATTACGAAGGTGTTTGTAGTGATCACAAGTGATGGCAACATTATGCCTCCATTCATCTTTCCACAGGGCCTCAGACTCAATATAGAGGCCTACATCAAGTGCCTTTAGAAGGTAGTGCTGTCCTGAGTCAAGATCACATAAATATCCTTGGGAAATGTATAAATCCACCTCTTCTTCCTCAGTTATCGGTTAATTAGCAAGACTTGTATCACTAAACCAGTATCATCTATATATTAAAAAACTCCTTACAATCTAAAAATATTTTCTGGCTTTAAATAACCTGCAAAAGGTTGCTAAGCCATTGAAAACAACTCAATCAAATATCTAATTAAAAAATAAAGCACCCTTAAAATTTTCAGGAAAATAAACTATGGGAAAATGTTAGGTTTATTTTTTTTTTTTTATACTGTCACCTAATAGAAGGCCCAAGAGTCACTCAAAGTAGAGAGTTACTGTATGTTACTGTATGAGCATAACAGAAGACAGTTTATGAGGTTAAGTAGGAAAGATAATGACTAATTCTAGATTTGATGAAGTTAAAATTGTAGTAATCAGAAACATTCTGGTGGGAGTGTGTTCTACAAAGCAGCAATTCTTGGGAAACAGTCATCTGAGTGGAACTTACTTCTTACTAATAGAATCCAGTAATCTATTTCCCCATAAAAGTTGGGTATTTCTATTTTCTAAGTAATTCAATCTAAATTTATTATAAAATTCAAGAGTTGAGCATAGCAAATATATAAAACACACAAGTGGAACCTGACCAAATCCAGTAGTATTTTTCAATGCTCTGGGTTAGCAGTAATGATTTTTATAGGTTTATTAAAGTTGGAGTGAATATCTTCAAGGCTATTACATTTACAATTTTTAAATTATATCGATAATGTAAAGTAAATATTAATAGTTTTTTGAGGGGAGGGGGGGGGTCTTTTTCGTTTTATTCCTTACCCTTATTTCTTTCCAAATTTTTGTTGCTTTTAATTTGTTTCTCAATTCTCTGTCATATTCCTCGTTAGTTTTCACATGTTGGATACCAACTGTTTCCATGACCTTCAAAACTGTTGAACAAAAAAACAAAAACAAAATTGTCACGCACTTTGATGAAAACAAGGATTAATTTACAGGGTCTAAATGATCAATTTTTTTCTTAATTATACTTAATTCAGTGACATGAATATGCCAGTTTAAAAAAAAAATTACATGCACAGCAGAAAACTTGTTCAGAAATATCTGAACTGTATATAACTGCTACCTCAGATTACTGATTAAAAATAGCTTTGAGTGAATGAAGCACATAGCTCATAGAAGGGCTACCCATCTTCAGTGTGGACTGACACTACACGATCATAAAGAACTGTACCAAATAACACAAACCACGTCACTTGAGGTCTTTCAACAGCAGCAACAACTAAAATGGATAGCATATATAAGTCAATTAAAAAAATAGCACAATCAAGATGACGTTCCACATGACTTCAAACAAAAAGTTAGGAAGGAAACCCCCATCAATACTGGAAAGAGTGCTAACAGAACTAGAGAAACTTATTTTTCTGAAAAAATTATTATGTAAAGATTTCATTGACTTCAACAAAATATACCACTGGCTGCTCAGTATTTGAATGCCAAATGTTTCCTATTATAAGATTTGATCAATAAGTCTGTTGCATGAAACACAGTTATTAGTTGAGTTCTGATCTGAAATTTTCATTATATAATGTTCAAATTGTGATTAATATTATTCATTGCTTAATTAAATGCAACAATAATAGAAGATTATATTGACACATCTGTTGTGTAAAATATTTTTTTTCATAATTGTACTGTAAACTTATTAATGTACTTACATGTGTGAAGGAGGATGCTGAAGAGTTTTCAGCCCATCCAATAAGGGATCCCAAACCAAATACTGATGTTTTGTCAGATTTTAGTAAGTGGGTCAGGCATAAAAATTTTCAACACCCTCTCATATGCACCAATTAAAACATATTTATCTCCCCCTGTTGAATACTGTCTATTTTATGGATATGAATAATTTCAATAAAACTATATTTCTTTTTAAAGAAACTTTTATTAAAAACATCACTCTCTTTTCACTACATAAAAATCCATTATTTTTAACACTTTTTTTCGTCTATAACATTTTTTTCGTCTATAACATTTTTTTTATTAATATTTTTCTATTATAAACTGAAATAGTTGTAATGGAGAAAAATTTTAAAAAAAAAAAAAAAATTAAAAAAGAAAAAAAAAGCAGTTCTAACCTTTCTCTCAAATTGATGGCAGATATCATCTTGAATATCAGCTGAATCACTGATATCCAAGATGACTGATGACTAAATAATGAACGCTAATTTTAAAAAATTATTTCCCAAACAGTTCCCCCCCGCTTTCAAATGAACCACCGTCTCTCTCTCTCGCCTGTGACTGAATGATACCTTTTTCATTTAAGCATCTTTTACAGCCCAGAATTTGCAAGGGTAATTTAGGACAAAAAAAAAAAAACTCTCTCTAAAAGTACAGATTAACAGATTTCCACTTTTGTTTCCTTTTTTATTTTTGGTAAAAAAAAAAGTAAAAAGAGAAGCAGGGCCATAATTCACAAAAATAGAAGTAGAAAATTGGCTAGAACTTTTGAAAAACAAGTTAATTGGGAGGAATGTTGTAACAGACGCACTCCGTCTAATCTTCCTTTAAGAGAAATTGTTGAATTGATGAATCTCTAATGTTTAAAACTAAAAGAAAGAATATTAGAAAAGTAGTACATCAAGAATGGATTTTTGAACTTTATGATATTGATTAAAAAAAAAAAAAGCCTATCTGGCATGATGCTGACAGAAGTGCAGAAACTTCACTTCCAATTGTGCAGTAATGTGTTGCATCTGGTGCTATCATTCATAGTGATGGATGGAACACTTATAATGGGTTAGCTGCGATTGGGTTTCAGCATCTAGTTGTCAACCATAAGCAGAATTTTCTTGACCCAATGACTGGAGCCTGTACTAATCACGTAGAACAGTGTTTCTCAACCAGTGCACCTGGGCACACTAATGCATCCTGAACTGTAACCAGGTGCACCTAGAGTAATTTATTAATTAATTTTATATCTAACCACCCCCCCAACCCTAATTTTTAAAAAACTTGAGACACCATAAACATGGCTTCCATGTCTAAATCAAGTATTTTTGTCATTTGATATTTTATGGATGTTAAATTATTTAATCTTTAAGGAGAGGATTATCTTTTAGTTTTGCCTTACTGGACAGATTTAAATCTGTTATCATCGATCTAAGAAGAAAAAAATTCATGATTCTTCATAAATCCATTTAAGTGAAAACTCTACCGCTTGTCTTAAATATAAAATGTCTTAATAATCAAATGATTATTTCAAGAGACTTCTTTGCTTTCAGTCAGTTATTTGTCATGTGTGATACATGTGTAGGCGATCATGTATCTTTCGATACATGACTGTCAAGGGAATTTTTTCCCCACGCAGTAGGTTGCCATTTCTTTCTGCGGTACACCAGCTGTCATCCAAGGCTATGGAACCCAGTCTGTCATGCTACTTACCCATAGCTGGGGGGAGAAGATTTATACCTTTCCCAAGGGTATTAGCATGTAAGTGAATGTAACGGATTTGGCAGGAATTCGAACTCGGCTTTCCGATTCCTCAATCCGAACCGCTATCCATTACTCCAACTATTTTCAAACTTCATAACTAATTTTTCCTTATTAAAAGTGCGCACCAGAGTTTTTTTAGTTATTCTACAAGTGTGCCATGAATTAATAATGGTTGAGAAATATTGATGTAAGAAGCATATTGGGCAAGAATCCAGAAACGCCTGAAGAGAATTGATGGTTCATCAAAAGTTTATCTGAAATGGTCACACCTGGATGAAGCAATTTATATAGATTTTTTCAAGGTCAAGGCTAATAATGTTTAGGAGAATATAGACACTTTTTTTTTTGGACATCGTCAATCAGCAGTCCATTAAACGTTGGATCAGATGAACAGGACCAATCGTTAATAATTGGTTGTATATGATTCTTTATGCTATAAGTAAATAATATTTATTTCAAATCAGATTAATTTAACTTTAAATTTTCTAATTTTAATAAAATAACGTGTCAGAAATATATATTTATTTTTTGAAAGAACTTTAAAATAGAAAAATTTGTTTTGTTTACAAATTTCTTAAAATTAAGAAAATGGCCGCTTTTAAGAAAATTTTAAGAAATCGAAATTAAATTTGACATTCCAATCTATATAATTTCTATCTGAAATACTCCAGAATATTTTACTTAATGGAAATAATAAATTATTAAGCTTTCAATTAAAATTAAAATGAAATCTTCAAGAAAGATTTTTCATTTTTAAAATTTAATTTTAAACCTTAGGTATCGAAAATTTGTGCCAAAATGTGGAGGTACCCATATCATTGTAAATGTAATACACATTTTATTACTTTACTTGGTTTTAAAAATTAATACATGCATTTAAATTAAATTTTTAGGAGGTGCGTCTAACAAGATTCCACCGTTAATTTCAGAACAAAGAACTTGTGAAGATTGTTACTGCAATATGACCTTGGTATACAAAAGTTGCTCTGATGGATGTTTTTGGAGATGTCCAAATGAAAACCAGCTGTAGGAAAAATATCTTCAACCCAAGAATAATAGCTGGCTTCATCTCAGAGAAAAAGGAGCAAACAAGCATTAGCACGAGTCGGAATATATATCTGAACATATGTATTTGAAAAAAAAAAAAAATGATAAAAAAAATAAACCAAACGATATATAAAAATTTTAACTCGCCATTTTGCGCGTGCAAATTATGGTCCCGTTTCTTGACTTATCGATTTTATTTTATTTACAAAAAAAAACTCAATTTTTCAAAGAGCCTTTTTTTAACAAATATATTTTTTAAAAGTTTAAATGTTTATTAAATTACAGACAGATTATTAACTGATTTTCATATAAAAATCTGCCACCAAACTAATAAAAAAAATGTAAATACATTTATTTAAATATTTTTTTTTTAACTTTTTTACCTTTTAGCCTTTCAACTGCGAACTCCTCGAATTCTTGCAACGAAATAGACTCAGTCGGCGGCAATTTGTAAAACGAAAGTTGCGGCTTAGTTTCCAGGTATTTTTTGCTTTTGTTCAGCGATGATTTCTTTAGTTTCGTATGGGCTATTTCCATGATTTCAGCTTTACAAATTAAGTTTTTTTGTCTCTGTTTTTTTATTTCTGGATGAAAATCTCTCAGAAAACACTCACTCAAACAAGAAACTTTGTTATTTTACAGTTTCCCGCCAGCTGACTGCTGCTGCTACTTTGGGCGAATAATCACATTCTTTTCTCGAGGAAACGAGAGTTGATGTTCTTTGAGTTTAAATGATTCTAAATTCTAAAATGAAATGGAATCATTTTTTAAGTATTCTTAAAATAGGATAATTAATAATAGTTAAGTTTACTGATTTTTATTTATCTCTTAAATAAAAATTCTATTTTTATTTATCTATTAAATGAAACTTTTATTTAATAGATAAATAAAAATCAGTAAATTTAACTATTATTAATTATCCTAAGAGTTTTTGCTTTTTAGTTTAACATAAATTTTAGTTTTCTCAAGCTATGAAGCTTTTATAATAAAACCATAGCTGAAGAAAACTAAAAAAATTATGTTAAACTGAAGTTTAAGTTAAACTTTTTTTTTTAACTTATTCATAAAAAAAAAAAAAACATTCCACTTAAAAAAATTAAATTAAAAAAAATATTGTCGGAGATTATTTATTTAAGAATTTTGTTTCGATTTTTTGTACTAATTAACAACCAAAAATCTTTCTCGATCTAATTTTGTAGTTAAATAAAAGCCTAATGTAATCTAATCAGGAAATTATTATCTTTAAAATTCAAAAAGTGTCGTATAAGGATTTTTTTAAAAAATGTCTTTTGTGGGGATAACTAAAATTGTGAGCGAAAAAAAATTAAAATAATTTAAATGTCACCTTTTTAATAAAATTTTGGTTTTAATAGGGCAAAGTAAAAAATAAATAAAATAACTTTTGACGCATTTCAATATAAAATTTTAAAACATTGTCAATTTCAAATCCACTATTTTAAATTTAAATTGAAAAGTGATGGCAGAAATATTAGACAATTACTTAAACTAAACATCTCTTAAAATTTTTAAGAGATGTTTGGTTTTTAAGTTAAAAATCAAACATCTATCCTAGATATTTATTAAAAGTAAATTAGTAAAAAAAATTAAGGATTAATGAAGAAGAGAATTTTGGAAAAATATTACTTTTACGCTTAAACCGAAAAACAGATTTGAACACAAGGAATCTATTCCACGGTGCCCAGAGTGGTCTAGTTAGGAAAATTCGGTAACAATGAAATAAAATTTGATTGAAAATAGATTTTAGGGCCGTTCCCCTATATTTTTGAAATAGAAATGTAAATGAGGCTCTAGTTTTTGCTTCTTTAAAAAATAAAAAGAAATAAATAGCTATCTAAAACTTAATTTATTTACTACTTTTTTAAAAATAATAATCTGAAGATACAAGAACTTAACTTTAACTTAAATTGATTTTATTTGCTTGAAAATAATAGAGTATAGTAATTAAATTAATTTAAAAAAATATTTATTTAAAAATATTGGAGTGGGACTTAGCCCCCTAAATCACCCATCCAGAAAGTACGGCCCAGGTATTGTTGCAGTGGGGTTTTATCTGGACTGGAACCCATGATTTTTTTTTGGTTAATACATTTAAACGTAAGTGGTGGTGGGGTAGCCTCAACCCCGAAAGTACGGCCTAATACAGCCCATCCAAAAAAAAAAATTGAGCCCTAGCCCACCCCAACCCACTTCTGCAAGTACAGCCCTGGTATTGTTGCAGTGGGGTTTTATCTGGACTGGAACCCATGATTTTTTTTTGGTTAATACATTTAAACGTAAGTGGTGGTGGGGTAGCCTCAACCCCGAAAGTACGGCCCTGGTATTGTTGTAGTGGAGTTTTAGAGCCCCATACAAAAAAAAAAAAAAAATTGAGAAAGGAGCCCTAGCCCACCCCACCCCACTTTACAGCCCTGGTATTGTTGCAGTGGGGTTTTATCTGGACTGGAACCCATGATTTTTTTTTGGTTAATACATTTAAACGTAAGTGGTGGTGGGGTAGCCTCAACCCCGAAAGTACGGCCCTGGTATTGTTGTAGTGGAGTTTTAGAGCCCCATACATTAAAAAAAAAAAAAATTGAGAAAGGAGCCCTAGCCCACCCCCACCCCACTTCTGCAAGTACAGCCCTGGTATTGTTGCAGTGGGGTTTTATCTGGACTGGAACCCATGATTTTTTTTTGGTTAATACATTTAAACGTAAGTGGTGGTGGGGTAGCCTCAACCCCGAAAACGGCCCTGGTATTGTTGTAGTGGAGTTTTAGAGCCCCATACATTAAAAAAAAAAAAAATTGGCCACCCCCACCCCACTTCTGCAAGTACAGCCCTGGTATTGTTGCAGTGGGGTTTTATCTGGACTGGAACCCATGATTTTTTTTTGGTTAATACATTTAAACGTAAGTGGTGGTGGGGTAGCCTCAACCCCGAAAGTACGGCCCTGGTATTGTTGTAGTGGAGTTTTAGAGCCCCATACATTAAAAAAAAAAAAAAAAAATTTAGCTCACCCCCACCCCACTTCTGCAAGTACAGCCCTGGTATTGTTGCAGTGGGGTTTTATCTGGACTGGAACCCATGATTTTTTTTGGTTAATACATTTAAACGTAAGTGGTGGTGGGTAGCCTCAACCCTGAAAGTACGGCCCTGGTATTGTTGTAGTGGAGTTTTAGAGCCCCATACATTAAAAAAAAAAAAATTGAGAAAGGAGCCCTAGCCACCCCACCCCCTTCTGCAAGTACAGCCCTGGTATTGTTGCAGTGGGGTTTTATCTGGACTGGAACCCATGATTTTTTTGGTTAATACATTTAAACGTAAGTGGTGGTGGGGTAGCCTCAACCCCGGAAAGTACGGCCCTGGTATTGTTGTAGTGGAGTTTTAGAGCCCCCAAAAAAAAAAAAAAATTGAGAAGGAGCCCTAGCCCACCCCCACCCCACTTCTGCAAGTACAGCCCTGGTATTGTTGCAGTGGGGTTTTATCTGGACTGGAACCCATGATTTTTTTTTTGGTTAATACATTTTAAGTGGTGGTGGGCCCCCAGCCTCAACATTGGTAAAAAAAAAAAATAAAAAAAAAAAAAAAAATTGAGAAAGGAGCCCTAGCCACCCCCACCCCACTTCTGCAAGTACAGCCCTGGTATTGTTGCAGTGGGGTTTTATCTGGACTGGAAATGGGTTAATTTTAAACGTAATCTGGTATTGTTGTAGTGGGAAGCCCCCATTAAAAAAAAAAAAAAATTGAGAAAGGAGCCCTAGCCCACCCCCACCCCATTTTACAGCCCTGGTATTGTTGCAGTGGGGTTTTATCTGGACTTGAAAAATTTAAACGTAAGTGGTGGTGGGGGCCTCAACCCCGAAAGTACGGCCCTGGTATTGTTGTAGTGGAGTTTTAGAGCCCCATACATTAAAAAAAAAAAAAAAATTGAGAAAATTTGACCCCCACCCCACTTCCTACAGCCCTGGTATTGTCCAGTGGGGAACTGGAACCCATGATTTTTTTTTTGGTTAATACATTTTAAACGTAAGTGGTGGTGGGGTAGCCTCAACCCCGAAAGTACGGCCCAACTTACATTAAAAAAAAAAAATTCACCCCCACCCCACTTCTGCAAGTTGCAGTGGGGTTTTATCTGGACTGGAAATGATTTTTTTTTGGTTAATACATTTAAACGTAAGTGGTGGTGGGGTAGCCTCAACCCCGAAAGTACAAAATTACATTAAAAAAAAAAAAAAATTGAGAAAGGAGCCCTCACCCCCAACTTCAAATATTGGTATTGTTGTAATAATGGGGTTTTATCGGGAACCCACGATTTTCTCAGTTACTTAAAAATACAGGGGACGGGGCTTAGCTCCCAAATCCCTGCTCCAGAACAACCCTAAAATCAATTTCGAATCAACTTTTATTTCATAGTTACCAAATTTTCCTAGCCTGTCAAAATTTTGAATATTCATATTCCATTTGTCAACAAATTCCTAAATCAAACAATTGCAGTTACTGCCACAGTACCCGCTTAAAAAAAAAAAAAAAAAAGGCCTGCAAATTTAATTTTCTTTACGAAAGATTAAAACTGACAAAATACAAAAATTGGTTTCATGTTTTATTTAAAATAATCATTTTAATATTATATAACTAATAAAATAGAAGTATATTTTTAATTTATTTTTAATTTTCAACTTGATAGAATGAATATTTTTTTGATATTTTAGGGAAAATATTTTTAAATATTAAAATAAAGTTATACTTTTTATTGCATTTATTCTTTATTTATTTTATATTCTTTCTTTGATTTACTTTTTTTTACATGTTTGATGTCATGAAACATTTAAATTAAGTACTTTTATTAAGAAAATTTATTAAACAAAAAACTGCTACTATTAAAAAAAACTGGGGAAATTGATAAAGAAAGATTGAATTGATACTGTTAAATAATAATAGCTTGCTTTTATGAAAAATATAGGTTATCTCTCTTTGGCTGATAAGTACCCTGCTGGGAAAGATGAGTACATGTATCTGATAATAATGAGTAATTAGCAATTCTCTCTTCTCATTTTCGTTGTATAATGCATTACTAATATAAAAGAATGCTTTTTAAGCTGTTCAGTTGTCTTGTCATTTGTTCCTCTGTTACAACTTATATGGGGAGTTGATAATTTTCTTATACCTTTGCTTTGTATTTGGACTTTTAAGGATGAGTGAACATTTTGAAGAAGTCAGAAGACATGAAAATTTCGACCTGGACGCATAAAAATAAAGCTTCAGAAGGAAAAAAATATTGTGGCTATCATCTGTGGATGCACTAGACTGTTTCTGACAGAAGATGCAAATGGAAAAAAGACATGAACCAAAGAGAAACCTGAATAACACAGGCCCAGTCATGTAAGTGAATGTACTAACCTAAGTAAAAGATTCACTTTGATTTTCCTTGAATGTTACCTGGATTGACAACCACCAAAACATGTAAGCATAACAACAAAATTTAGAAATATTTACATTATATACATTGTTTGGACTGTTGTCCTCATATTTATTGTCATATCCATGATGTTTCGGCCATTCAAACCTTCTTCAGGTGATTGGAATTTCAAACTAAACCCTTTATTTCATGGCCCAGTGGATAAAAGCATTGGTTGGATCCAGTGACTTGACCCAAAGAGTTAAAGGGAGATAACTGAGACATCAGAAAGAGGCATGGCAGGTGGAAATAGGGTAGAATTAGATTTCAACATTCTCTCTTTTAAACCTGTCAAAAGAGGATCACAGCTAAGTATTCTCAGTTTGTGTTGAACCCATTAAAATTAGGCTCCATTATGAAACAATGCTTTCTGATTGGTCCATAAATTATAATGTCATGTTTCTGCTTACATCTGCACGGTTGACCATTCAGAGTTCAGCATGCCAAAAATTGGTATACATTCTCTCAAGCCTCCCATGTGATCAAGAAAATTCATAAATATGAAACTTTGACACGACTTAGTCAGTGAGTCCTTAAAATAATCAACTCGTTACACAAATCCATGAAACCCAACTTCCCCACTAAAAGTTAATTTTTATTAGCATCAACTCGGCTTGTGGAATTCAGTTTCTTTTCAACATCAACTCATCTAGTGACGAATACAACCAATACGAGATTGAGAAACCAACTCACTCAATATCTTATCAACATAAAGGTAATCGTAACTATATCAGTCGAAGGGAGACAACTCTACAGTAAGTCAAGCAATCTATTTCATTCAATTTCACCATCAACATAAACTGTTTAATTCCTTACCAGATCTATAGCATAACACCTTGATCACACAACCAAGAACTCTAAAATGTTTTAAACAACATTATTATATCGTGTGTACTTGTTGTTATATGAAAATATTTTTTGTTAAAACAAATATCTGCTTATTTGATTATTTCTCTTGTTGTTCTTGTATTTTTTTTTTTTTGTTGCATTTGATTTAATAAAATAGTAGAGGGTCAGTTTAATTTGTATTTTGTTACTGACACAGATTGGCTAACCCACTACATTTGAACAATCTAAACGGGATGGAATAAAAGGTTCAGTTTGAAATAAATACAATACCTCATCTTGGAAATATAGACAAAATTTAGACCATTAGTCCAATTGTAAATAATAAATGTGGTATTGTGTTGAAAGAAATAAGGAAGACTCTTTGGGTCATTGAACATTACTCATTAAGTTAATGGCAGAACAATGAAGAATGAAGATTATTATTGTCTTCTTCCCCCAACTTTTAGTATTGTTCCAGTTCTATTGGTATTGATCACAGAAATAAATTTCACAAGGTGGCATCCCCTTGGAGAAATCAAGCAGAACTGAAATTTGGCTTTCTAGATAATAAATTTTTTCACTATTTACATTATTCGGACTATTGTCCTCATCTTTGTCGCCATGTTTATCACGTTTCGGCCGTTGTACGCTCCGGCCTTCATCAGGTGGTTGGAATATCGAACTGAACCCTTTATTTTGCTAACTGGGGTAGACTGTTCTAGTTCCATGTGGCATGTCTAATGGATGTCAGTTCTCTCCTGCTAATTCCCCTCTGAAAGTTCTCCACTGTCTTAACTAGGTATTAAACTCACACTCTTTGGGTCCTGTCACTGGATCTAAGTAACACCTTTATCCACTGTGCCATATGTCCTTGATAAGGACAATAGTCCGAATAATGTAAATAGTGTACATAATACCTCATCTCAGAAATATAGACAGATAGAAATTTCTTTTACAATAAGTTATTTTTGTGCGAAATAAAAGAATTTATTTTTCCTTGAAAAGAATGAAAAAAGAGAGAACATCCACTTTCTTTTTCTGAATACTTGTCATGTCCATAAAAAAATAAATAAAAATTAATTATTTTGTCCAAAAAATAATTATAACAATTATAATTATCATTAATTCACTCTTTCCAAACCAATGACAATCGACCCCCACTTTTCTTCCCTAGACACCATGACATTCTCACTATTGGACAAGCAGTTCACATGGAGAGGTCATCAACACATGCATCAACGAAAATTTAATCTCCTTTTCCTTTTCCAGTTGTAATAGTAACATTTACCTTTTAAGACTCAACAAAAATTTGGGGTAAGAAAACCTCAGACACTTCTTGTATTTTCTAAATTAAATTATCTGGACATCCATTAAATAATGTCTTAGTTTTACTTTTACTACATTTTTTATTTTACGATTCAGAGCATATTTTCCGCAGCTAGGGGTCCTGTTTTACAAAAAGAAATTGATTTAAATTTTCAAAGGATTTCTGCTTACTAAACATTTTTAAGCCCTAAAAATTTTAATTTTTTGATATTTCTTAAGTACGTGGGGTGGGTAATAGATATAAAAAAATATTTTTACGTAGATTTTCTTAAACAGAAACGTTTCTAAAATCATTCCATTCATTTGTATGAGTCCTGAACTGCAAAGTTTCATTAAAATCCGTCAATTATTTGATTTTGCATAAGTTTCCAAATCAATGTTTTTCACCGCGAAAAGTCGACAAAATTTAAACTAATTTATGGTCCGCTACTGACATGAGAAAAAAATTTAACCAAAATTTTGAACGTTCTAAATAGGATTAAAAAAATATAATTTTTATTTATTTAATAATAATAATAATAATAAATCCTTTGCTCTTTCCACTTATTCTTACAAATAACATAATGGTTTTAACGATAAAGCTTGGTTTTTATTAAGTTTGGGGTATTTTTTCATCATGTATGCTATGCAATGCTCATTTTTAGAGCGAATAGTTGAAAGTACCTAAAAAAGGAAGTTATGGAGAGCCATGACCGTTTATGAACTGAAGGGATATGACATTGAAAATAATTAAATATTAAAATACAAATGTGGTTGTTTTCTTTTTTTTGTGTGATTTGAAATTTTCGTTTATTTTTGCAAATTCTAATTTGTAACAAGTGCGTAATCTTAAAACGCAAATAAAAAGCAGACGTTATTTTATAAAAATTAAAAGCAAAAAGACTGTAGAAAGAAACAACGAATGAAGAGAAAGGAAGGGGGAAGCGGAGATAACGTTGAATTCTCGGCGTGGCGAGATTTCACTGCGACGAGACTTGAGTCGCATTTACGAATTCGTTGTTTGCTTCTTTGGAATTAAGTTAATTATGGTGTCTGTTTCACTTGCCTTAGTCGAAGGATGGCTCCCTTTTGTCGCTATTCTCCTGGTGAGTTCATTTATGCCGATTATTTATATATTATTTCTTTCCATATTTACCATTTCTCTTTGTAATGTTCTGTGTATTTAGGCGTATTTGTTGCGTAAATGCTGATGCATCTAAAAAAAAAAATGTAAGTCACTGACTTTAAAATAGTAGTTTGTTTTGGTTGATAAATTTCTTCATTCTTTGAATTATTTATTTAGCGTGCTTATATTTGATATTGTCAATCGTTTTATTTCCTTGTTAATAATTGTAATTACTTCTAACATTGCTATTTTTTTCATCTATAATTTCATTTAAGCTCGAACTCTGTCAAAAAATTAAAACGTAAAAAAAATTTAAGTGATTCTCTTTAGAAAATGTTTGTAATAATTTATTTAATTTCTGTTTAAATCCCATGACGACAAAAAGTTTTAGATTTAGGAAAAATAACATAAGTAAATGAAATGGGGAAAAAATAAATTATTTTTACGTTATAAGAAAAAGAAATGAATTACTTTCACTTTAAAGTTAAAAATGCATAGAAAAGCTGCGAGCGAAAAAGGAATGAAATTTGGTTAAGTTTAACGTTTCAAACGATTTATTTCTCCGTACCAAACTTTGATTTTATTGTCATTACATTCCCTTTTTAGCCTTAATTAGTTTGAACTGGCCTCATATTCCGGGCCCAGATTTAGTGTTTTTGTTTATTTAAGAGAGAAAGATAAAATGAAAAATAGCTTGAAGTTTTGAAAGCAAAAATGGTATATGAAGAATTATATTCTTTTTCTATATTGAAGGAATTATGTGTAAGGGGGTGGGGGAATCAAGTAATTTTTTCTTGCTTTCTATGAACTTTTGACTAAAAAATATCAAAATCCCACAGAAACGTAAAACCTCTACCTCGAGTGGCTCCCGGTCCTTGTAAGGGTGAACCTTACCGTAAAAAAATGGAATATAGAGATGAGATTTAACAAGTTTTTATTCTGTATCTCTTTGATACTTACAGGACATATTGAAAGCGAGAGGGAGAGCTTGTGTATTAAAAAAAAAAAAAATGGATGTGTAGGGGTGAACTTCACTGTGTAAAGAAAAAAAATGATAGAACTGGGCCTGGGAGGGATAGCAAAAGGACAGGCATTGCTTGGAGCTATAAAGTATAGGAAGATGTGGAGAGTCATAATCGCTATGAAGGTATACGGTACATAAAAGAAAAAAAATGAGGGGTGGTAAACAATAAAAAACGTATTAAAAAAAACAAAAAAAAAACGGGCATTCTGATGTTTGGGAATTTGGTCAGATATTTGGAAGTGAGTTGGGCCAAGAAGAGTTTTTCACAAGTGAGTGTGTGTGTGTGTGTGTGTATATGTATGTTATACACACACACACACACACACACACACACACACCCATAATCAAATTTTCCTTGTTTGTCGTATGTTCAATGAAGAATATATGAAAGAAGGATTGCTGCCAAATATATATATATATATATATATATATATATATATATATATATATAATATGTGCACACACAAAATATGAATGAATACCCAAACATCAGGTTTTTTTTTTTTTCTGTTAATAGTACTTATTGAAGTTCATCTCGGAGTTTCATAATTTTTTTTAATCACTCATCAGGATTCCCAACATTGTGTGTGTGTATATACGTATAATATATATATTTTTACACACACACACGTATAATATACACATGTTACACACACACACACACACACACTAGGAAGTGAAATTGGGACACCCATGACAACAATGTCAATTTATACCTTAGTTTCTAAAAAAAAAAAAAAATGACTTGTCACTTCAGGATTTAGGCAATCATGACCCATACAAATTTCTTTGTTTCTTCTATGTGCTGTGTCACCTCATGTCATTGGCAATCATACCTCTCCACAATTTCCTATCCTTTGTAGCGCTTAATAAATTTTGTCTTTTTGCTATATCACACAAGCCCTGCTCATCAATCCATCCACTCAAACTTGCCAGACAGGTTATGTATTGTTTTCTTTGTCCTTCTTGCCTTCACTCTGTTCTGTGAGTATCAATTTTCCAGATCCTCTTTCCCCATTATGTTCCCTAGAAATCTCAACTCTTTATGATGTTAAGTATAAGTTTCCTTTTTATTTCCATTTTCTTTAGAACTTTATTATTGCTCACATATTTGGTCCATGGTAGAACCACATTTCTGTTGCTTAAAGTGTCTTCTATATCTGTGAGGAGATTGTCCAGCATTCACTGCCATATAGAAGAACTAATATTGCATAACAGTTCAGTACTCTTTTCTTTATTTCTAACAAAATGTTCCTGTTTTTTAATACTTTGCTTAACTTTTGGAAGGCATTTTTCACTATCCCAATGTCCCTTTGGTTTTCAGTGTGGCATTTTCCATTCATTTTTTTAAAACACTGCCCAGATATTTAAATTGTTGTACCTCTTTGCATTTATGTGTGCATTCATAGAAGGGTTGCCTGAGCATGTCAGGAGGCTGCTTTGTGCTTCCCCTTGAATGGATGCACTGAATGTCAACCAGCTCTTAGGTATATTTTGCAGTGTAAAACTGCATTCCTGAATTTCTTGAAAAGCAGTGTAGTGCTTTCTCTTTGTTTTCTCTATAGTTTGGAATTCAAAGTTTCCTTCTCCTGTACTAGTTGTCACACTAAACTAGCAAACCCAGTCTTAGTGATTCTGTAGTGCATATTCACAAGATCTGATAAAGAATGGTCCTCTCTAAACTTCATTCATTTGAAGCCATTTTAATCATTGATCAGAGAAAAACACCTGTTGTATATTGCTGACAGTTTAGACATTTCTGGATGAGTTAGACATCATGCAAGTTTTCAAACTGTTTAATTAGCATTAATATAGTTTACAACCCACACAAAAATAAAAGAATATTAAGGCAAAATTTTCTCCAATCTTTCTTGTCAATAACAGAAATAGTTACAATAAAATTATAATTTTAATTTTGTAAGTTTTGTGAATTTCTATGGGCATAGTCTCATGTGATAAAGTCTATCCCCTCTCCCCTCCTATATTGTAATGTAATTTGTTATTGGTTGCTGAGGTTTCATTAGAACTAGGTATCCCAAACTATTTTCAATATACCTAAAAGCATAAAAAATGGTACCAAATTTATCTTGCTAGCTCAATTAGCAACTGAGTTATGACCATTCAAAATCGGATTTTCTGTCTTGAGTGTGATTAGGCCAGGAGCTCATTTTAACAGTGTATATGTGAAAAGGCAGGCTTCAAACAAGTGAAAAATCATAAATGCAATGTCAGTAATAAAAGAAAGATAATAATAATAATGGAATTAATAATTATTAGATAAGACTAGCCTAAACAGGGGTATAGGGGTGGGGGGGAATTACATTCCATCCTAAAAAGTACAAAAATAACATATGAAGGCAAATTTCACTATTCATATAAATTCCAATTCTACAGTTAAGTCACTGAAACAATTTAATGTTTCATAGTACCTTAGAGATTAAGCTAAATTTTTTTCACAGGAGCACATCAGTAAAACAACTCTTACTTCACCATGTAAGTACAGGTAGAAGCAAAATTTGATAGTAAAGCAAAAAAAGGGTTAAAAATGTACCTTTTATCTGGTGGGGGTACAAGCCTGAAACTTTGAAACATAACTCGCTTGTGGACAAGGAATTCAATGAAACATTTATTTTGTCTACATTAAAACTTTTTCTCATAAATGTATTTGAATTTTTAAAAATTTTGTAAATTTATACAATTTTTGACTTGCCCAAAAATGACTGACAACATCAAAACTTTGAAACTTATTATGCAAAAGGAATCTGTGGTCAATGTTTCAAATAGATACTTATTGTAAAGTCTTAAAACTCAATTTTTAAATATAAAAAAAAAAAAAAATTAAGTAAAACTATATTTATTGACTGATAAAAAAGACTTCCTGAGCAGTAGTATGTCCTACTACACTTTCACTCCTAATTTACAGTCTGAATTTCTTTATAGGCTTCTATAATCAATATTTCTGGAACATTCACTTGAAACTGGCATTAAAACTAAGTCCCATCTTGAGACAAAAGTTGACTCAACCTGTCTAATATCATCCACCAAAGGCCATCGGAAATAATAATTTCTACTCTTAGTTGGAGCTAGAAACTTGATTTTTGCATTATTTGAATACATAATGTCAATGACTTGGCCAATGTAAAAACTGGAATCATAATTTACAGCAACTCATTGACTTTCATATCTGAAGATCACTGGTTCTTCTTCATCTTACCTGAGTTAGTCACTAGATCTTCAAGTTCCTGCAATGTAATTTAAATGGTACTGAATTCATCAGCTACAAAAAAAAACATCATGGGAAGAATGTAAAAAGACTCTTAAATCATCTTTCCTTTAGTTGCTAAAATTTTCTTTGCTGTGTTGAATGTTGTTTGTTTTTTGTTTTTTTTGAACTTGTTCATCAATCTTGACTGTTCGATCCTTGTATTAAGATAGTTTACAGAGCCATGCAAAAACCTGCAAGTAAAAGTGTACAATTCTTGTATCACAAAAGAAATAGGTGGAAAAATAGACACGTGCTCCTTAAAGATTTTTGTTAAATCGTCCTCTAAACGTGTGAGCTCTTTGCCTATTTAAGAAGTGCTTTCCTCATTTACCTCGTGGTCCTTAAAACCATAAAAGTTACAGAAATTGGGCTAACTAAAATAGATGAGACTTCACCAGAACTGCACTCAGATTACTGGGTGTTAATATCAACCCATTAAGCCCCACCATTACCAACACTGATTTCTACATATTTTTTTTTTTTCATCACATAGTATTTTTAACTACATCAGCCACCATTTTGTACATTGCAAGGAATTTGGGGTCTTCTTTGGCCTGCCTGCTTCTTTCACTTACAAGTAAACAATCTCTCAGGATGTTTAGTTGATCATCTATTGAACAGTATTTTTTTAAAAATATTCATCATAAGTACATGTAAATTTAAAAACCTAAAGTAGTCTCCCAAGCATGGAAAACACTAAAAATGCAGACACCCATGATATTAGGAAAAGCAGAAATAAAAAAACAAAATTTCTTATAAAAAAAATATCTTAAATTTTATGAGTTTAGGTTTTTGCTTTATAAAGAAAAAGTGCAACAATCTAAAATTTATGTAAAAATAAATGAACTGAAAATTTTAAAGTTACATTCTTTTTTTGAATGTTAACGTTTGCTCTCAAATTGTTATTGCTGAATTAGGTATTAATATGTACTGTTAATTAAAATTTAAAAATATGCTTAAATGTTAAAATTACCATAAAATAAAACCTACTTACAAAGTTAAAAAAAGTAATATTTACTAATTACCAAAAATTAATTATTTTGTAAAAAATAAATTTGGTAGGAAAGTAAAAAAAAAAAAAATTTCCAATGCTAAAAGTAAAAAAATACCTTCCAAGAAAAATTCATTTAACATAAAAGTTTAATTTTAGAAATTAATTTTTTGCAAACCTACAATAGTACTGAAAAATATATCCTTTTATTTTATCTTATATAAAATATATTGAGTCTAATTACAAATAATTTAAAAATGAATTTTCAATTTAATCTGTGAAATTTGTAGCTAATCACCAAAATTAGTTAATAATTAGTAAATATAAAATAAATAGACATTTTTAAAATTACAATATTTTACATGCACAAATGTGAGATTTATAAAATTATGAATATTAGGTTGTTACACATGAAATGAGGCATTTTTTGTTTAGTTGTTAATCTGGTCGTCTAACAAAGTAACCTCTTTAGTATATAAAAAAAATCTTAATGTTAGATTAATCCTGACTCTTTTTCTTTCCAGGTAATTTTTCTTTCAATTTATTGTTACTCATAAGTCCAATGAAAATGATTACAATGAAACAATGTTGAGTAATCTTACTTTATGAGTACAAACTGGGGAAAAAGAACCATTTTTACATTGAATCATTACATGCAATGAGAAATACTCTTTGACAACAGTAAGAGAGTAGGCCAATGGTTAGATGCATGAATCACCAAAACAACACCCAAAATCTCCGCTGCACCCTACAAAGTTAATGGTTACTGTATGGTGATCTTTCAAAGGGGTTATTCATTATTCATTTTTGTTTCAAGGGAAAACAACAACAGCAACATTGTATTATAGATAAATTGAGTGTATGCATGAAAAATTGCAAAAGAAACATCCTAGACTTGTGAATATTGATGGCCCAATTTTGGCGTACTACAACACACAACCACACACTTCTCAGTCAACTGTTCAAAAGCTGAACAGCCTGAATTATGAAATATAGCTGAGGTTCTAAAAGCAACTGACAATCATGTTTACATGGTATGTTGCCTGTGATTATTGACAATGCTAGCAACATAGATGTTTTAGCAAAATCTACTGAACTGTCTTAACTACATCAGATATTTTATCCATACAATTAATCTTGCCTCACATTGTGCTCTTCTAGTGAACATTGACTATGGCAAGGTGTCCACAACAGTAGATGGTGCAAGACAGGCTGGTCACCCAGTAATCACCTACATTGACCAACTATGTTATGACACACAATGCTACCCTAAATGACCTTCCGACTGTGATGGCTGATTTGTTAGACTCCTGAATGTCAGAGCTAACTCGACTGACTAATAAATGACACTTCTGTAGAGTGAGTGATACTTCTATCAAAGTAGAACTGCAACATCTTTACTTAAAAAGTAAGCAGTACTTGTTAATGCAACATAAACTGATCCAAGCCATGTCTACATGCTGCACTAGTTCATATATGCCAATCAGTTATTTAGAACAACTACCAGCATCCATAACTGCAAAAAAATCTGATATTAATGAAAAGTATGTTAGTACATTATCAAAAGAGATGGTGAAAACAGAAACTGCTATTTTATGGTCAGAAAAACATCCAACAACCTCTTTAATCGTCTAATTAAATGACAGGATATTGTGGAAAATGAAGCGTCATGATTTAGATTCAAATTTAATAAAGCAATTGAAGGTGTGCATACAGAATGACCTCAAGAAGATGTATAAAGATCATGTGTAGAATTTTCACTTCTGAAGCTCAGCACTTGATCGAAGACTCAAAACTGTACTACAATTGGATATCAACAAGTAGATGTCTATTAATCAGTTGTACCAAAATACAAACTGTTGCTGAAAAGATTCAGGAGGGGCAGTGAGAAAAAAGTGGGCATCCAAAGGGTGGCAATAGCATAGCTGAATCATAGTATATAACCTACATGAATTGTACCTGAAGTGTATCTTGTCTTCACTTTACAGTGTATCCCATTTATATAACAACTATTATAGGAAATACTAAGTACTTTGACATGCAATAATAGCACCAAGAAAATCCAATCAAAGGTTGACTATACATTTGGAGAAGGGGGTGTTAGGGTTGTGTTTTATGTGATGTCTTAACTTCCAGCATTAACAAATGTTAGAAGTTGAGATATATAAATTATAAAAAAATGAGTCCTCCCATTTTAGAGAAGAGATCATATTGAATTTACAAAAAAAAAAAAAAACCTTAACTCCGACGTTTTTTTTTTTCCTTCTCATCCTTTAAGGAAGATTGTCTAAATGATTAAAAAAGAATATAATTAATTATTGTACCTGGTGCACAAAACAATTTATACACCTTTATCCACTTCATGGCTTTGTAAAATGAAACAAAAGAATGATGTTTTTGTAACAACTTTTGAATAATATAGTTGCCATTTAATGAGATAAATTCTGTTAATTTTATGTAGGAGTGACATTATTCTCTTATATACTGTGTGTTAGTTTCAATAAACCTGTTGTTTAGAATATTGGCATTAATCAGCTGTTTCTATCTGATATCAGACTGTGTTGTCAGCTGTTATGGTAATATTAGCCGTTCCTTTACAAGGAAACATTTGGCAATCATTGACCAAGCCACCAGTGCTACTGTTGGTTGAAATTTATAAAAAATCTTAAAAAAATTTTCAGAAAAATTTGTTTCTCAAGTCCAGTAGTTGTACTGATCTTTTCAGTATTGATGGGGGTTTCTTTCCTAACTTTTTATTTGAAGTAGTATGAGATGTCTTAATTATGTCATTATTTTCTCTTCGAGTTATATGTGCAACCCATTTTAGCTGTTATTGCTGTTGTAACAATATAATTTCTCACACCTCATTAGGAAGTAAATAGATAGATTTCTTTTTAAGTCACTTTAATTGCCAGAATTTTCAGGATTCCTGTTTCCTGTTTTTTTTGAATTGGCAAACATAAAATTTTGTTAATGATTTTAGATAATCATAAAAGTAGAATCCTTTGAAAATTTGACCACCTATCCAGCTTTTGGGTGGTCTCCTTTTCTGGAACACAAGTGGACGGAGAGTGGTAGTGGGACCCCAGCTGGTGGTCATATAATGAATAAGCAGTGACCAGCAGCAAGTAAGAAAGGTACCAGCAGGCAGAGAGTAAGGGACCAATGATCAAATAGGAATCAGCAGTCGCCTACGTGGTCACTGAATGTAAAGGTCCTCTTGCTGTGGCTGGAAGTTAGTAAGATAGCAGTCCAGCTTGTCAAAAATGAAGGAAAACATTGGTGGTTTAGTGAGAAACCATATTGTTGCTGTTTCCCAACCAGTGTCTTCAATTCGATCATGATGAAGGACACAAACTTGTGAATATAGATAGCCAAGTGTATATATGCATACAACCGACCTTGGATGTCATCACAGTTGGGCAGTGAGTAGCGTGTGGAGTACGTTGTCACACTTTTTAAGGTGTTTATTAATGCGGGTGTGTTAGCAGATTTTAAGTTACTAGTGTCAAAATTTCTGTTTTATAGTCCTCATAGATTTTGATATGGCTAGATTTGTAATAATGGACATAAATAATCAAATACTTGGAATGTAACCTCAGACTGTCTACTTCTCTATCCAATCATCAGTATTCACATAGTGAATTTGCAAACATGACTTTCTATGATCAACTACAGATCATTGATTTTTAGTATGTATATTATTTTGTACAGATATTTTAATTGTGGAGACATCTGTGCACTCCATTGATATTAGCTTACTATATTTTTTTTTTTTATCAAGCTGACATTAACTCTTTGACTGGCGAGGGAGACCAATGTGCTCGCAATTGCATATGAACTGGTACCCATCATCATAAGGCAGTGACTCTCAACTGTTGTGCCATGGCACACTAGTGTGCTGTGAAATATTTTCACAACACACACACACACACACACACACACACGTGTGTGTGTGTGGTTGGGGAAGTATCAATGCTACATTGATAGTATTTTACTAAATAAGCTGTACAAATAATTGAATAGAAACATTGAAATGAAGTAAGTTCATATTTCTATGTGTAATTAAAAAAAAAAAATCTATGGTTCTATTTCATAATATTTAAATATATAACCTTTAAAAAAAAATTGCAAAATGTGCTATTTTATTTTCATTTGCTCTTAGGTGTGCCGTTGTTTAAAAAGATGGAGAAACACTGTCATAATCTGTTGTCTTTAATATTATCATAAAAACTTCCTTTAATCTTTTCCTAGTGTTTTTTTTTTTTTTTTTTTTTTTTTTTCTTGATTATTGGCTTTGAAATCAGTTTACCACTGCCTTTTTCTGTTTTTTAGCAGTTAGCTTTTAACTATTTAAGCACTTACAAATGCATTTCATTTTTCAACTGGTAAGATATTAGTTTACCTGCCAAGTAGTTTTGTATCATTTTGGTTGGTAATGGCTTATGACCATACCACGTTGAAACACCAGTTCCCATATGATGACCGAAGTTAAGCGACATCGAACCTGGTCAGTACCTAGGTGGGTGACTGTTTGGAAATATCAGGTTCTGTAAGCTTGCATGTGTGGATGGTATAATGTATAATGGCTCAGAATTGTTAATCAAAGAGCTGACTTCTAGTTCAATTCATTATATTCACTTACAAGCAATTACCCTTGGGAAAGGTATGAATCCACCTCTTCTCCCCCAGCTATGGGTTAGTTTAATAAGGCTTGTATCACTAAACTATTATCTAAAAAAAAATTCTTAAAATCTAAAAGTATTTTCTGGATTTAAATAACCTACAAAGGGTTGATAAACTGTGAAAAACGAACCAAGTCAAATATTAACTTTCATGCCAGCAAAAAACGGTGTGTTAGCAGTATGGTTATTCCTTTGGCACTACTAATATTGTATACACTTTAGACTCCCTTTGCAAGGTTTATTTACAAGATTATTAAAACATGTGAGCCAAGTACAATGTGATATTTATTATTTAGCTTTTTATAAAGATTTATTATTTATTATTTTATAAAATAATAAATTTGAAAACTTTATTGAAATAATTCATAACAAAAAATTACAAAATTAAAAAAAAATATGTAAATTAATTACAATGAAATATTTATTATTTACCTTATTATTTACCTTATTATTTACCTTATTATAAATGGCTATAAAATTTTTTTTTTTATTCAATCTCTAAATAGTATTCAGTATCTTTCTTGTCAATTCTCAAGAATAAAGAAAAATAAACCTACTTTCATATGTTTGGGTTTTATTAAAATTTTAATCATTGCTTTTGAAAACTAAATATTGTTGAGGGAGTAAAAAATGTATACCGTAATAACAGTGTCAAGGAAATAACAATTCTTTTGACACACTGTTTTATTTTTGTGGGTACAAAGGTTAGACATTACCTTTTTAGTGTTTATCAGTTATGATATTAATGGAGAACATTACAACAAAATTTGGTATTGTAAATTCGTATGAGTAGTTCAGAATAAAGGTGAAATAGGTTGCCAGCCTAAACTCTCATTCTGGCTATTTGAGCATTCATAAACTCTGGCTCGCTCTTTTGTATGAGTGTTGTAACACATCTTTGGTATCATGATTCCATATACCAGTCTATATATTCTCATTGTATTTAAAGAAAAAAAAAGAATTTATGCATTCCCTAATGTCTGCAGATACTGATCAGTTTATATTTATTTTGTATAAAATCTCAAACTTTGATATTTAAAATCGTGTGGATACTGATAACATTGACTCTGTTACATTACAGAAGTGAAACCATGTGGGGTCAGTTTGAAAAAGAGTTATCTGAGAATGTAAAACATCAGTTAAAAAAAAAACAAAAAAACTTGATATTAATTTATTTTGGTCAACCCTTTATATTGGATACATCTTTGAAAATAAAAACCTTTTTAATAGACTCATAAAAAGGTTTTACCAGTGACCTGAAACTCATTTTTATTTATGTATGTAATGTATGTAATGTAATGTAATGTAATAGCTGGACACTCGTATTCAAGGATACCTTCCTATTAGGGCGGCTAGCCAATCCCTATTGCAGACGCTTGCTCAGGTACATTTGTTTGTTCAACACCCACAGAGCCAATATATAGTTTATACTGCAACTATGCTGAGCAGACCTTAGTTACAGTTTTTGGGAGAGAGCATGTTATCTAGCATGATCAACAATCTGAACAAGGCCAGTACACTCAAACCTTCAGTCATGATGACTTGTGACTTCATGCTAGCACAGCTATCGATGGTCCCTAAGGGTTCCATCTATACAATTTCACTCACAAGGCCTGGGTCAAACTTGGGTTTTAAGGCACTTTCCAAAGGTGTGGCATGCTGTGATCGCCCCCCCTCCCTCCAGTTCGATAACATCAGAAATTCTACTTCCTGACAAATCGGCCATGGTGAGATTTGAACCCAGGTCTCCTGGTCAGAAAACAAACATTCTAACCACTCAGCCACATGCCTCTCTCATATATCTGTGTCTGTGTGTGTAGCTTCCCTCTGCCTTTTATATAAATACTTTCATGGTAATTGTTATAATGAACTTTCCTTTATTGTTTTTAGACTTTATGAATTTAAGCATAGTACTAGATTAGTGGCATGGTCTCATCATTTTACAGTTGAAATGGCTAGATGTAACTGTAAGTTCTATGCTAACAGTTTCTTCTCTCACACTTTTTGCTTGTGAAACTTTCTTCCAGTTATTTGCTTTCCCAATCAACTTTGTTCTTCAAAAATTTAGATGCAACATCAATCGTTATCTTCTGTCTTGTTAGTTCCTCCTCTTTTATTGTTCCTTCTTCTTGATAGTGTTTTTTTTTTCTCTTATATTCTCTAACACTCCATGGCTTTATTGCCTTGCTTGAGGTGAAATTATTTTAAAAAAAAAGAGAGATTTGGAATGGTTGTGTCCTTTAGATAAAGGACAAAAGAAATAACCAGTCTACTTGTATAAAAATAGTCAGCTGATGTCAGCATAAAGATAATCATTCCAGTTTTATGACTAACCTGTTTTATTAGACATGGTGATGTATTTCTGATCTCAGCTGACATTTTAATTACAACTTGCTTCAGACATTTTATGGTTAATCTTCAGTTAAATCTGCTACACGTGATCAGTGTCTAATAGAATAACAATAGAATGCTAACTCATTTCTGCTACTTGAGTTGTATAGGAAAATACAAGAAATTTAAGGCTGTCCACTTGTAACTGCTTCATAAATGTCACTATGATTGTGTACAAATAGTTGCTGCTGCTGCTGTGTTTGTCTGTAATTTAACTGACATATGATCCTGTTGTGGGTCACTATTGAGAAAGAGTGAAGAATTACTATAAGAAATGGTTTTGTGTTTGAGTGCAATCTGGTGGCTGAAAGGTTTCTGTTTAGCTCCCTGTTGATGTACTGGTTAGATTTATTACAAATCTTGGAGAAAGAAAAGTGTTTTCAAACTTTGATAAAAAGGCATGTTGCTCTATAAACCAGTTTTATATAGATAATTCCTCTATTTTAATATTTTTAATCTTATATATTTCTAGTTTAATATAGGAAGTTCATTTTCTAATAATATATATATATATATATATATATATATATATATATATATATATATATATATATATATACACACACACACACACACAGTTTCAGTAAAGACAACTGACAAGTTACTGCAATGAAGCTTTTTATTAAATTTTTCTTGCATTCATATGTGTTTTATTTTCTGGACATAAAGTGTGTAAAAACTGTCTAAATGTTCTATGTATCAAAGTGCTTTTGGCTATTCTATTAACCATTATAAAGAATGTTTTTTTAAACACAAGGAAGCCTACCAAGCACCATCCACAACATACTTCTAGAAATATGATCATAATAGCCTCACCCGTGTGTGTGTGTGTGTGTGTGTAAAAAAAAAAACAAAAAAAAACTGTGGGGCTAGAGGCAGAAATAATAGTATTAATAATAAAAAGAAAAAGCTAACACTCAATAATATCAACTATAAGCACAACCACAACATGCTGACTCTGGTTGGAAAATAAAAAGGCGTTCCCATCAATTTAGATACATATATAAAAATCTACATATTTCACTTAAAAATAAAACATTCTTGATTCCCTAGAGGGAAATTTTTTTTTTTTTTTTTTTTTTTTTTTTTATGATGGTTTTATCAATAGAGCCTGTTTTAGTGAGGTGGGAACATACAGGGACACTCTGCATTAAGTTTAAATTTTTGACATCTTGTGTATGTAGACCACCATTTCTCAACCAGTGTACCCGGGCACACTAATGGGACTTAAAGGTAACTAGCTGGTTTAAACTGGATGCTAAATTCCTTAATCTTTAAAGGGTGGATAATCCTTTCCTGTTTGCCTTCCTTACAGGATTAAAAATACATCATTATTGACCTCTCTAAAAGGGGGGGGGGGCAAAAAAAATAACTACACTTAGGAAAAGTATGAATTCATCTTGTCTCACTCTAGCTATGGGTTAAATAGTAGGACAGATGGGACTCTTTAACCTTGGTTGGTAACCACCCAAGAAGGATGGAAACTCTGAATTCAAAATCTGAAAAGGATCTATTTGAGAACTTGTGGCACACTATGTGCACTAGTTCACAGTATTTATTTCTTTTCTGGGTAGTCTGGCAATTGGGATACCCACACATTGAAGACGACTGGAGACTGCATATATATATATATATATATATATATATATATATATAGTACAGATGTGATAGATAAATTTTCATCTAAATTACAGAAAAATGAAAATAACACTGACATATCATTTTAACAGATATATTTATCAAAATTGCAGAAAAAAAAATCTTGAAATACGAAACATAAATTTATTCAATAAAATTGCCATGGCCTCCAGATGACTTTGGAATCTCCTGCAACTCTTTTGTACAGTCTGCTTGTTGATGCTGCCATAATCCTTGCCTTCAGTTCAGCTTTGGTGTTACAAAGAGTTTTGTTGGTCTCTTGTTCAACTGCACCCCACACATAATAATCAAGGGGGTTGCAGTCTGGGGAGTTAGGTGGCCAGTTTTCTAACAGCCATGATTGGACTGGGTTCTTCTGCTTGTGTAGGATGGTACAGTCCTGTTGCCAGATATAGGTTCTTCCAGCAGCCACCCTCTTGACCCAGGACAGCCCTACCTCAACAAGACACTTGATGTAGGCCTCTGTATTGATTCTGAGGCCCTGTGGGAAGATGAATGATCTCTCCAAACACCTTCATAATCACCATTAAGCTCCTCCAACTTTTTCTAAATTCACTGCACCATGCTCTGATTTATACCCAAACACTGAAATGTTTGTATTGGAGATTCCAGCATGAATGCAAGTAGTGCAGTATGCTGTTTTCAAATTTCCGGGAGAGTGAATTGTGTCATGGTGTACTTTTTCTCATGGCCGGTGGCCAACTGTGCAGTCAACAGAATCAAAAACAAACAATGCACATGCATAAAATAAAATAAAAAAAAATCGAAATGGCAACAATTTAACCACCACACTCTGTACTGTATATATTATCTCTTTTCTTACATATATATATATATATATATATATATATATATATATATATATATATATATATATATATACACACACACACACATTGAGCTCTCTTCATGGATTTGACTTTTTATATTTAAAAAACCTCCTTGGAATAATCCCTATCACTTAGGGTTTTGGTATTTTATATATATATATATATAACAGAAACAGATAATGACATTTTTTACATGCTTAGTTAAATATATTTGTGTATATATTTCTGTGAGTATAAAAAGCAGTAGAAGCATTTTATTGTGATTTATATTTTGTATTCTCTTTCTAATGTAATGGCTGATAATTTTTAATTACTTGATGTTTAGCATAATAATCTTGATTAACAGCCTTGATTGTGGTTAATCTACTTTTTTTGTCTGATTAATTTTGACAATTGATAAACAACAAATGTTCAGTTGCTGCTTATCACTTTTTTTTTTTTTTTTTTTCTCAATTTGCTGACTTGTTTCCATACATCAGTGTACTTAGTGTTGAATCAGATTTATACTTATTTTTGACTTGCCTATTTTATTCACTTGGCAAACAACTGTTTCTACTGAATATAAAGTAATAATCTGTTACTGTTACTAATTTGAAATATTTAAAAAGTAATGACTTTCAATGATGTGTTTTCAGTTCGCAGATTTCACAATCACTTAGCTTGCTCTTGTTTGAAATCAGTTATTTTTTTTTCTGCTTGGTTGGTTTGTTGTGAGAATATTTGGGGTGAAATCTCAAAACTTTTTGACTCCTAACCAAGATAGCTACTCCAGTTAGTCAATATAGAAAGTGCAGGTGGCCTAACACTGAGTGAGAATGATATTGATGAAGTGAGTTCAGTTTCCTGCTGGTTCAGTTTTGCATTTAATCTAATGCTTTTGGGAAAGCCCAACATGCAAATTAGAACTTGGAGATACCAAAATCAAACAAGTATATCAATTTTAATATTTGGGAAGAGTCTTAACAGAAGATGGAAATTGCAACACCGAAATCTGAAGATGTATTGGGATAGTAGAAGATGCTTTCCAAAAACTAAGCAAATTATTATGAAACAAAAATTTTGCTAGAAAGAAAGAAGAGTACTGAACTGTTACATGATATCGGTCCTCCTATATAGCAGTGAATACTGGATAATCTCCTCACAGATGAAGACTTGAAGCAACAGGAACATGGTTCTGCAGAAGGATGCAGAGAATACCATGGACCAAACATGTGAGCAATGACAAAGTTTTAGAGAAAATGGAAACGAAAAGGACACTTATACTTAAAATCTGGAAGAGATAGTCGAAATTTCTACAGCACATAATGGGGAAAGAGGGCATGGAAATTTTATATTCAAAGAATAGATTGAAGGCACATAACTCACCTAACAAGCTTGAGTAAATAGATGTCTGAACTAGATTTAGGAGAGATAACAAAAAAACAATTTTGTTAAGTGCTATAAAGAACAGGAAATTGTGGAGAGCCATGATCACCTACATCTTTAAGGGACATGGCACATAAAAAAAGATGATTTCATTTTCCCCACATCCATGGATTCAATAGCAGGACAATTGGAATACTTTATAAAAGCCGTCCCTTTGAGGTGTGTCATAATAGTTTGAGTCAGAGATTGTTCCTTATTGTTAATATAATGCAGTACAACCTGTCACATTATTTGGAGATGAGGTTGGCACAAAGTAACTCGCATTACTGTCATGAAGGGAAATTTAATGGCATAGTATCCCGATGATCAAACAGCTCTGGGAAAATGTTTGACTGTTTGGTTTTAATTTTGGAAACTTCATCACTTCTCTTAGAGATATTATCAAAATTGGAAAATTAATTATCTTAAATATTATATTGTTAAGTATAAATTTATAAATGTTAAAGAACATTTCACTTTAATCAATTTTGTAGCATTTAAACCTTTTCATTAGTGCAAACTTTGATAAGGTTTACCCAAACCAAAGTTTTTGTGTGGCAGTTGGAAAAATACCTCGTGTGGCAGAAAATATAATAAATATTTAAAACTTATTAGGGTTAGAAAGTTTCTGATAATCTAAACATAATTTATAAATTAGATTATTTTATTGATATTTCATTGAATTTTAAATCTTTTTGTTCATGACTCAATTATAAACTCTAAATTAACACTGAGAAAAATAAGTTCCTCCTGAATAAAGAGAAAAAAAAAAACGTTTATATTCTTTAATACTTTTTGAATGCATGTCACATGCTGTCCTCTTGATATGACAAATTGTTTATTTAAAACCTACACATTTTTTTCTTTTCTTTTTTTCCTTTAAAAAAAAAAGTAATTTTGATTCAAGTAGGGAAAATTGTTGTAGGAATAATTGTTGTTTGTTCTTAGAAAAAGAAACAAAAACAAAACCATCACATGAACAATCAACTTCCCATTGGTAAAACCCAATATTCTCCCCTTAACAAAAAAAAAAAGATTGTTTCAATTCATTTTCGCCTTAAATTATTAAACTGTATTCTTTAAGTTGAAATTATGGTTAGACATATTATGGCAAACAATAAATGTATTGAGTGAATTATAAAAATCCCTTCTATGTTCCTGTAATCTTTCAAAATCCTAGATATTTTACTTATTTTTTGCAGTCTATTTAAAATAAATTTCTGCTTCAAAATAACATTAAATCTGAACCAGGAATTTACAAAATAGATTGTAAAATATGTCTCAAAAATACATAGATGAAACATAAGGAATTTTAATAAAAGAATATATGAAAATGAAAGGTATATTTTTTTTTTTTTTTAAATTCTATATTTGTCACATGAAAAATATATCCAATTTGCCAAGCACCAAAGCTTTTAGCTGTACATCTGAAGGAGTTGGCATTAATTTCAGTAACAATTTCCAAATGCACTTTTATGTATTTGTTTTACACATTAGTCACAAAAATAATTTTCAAACCAGATAGATAAAAACTAAAACTCCAGTGTACTTTAAATTTTAAGTTTTTGAAGATTGTTGTTGTCAGGGAAGCAAGTAAAGAGAAGGAGTAGAAGTAATGTTTGCATTTAACTATTTCAGCAGTAAATGGGTGGGACTTAGATGCCAATCTAGTAGCACACCTAAATTCATGCAGTCAGTGCACCAGGGCTTAAAGCTTGTCAGATCAGTTATTGTGAAAATATTTGTAGAAAAGACAGAACAAAGTCACACCACATTGGAGAGAAAGTCACTGAAGCTGAGATGCAGGATTGATTACATTACAGTTCCTTCCTTAGATCTTGTCAAGAACCTCAAAATGAAGAGCAGGAGTTCCAGACCAGATATGGCAATATTTTCTATTTAAGTAGAATTTATAATTATTTGTAAATGCTAATTCTCATTCAATTTCAAGGATTTTTTTTCTTGCTTATTCATCATCATTATCATCAATCCCATGCCTGCTTCAATCATTGTGGCGTGGGAGACCTGTGGTCAAAAATAACAAATTTTGATTCTTTTTCCTTGTGATAGGCATTCAGATACTGTGGCAGTATCATCTCCTCTCCAAGCTCTTGACCAATAGCCAATGACCACAGAATATGGTGTGGTTTGCCCTCTATCCGTATACCCTTGGGTTTTGAATACAGAGTTGTCATTTTCCTAGACTGGTTGCTTACTCAAGGCTATAGGACCTGGTCTGTCCTGCTTTTGACCCATAGCTGGGAGAGGGAAGAGATGAATTCCTACCTTTCCCAAGGGTGTTAGTATGTAAGTGAATGGAATGCCACTATCCATTATGCCACCACGCCTCCACTTACTTATTAAGCTCTTATAAATAAACCTAGAATTATGTCCCTTGGACAATATCATTTTTAATTTTTTATTTTATCAATTTATACTTCATTAAAAGAAAATTATTTGGGTCTTTTTTTTTTTTTTTTTTAAATTTTTTTAAAAATAATTTTACCCCAAGTAAGATAACAAAGCCACTAAGACACAATGGGTTACTGACTGTTACAAAATATGGAAAGAAAAAAAACACTATTAAAGAAAGAACAAGAATTTAGAACAGTCAATAATGATTGATATTGCATTCAAATTTTTGAAGATCATCGAAGTTGAAACACTATTTCAGCAGTAAAAGGGTGGGACCTAGGTGCCAATCTAGTAGCATGCCCAAATTCATGTATTTGGGGCACCAGAGACAAAAGCTTATCAGAGCAGTTGCCATGAAAGTATTTGCAGAAAAGACAGATGGAAGCTACATCAAGTCAGTGAGTAAGTGACTGAAGTTGAAACACCTGGTCAGGATCAATTAGATTACAGATTCTTCTTTGGATTTATATGAAAATAATGGGAATTGATAGTTTATTTTATGGGAAAGCATATTTTGCCATTTATTGCAATATCTAGAAATTTCTTTTTCTCGTCATAAGTAAACTGAATCAAAGAGCAAGAAAGAAAGACATCCTTTCTATCCAACAACCACCACTTTTCTAGTTTGCCTGCTTGTCTTTTAGGTAACTCCATTCTAACTGACAATCATTGAATGTGTGCTACCAATTTTGGTACAAATTACCAACCAGAAAAATTTATATTTTTTGCTTTTCTTAATTTCCAGTTTATCCTGGTATTTTCAACAATTTACGTGCGACATTTCATGAGTAAATATGACAGTGAATGCAGCTCCACCTTAGCAGCTGTTCTTGGTTTAAGCACTGCCCTTGTCACTTCATCATTGGTACCTGTTGATATCTTCCTTGTTTCATACATGAAAGACAGTTCTGGAAATTTCCGAGTAAGTACCCAATTATATATTGTTGACTATCAGAAAAGCTAAATCAATAGAAATTCTGCAGTGCACCCATTGACATTTAAAGATATAGTAATTTATATATTCATATACAGTTGGTTCACATATTTTTACAATTTAGTAAATTTTCATATTTATTCCTTTATAAAGTGGTAAATGATAAATATTGCATTGTATTAGTTTTTAGAATGTTGCAAATATAAAATTATTCTTGTAAATAAACAATCTAAATAGTGTTTAATATTTTTTGTTGTTAATTTTCAAGAACAAAGAAAATGTATAAATTCACTTTCACACATTTAAGTTTTATTAAAATTCTAGTCCTTGCTTTTTAAAACAATAAACATTGCTGAGGAGTAGTTGTAGTTAAAATAATGGAAGTGGCTATTTTGTTGGACATAGTAAGATAGACATACCTGTTTTTAATTTTACTTTACTTGTCTCAGTAAAATAGGCTATTTTGCTGATAAATATTTTTATTATTGTGAAGGCAGGTAATGTTAAACATAACATACGGATTTAACATGGAAGTTTATTTATTTTCAAAATCAATTAAGACAATTTAAAAACTTTTCCACTATCAATTGTTCATCATCAGTTATTAAAAGAAATATACAAGTTCCTGAATATTTTAAGCATAAGTCTCTGCAAATCCAAAACTTGCCCTTGGAAATGGTTCTCTTGCCAATAGACTTGAGGTTCACCCACTGAAGACAACAGTCAAGGCTGTAGAATCCATGTTGTCTAAGTACTGCCTACACAGCTCACACAACCACTGCGCTGACAATCTCAATGCTCCATAAACATAATAGTGAAAATAAATTGACTTCTATGTTAAATTTGTGTATTGTTAGTTTTAACATACTTGCCTTCACAATAATAAAAATATTTGCTGGCAAAATAGCCTGAGGTATGTGTGTTGGGTGGGGGGTCTTTTTTTTTTTTTTTTTTTTTTTTTTGAGACTGGTAAAATAAGCTTAAAAGCATATTTGTCTGTTTTATCAGGACTGGTAAAATAGCCTATTCATAAAATAGCAGTTTCAAGTGAAAAACCATCTTTTTGATACTCCAATCTTTTGCTGAAAGAACTGTTAAATATTGCCAGAGATTCTATTATCCATTTAAATAAAAGATTGATTTTGTTAATGAAGGTAAAGTTTCCAAAGTCTGTTTATCTCCTCATTTGCTTTATATTCGTATTGCTAATTCTTTTCTTAAAGCCAAACAGATTTTGTTCTATATATTTGAAACTTTTTGCTACAAACTGACATCAGAACAGGAAAGAGTAATTTCTATTCCAGCCATTTTTTTTTTTGTTTTGTTTAAAAAAAAAAAAAAAAAAAAAAACAAATACATCCTTAATATCCATAGGATGTTCATATGAAAAGTTTCACTGCAAATTATAATTTATTCTTTTTAGTTGTTTAAAGGTGTTTGGCAAACTTTAACTTCATATAGTATTTATGTTAACTTAAAAAAATGCTAAGAGACTATTGACTATTAAATACTATACTATTGACTTTTCATTAAAATGAATTTAAGACTTATCTGATATCAGTGTTTTGGTGAAATTTGATTCTGAACATTAGAAACGAAAATGACATTGTACATTGAAACTCTGATGAGCTTAGCTTATTTTCAAAACATTTTGACCTCAAAACACTTTACAATAAGAAGGTGAATGTGGAAGTATTTGACACTGTCAAGTCTTAAATTGATAAGCTCTTGATCACCAAGTTAAGATGATAATCTTTGAAAAGATATTTTTTAAAACCTTTTTTCTTGTCTTTACAAATGCATATTCATATGTTTTCAATTTTAGGAATGGGCCAATAATTCTTCCATCAGAGACATGGTTGAACAGTCTGTATTAATTAGTTACTATGGTAAGTTGACCTTAATATATTAACTTTTTTTTTCTCTCCCATTTCACAAGGTCATTTTTAAGTTAAATGGCTCCGATCTTGAGCTTTAATTGAATGGTTATAAGTAATAATATCTTCAGGATAAAAGAAGAAAAAAATGCCATTTATTTTATATTCTCTCTCTCATTAAACATCTGAAAATAATCTCTGGCATTACTAGTAATTTCTATAAATGATTTTCTACAGGAGGTCCTGTACTATTCAAGTAATTTCTAGTTGAACATGTTTGTAACATAGGCATCATATCAGTTTAAGTATGAATTTGTGACCAGATAAAAACAGGTGTAATGATAAAGAATAATATTGTTGATTTAATCACTTATTCAGTATAGTCTCCTCAATCATTTAGGATTTGAAACATTAATTACAAGCGCTTATGTCAATAAATCAAAGTTATCATTAATGCAGAACATGGTCAAGAAGATTATTACCAAGTCTTTAAAAATAAGGAATAATAATTTAATTGATGAATGGCATTTTCTGTATATTAATTACTTTCATGAAACTTTAAACAAAAATCATAGTGTATTTTCGGCATTCTTTTAACAGTGTCCTATAAATCATCATCCTCAATTTTTTTTTCTATTAGCTTTTGTCTATTAAAGAGAAACAAGGTTACTATGAAAGTTGTTTTTTTTATATGTTCACATGACATCGGAGATGGATATATACAAATCTCCTGTTTCTGGTCAAATGAGGATTTAACTTGCTGTAAATGGTATGCAGTACCAGCATTTCAGTATATACACCTTTGTGCAAATTAATTGAAACGAAACAAATAATTCCATTATTATTATTTTTTTTTTTTTTTTTTTTTTTCCAAATTTTTCTAATGGAACCTGACCCAGTGCACATGTTAGTACTTCATATGTCCATTCGATGAAGTTGTCCTTCCTTGCAGATTGACCACAGATTCTCAATTGGATTTAAATCAGGAGAGTTTCTGAGTCAGTCAATAGTACTTTGATTTGATCACTGGTAAGTCTTGACAGTGTGTTTGTGCAGTGTTACAATTTTCACACACTTCCTTGGAGCAACGTCCATTGTATACAATGACTGTAGGACAACTAATTGACAGTAGAGACAATAGTGTCTGGGCATGATAAAAATCTGATGCAATGATGGATGATGCAACATTTTTCAAGGCCAAACAAATTTCATCATACACCCCGAAAATAGATTCATATTACTGCACACCACTGCAAATGACCTAATCTGAATCTAATAGAAATCGATTACACTCTGTCACTCCAGTGGGTCTAAAACTGACCATATGGTGAAAGAAAGGAAACTAAAGCAGTTAAATTAATTTGCACAAGGGTGTACGATAAATGTTTACTAAAACACTAATTTTAAATTGTAAATCAATAAAAAAGCCTTATTTTAGTTTAAATTTTTTTCATTTTCCTTGACAGCCATATAATTATTTAAATCTTTAAACACATTGAAGTTTTTCATTTATACATTTGAGATCTAGTTGGGATATGAATAAAGAATGATCTTGAATAAAAAAAATTAAAAAAAAAAAAATCTGCATTCTTTACCAATTGTTCCAAGAAGTAAGACTTACAATAAAGTTTTCCAAAACAAATTATGGTCTGAAATTGGAATGTAAACAGTGATAACACATACCCTGAATCTGTCATAAACATTCAGAATGGGAAATTAATACTAAACGCTTAATGACTAATTCATACACCAATGTAATTTTTAGTATAAGAGATAAAGAAACGGAACATAGAATATGCTGTGTTAGGGATAGTTTTGTTCAACATTGCAAGATGCTATGAAACCAAAAATATTAAGCTAAGAACTCTATTCATTTTCTTAAATTACATGCATGATGTTCAACTTGTTTAGAAATGTCTAAACTATCAGCTATATACAACAATTTTTTTGGATCCATGATTAAAAATGGCTTCAAGTGATAAAACACTCCAGGTCACAAAGAAAATAATCCTTCAACAGATCTTTTAGATCCATGGCATCCAACTCCTTCAAAAATGACTAAACTATCAGCTATATATAACTGTTTTCTCAAAGCAATGATTAAAAACTGCTACAAGCAAATGAATGCTCCAAGTCACAATGAAAATTATCCTTTATCTGATCTTTTGGATCCATGGATCCATAGCATTCAACTCATTCAGAAATGATTAAACTATTAGCTGTATACTACCATTTTCTCAGATCAAGGATTAAAAATGGCTTCAAATGAATGAATCCTCTTAAAGGAGACTATCCTTCATCAGCTCTCATAGACTAGTGCTACAGAATCATAGAGATCTTTAACAAGTAACAAAACCATATCACTTGAAGATTTTTTTTTTTTTTTTTTTTTTTAATGGACATCAAGTAAATAAAAAAAAAAAATTAATTTTTATATAGAATTTTAGGCCTGGCAATATTACAATTTTATTTCTTGCAACTTTCATAACAATTATAGTTGTCTGCTATTTCACATTAGTACAAATTGTGTGGAACTGAAAAATTTACAGAATTATCAAGCCAAAATAATTTGTTTGATTAGATTTTCTTTAAACTGTACTGGATTATTTAAACAATTAAAAAAAATAGCAAGTTTGCTGAATATACAAAAAAATCTTTTAAATTTTTATTAGTAATAAAAACATTATAGAATTATTTAAATATAAAAAAATTTAATTTAATTTTGATTATATTTAATTGAAAAAGATGTAAATAAATAACTTTTTCATATTGAATAAAAAATATTTCAGTAAGTGAAACTATCCTGTTATTAACCTTTATTAATAAAAACATTAAAAACTTTGATTTAAACCTTACATTACTCTACCTGTTGGATGAGTATTTAGCCAGTCTTTGAAAAAGCCTTAATGATATTAGTTTTACCTGAAGATTGTTTTGCTAAAAAGAATGAGATAATTAATCAAGGGTGACTAGTTGAGCAAATTGTTTTTTCTCAAATTTTTAACATAGATAAATTTCTGGACTACTATTCTACTGTCAATAAAATTAAATTTAAAAGCACAATCAGAATACTATAAAAAAAAAAGTACATGCATTAAAGAAACATTTTGTTTATATATTTTAAGCTTATCTTTTTTTTTTTCCAAACCTGTATAAATGTTATATGGTATTAAATATTGCGTAATCTGGTTAGTTAGTGTAATAAAAGGAATTAGTGAGTTGTTTAAAGAGATAGAATGTAAGATAAATTTTATTGTAAAACCAACTTAAATAGAATGTTACCTACAGATTTGAGCCTTCAAGTGTTGTTGCTGTTTTCATTTCTGTGTAAACTTGTGGAACTTCAAAGAAACCCTATCCCTCAAAAAATAATAATAATAATCTGATGCTTGGTTATTTGGTCAGATTTTCTGAAATAGGTTGGGCTGGAAACTTTTCAGCACCCCTTATACAAACACCCATACACACAATACAGGGTATCTAAAAAATGTGTACTCATTTTTACTGTGTATAGCTCAAGTCAATTTGCCTCTTTTCAGATTTGCACATTAGTGTTACTAATCTCATCCATGCTTAGCTTTGGGGGTGGAAAAAAAATCCTGAACTGCTACTGGAAGTACAAAAATGCAGTTGAAGTTCAGTGGTGGTATCAAAGAGAATTTCATTCAGATTCACCCACATAACTTACAATGTCACTAATTGGAGATAAATTTGAACTTGATGGCATTGTATAGGATGTGCACAAGAACTGTTCCGGAAGACCTCAGATATTAACCATGCCCTGTGAAGCAAGGAAGGATGATGAAAAGTTTTCACAGAAGTTCAAGAAGCCTATCAAAATGTTGATTGCTGCTTGTAATTCCATTGCATCATTTTGCATTGTCAGCAATGTTTGGATCATAACGAACATCAATTGGAAAACATGTGAGAAGAAAATCTTAAGACCATGCATTTATAAGAAATACTGTCTTCGTATACATTATTTAAATTAGATACAGTTGGTTCTAGTTGCTTGAATTCTTTCTTGAGAAAGCCTCAAAATGTGTATACATTTTTTTTTTTTTTTTGAAACATCCTTTACAATGGTTGTTTAACCCTTTAAGGCTGAAGCAATCAAATGCACTCACAAGTTTCACACACTTACAGACTTTGAATATACCATGTAAACCATCGTGTAGCAATGTATTTCTGTACACAGCATTAACACCTGTTACATGATCATCTCGAGTTGCCTGGAAATCTACAATTTTTACAAAGTATACCGTATCATGTATTTTTGGTGACTGGTTGCACTATGTACAGGTAATTTTTTTTTTTTTTTTTTTTTTTTTTGTGGAGCAGTTAAAATTCAGGGGTTGCACTATACATGAAGTTAGCATACACCGATATATACAGTATGTCTCCTAACCAGCAGTACCAATGGGCTTAAGGATCAAGATAATCATCTGTTTCTTTCATTAATTTTGCTTTACTTCTTTTAGTGCTTTAGTATGATGAAAGTTCAACATGAAATAAAGCATCCCTGTTATAACCAATTGTTGAAGCTTGGATAAGCATGGAATAATAATAATAATACAACACAAAATGTACGTAAACAAAATGTATTGAAACAAGGAAAAGGTACACAATATTTACAGTTAGTTTTGGTATATTCTTGGGAAGACTGTTCCTGTAGAATGGGTTGACTGAATCGCAGTCGGGCAAAGTCTCTGGATTGGGTCTCTTGTTACTTCCCCCGTCTTCCCGGTACCAACCCATATTTATGTGGTCGGTACTCCACTATGTAAATTAGGTGGATCGTACCACAACACCAGTAAACAATGAATTTTCATGTATTTGAATAACTGAACACCTCTGATAAAATGGTAACACAACAAGTAGAAGCAAGAGGGAAAACAACAATTTCCCTATTGTATGAAAATTTTATTAATATGTATGAGTTTGTATTGAAATTTTCAAATCTTGTTTCTTGCTTTCAATAATTCAATGTCAAAACAACTTAATTTTTAGCTCTCCCCACTACTGTTTGGTTATTCATTAGGTTGAGTCATAAGTAATTTCCATTTTGAGGAACCAATATGTAATGACAAATGTACCATCCTAACTACTAATCATATGCTACAGTTAAGAATAAATATGGTGTACACTAATACATCCTGGTTGTTGCATGGCAATGCCAGTATACACTGTGGATAAAAGCAAAAATGTTGTTCTCTACTACAGCATGAAGCCATATACTTCAAGAATAACACGGGGGGGGGGAGTTTGGATCTCTGTTAGTCTGTTCTATCCCATCCACCATACTCACCTGACCTTGCATCAACTAGTTTTTTTTTTTTTTTTTTGTTGCAAAATATTTTAAAGTAGAAAAATTTCTCTAATGAAATCCAGATTCAAGAGTTGAAAATATTTTCACACCAAAACATGCAGATTTTGACTTGAAAGGTATCAGGTATCTTCCTGATAAGTGGTAAGAAGTTGTTGCAAATAATGGTGAATATATAATTGAATAAAATGTAATTGTTTTTTTTTTTTTTTTTTTTTTTTTTTGAGAATGAAGTTGGTTAAAAAAAAAAATGGAAATAGTTAATAGCTGTCCTTGAAATTACTTTGTCACATATATTCTATTAACTAATTTTGCTTATAATTACACAATAAAAAGGATACAAGTACTTAAAAAAAATTATCAACAGCTCTAAATACAACTAAACTTTTGAGTTCAGGGTTCCTAGTCACACAGGTTTGAGGAAGACGTAGAAGGACTGCATTGCGAGGGATGTGCAGGAGTGTGTAGCCTTGCCCACATTGGCAGGGATGCTTGGAAAGGAGGAGTGAGTGCTAGCCGACTTCTGCCTATCCCAGTCACTGGAAAACCCACAGCAGTATAATCAAAGTTCCGGATCTTGACTTGACTTGGTATAATGATAAACTACATTTGGCAACGAGGCTGATTGAAAAATTTGAGGAGTGTGGAACTACCTCTTAGCTGCTGTTGTTCCCAGGTCCACCCTGACCCGGGATGGTAGCACCTGTTAGGGTTCCAGCTATGTGCAAATAACGAACCCCCAAACACTATAAAAGTAAAAAAAAAGAAAAGATTTTTAGTAAAAATACCAGCAATACATTATTATATAAAAGAAATACATATTTATAGTAGAATTACCAACAATACATTTTATCTGTAGTTGAAGCCATGTGTTCAAAATATTTAGATTCTGGCATTAAATAAACCTAATGGGTTTATAAAAATAAAATCAAAAACTAAACTTTTACTAATTAAACTTTTTTATCCACTTGTGTATGGCCTTGTGACATAAAACCAAACTCTTATTAATTTTTTTTTTTTTCTTTTTTCAGTTCTGTATGGCCTTATGACATTCTTTTTCTTCCTGTTCTTGCCATTCATGTACTTTTTCTTTGAAGAAAAAGATGATGTGGAACAACCTTCTACTGCCTCAGTAAGTATCACACACATATCAACTTATCTTTCTTCCTTTTAAAAACAAAACAAAACCTGACAAATTTCTTGCTCATTTCATATCGCTCCCACATGAAATTCATTTTTACTTTTGATTCAAGGGAGATAATTAAAATGTATCAGATTTAATTCCTGTAGTTGTCACCAACTAATTAACTAATAATTAAGCCAAATTATTCATATTTAAATTAATGGATAATTTGGATTAATTTGCATTTTTCAATTGGCTATTTGAAATAGTTAATGCATTTACTTGTCAGTTGATATGTGTTAGTAGGATGAATAGTATCAGAAATGAAAGTGACGATAATAATGGGTCCACACATCAAGGAATCTGACAGAGATTTGTTTTTTTGATGATGATAATACAGTTTCCATTGGAAAATACCCCATTTACAAAATACTCTGTCGGTGGTGAGTAATTCCCATTTCTCTGTTGGTTCCTCGTACCATTAATGAAGGACGTGTGTCCAAAAATTCTGAACATAAAACCTTTCCATGTTTCATTTCTGTCGTATGGTTAATACTTAATAAATTTTTATCGTACTGATTATATTGGTACCCTTTCATATATAAGTTAACAATGAAGTCAACACTCAGAGATGACAGGCTGTTTCATGCTAGACGCAATTGTCAGGCCGCCTGACAATTGTGTCTAGCATGAAACGGCCTGTCACTTCTGCGTGACACCTCAGCTGTCACTCAGCCTCTGAGTTTTGACGTTAATGTTCACTTTTATATTTATATTTACATACACTCTCTGATATTGAGCACTTTATCCCATAAATATAGCACACCTTAAAACTATATTTCTTCATAAACATATATATATAATAAAATACTCTGGTTATTGTATCTGATAAGGTAATTTAATTTATTGCTCCTCTTATTCTCAAAAATCCCAATGCCTTTTCCTTACACAGTTTTGTCTTTCATTCTAACCTGCACAAGTAAAACTTAACACATGAGCAAAATGCATTGTTAAAAAGCTTTTTCATTTTGTTCCAATATTTCCACTTGTCTTATATTGTGGTTTTAGACTTGTTCCAATATTGCCTGATTTTAAGATGACTTAAATCATTCTTTTCATCTCCTTGTTGTGATAATGTCAGTGTTAAGATTATGATCTAGATGGCTGGCAATAAAGAGAATAATGATAAAAATTTCATTTTCAGAAACCCTTATGCTTCTATTGCTCATACCATTAAGCTGAATATGTCTAATACAAATACCAGAAAAATATTTGGGCTGTTTCTAATGGATATGGCCTATCTTCACAACATTTGGACTAATAATATGCCTGTGGGTGGGTGTGAAAAAATCTTCATAACTAACTGAGGCACACATAAAGATGGCTGATTTTGTCTTTGAGCAAGAAGAATTACCAATGGTAAGGAATACGTTTGAATGAGCCAGATGTGAGGTCAAGAACAAAGACCTGGCAGTGAGGAATGTGAAATGGATTACCACGGATATATTACAAATATATTACTACAAGCTATTTTGGCATCATGACTGACCAATTTCACCCAAAACTAATATCGGAATTTGATGGCTCTGATCCTGACCAATCCGTTGTTGAATGGATAAAGAAAGCAAAATTGATATGTTGGCTGTGTGCGGTGGAAAGGATCAAGTTTGTAGTCCCAAAGTGTCTAACTGGTGGTACATATGCAGTGTATCAGCAGCTGAGTGAAGAAAGAAAAAAAAACAACTTCAGCTGCATAAAGAAAGTTTGGCACAACATTTATACCCTGAAGAATTCGTTGACATTTTTCTGGAAGAGCTACGGAAAATCTCGGTTCTGTTTGGCAGTATACCAGAACAAAGTTTAGTATGTGTTTTCATCACCAGTCTACTGGAGTGTGTCAAGCAGCTCTTCTGTGCATCCTGCTGAATGGTCAATATGGACATTACACAGGTATTGCGAGGGCAATATTAAAGGACAACCTTGCAGCAATGGAACTAGCCATGGCAGCTGTAAAATCAGTGTGTGACCCAGTGAAAGGAATTACATGTGTATCAACAAAATGTTGTGTGTGTGTGATGGTCCAAACCATATCATCCACCGGGGTAGATTGTCCTAGTTCCACGTGCCCTGCCTCTTCTGAATGTCTCGGTTATTTCCCTTTTAACTCAACTCTCCAAATATGCAATAATAACAGAAAAATTGCAATATGAGCACTGGTAAAAAACGGTTGCTGAGACATTAAGTTTATAAGTCCCAGAAATTCATACACAGATGTCCTCAAGGAGACATCCGGAAGTGGTAAGGCATGTGGAACTAGAACAATCTAACAGTGGATGAAAAAGGGTTCAGTTCAAAATTCCAATCACCTGAAGGCCGAAATGTGAATATGGCTCATGACTGCCTCACTTGACACAAGAGATCGAAAGATGACTGTCTGAAGCCCTGAAAAAAAAACCTTATGTCCTTTTGGTGTGGGGAGCTAGGTCATTTGTTGTGGAATTGTTTGGGAACAGTGTTCCTGATGTTATCAGTTCTCAACTAGGTATTTATGCAGATGACACAACTATTTACTCCTGTATTAGCAAGTCTAATATATCCAATAAAGCAGAACTGGCAACTGCTCTCAAAAAGGACTGTCAATCAGTGGTTATCTGGGGCAAGAAATGGCTTGTAAACAAAACTACTTTCATTTAATCATCATGTAGAACATTATCTGCCATGCTCAATATGTCTGATGCTAAATTCCAGAACAACAACAGTTTGTGTTTTCCACTTGCATGAAGTGAAGTGATTCTATTGCAACAATTGATAGGTCTACTGTTAGGAAAGTTGATTTGCTATTTTGTGCCAGACAATTCTTCTCATCAGAATCCCGCACATTTATAAATCTACCATTTGTCTATGCATTGAATACTGATGCCATATCTGGTCTGGTGCTCCTACTACATAATCTCAAAATTCCTGATAAAATTCTAAGAATGTTCTGTAATATAATCGATGCTAAGCTGGCATCTCAACTTCAGTCACTTTCCCACTGACATGACATGGCTTCCCTCAGTCTTTTCTACAAATATTTTCATGGCTATTGTTCTGATGAGCTTTTTTTTTATTTTTATTTTTTTTTCCTTTTGTCCCAAGTACATGAATTTGAACATGCTACTAGATTGGAAAATAGGTCTTATTACTTTACTGTTGAACTCACTAGATATGCAACCATCAGTTCTGTGGAATTCCTCTCTGATTTCTTGCTTTCCTGTCATCTACAATCATCAAAAATTTAAATGCAACATCAAATACCATCTTCTGTTTTCCTGAATGTTGTTCTTTTATTGTACTTTTCCTCACTTCTCCTCTATAAACCTTTTCATTCTCCTTCACTCCCTGTAACCTTGTGACATTATCAACTTGCTTGGGGTGAAATGATTTAAAAAAAAAAAAATGAGCAACATTTTATTTTTTAAAGTCATTGCAAGTGAATGATTGAAAATAGCAATTTTTCTCAACCATTTTAAATTGTGTTCAAATTGGTGAAAAGTTAAAAGGGAGAAGTTTTTTTTTTTTTTTTTTTTTTTTTTTAATACACAGATTCTTCTCAGCCTGTGAAAGTCCTTTGTTGGACATAGGCCTTCTTGAAATCTTTCCTATTCCTGGGGCGGGATAGGCCATTATCCTACAATACTGGCACAATACATGTTGGTAGGGCCTTACAGCACCTGGTATTGCCAAACAGTCACCCATCTAGGTACTGATCAGGGTCAGTGTTTTAATTAGATGTGGCAGTAAGCAATATGCAGATTTATCAATACCCAAAACTACATCTGACTGCAAGGCCTCTGATCAGGAGCTTGGAGGTTTTGAGGAATGTGGAATCATCTCTGAACTGCTGTTACTCAAAGATCCACCCTGACCCGGGGTGGTAGCACCTGTTAGAGTCCCAGCTATGGGCAAATAGTGAATCTCCAAACAAAAACAAAACACTATGAAAGTATAAAAATACATAGTATAAATATCAACAATATATTTTTCTAAAAAGAAAAATTTACTAACAATACATATTTGTTGCAAAATGACCAACAATACGTTTTATCAGTAGTTGAAGACGTAACAGTTGTGTTCAAAATATTTAGATTTTGGTGTTAAATAACCCATAGACAAAATCAACCAAACAATCAATACCAATATTTTATCTTTTCTTTCTTTCTTTTTTGTTTTTTTTACGTTATTTTATATTGAAATAAATTTAAAAAAACAATGAAAACAGGAAATACTGATAATTATTTCAATAGATTATATACATTTTATAAACTTCATGTTTGCATTGTCCCCATTTATAGTGTATTAGGAATCTGCAATGGGTTTTTGTTTTTTTGTTTTTTTTTTTGTTTTTTTTTAAGAATATTTTTGGTTTTATAAAGAATAGACTAAAACAAAACCTCACACTATGAGTTTTTAACTTCTTTTTCATATCCTAAATAATGACACATTTCAGATAATATTGAAAAAAAAAAAACATTACTTAAAATAATGATAGCAGATACATATTTACACTTCTTATTATTTTTAAAATTCTATCTCTCTTATGTCCATGCTTATATTTTTCTCTCTCTCTTTAATTTATAGAGATGCTGTGGTGCCTTGAAATACACCATTGTCTTTGTTTTCATTGCTTCGGTGTTACTAATCCTTGGGTAAGATTTTTATCTCGGTTTTTAGAATTTTTCTTTACTTAATGTAAGAATATAACACTTTCTTTTTCTTGATTTCTTTCTTATACATTTCTTTCTTTCTTTTTTTTTTCTTTTCCTCAATGCTACTCAAGAAATTGGCATTAATTTTTTTTCTTTTTTTTTTTTTTTTTTAAATATGTATTTTATATATTTTTCTTAATTTTTTTTCCAGTGCATTCCTACCCAAGCGTGACATTGTACCTTCTAATGAGACTGATTGGCAGAAAATTGATGACCTCTTTAAAAGTTTGGGAGACAACCGTAAGGATATTGTTTGTGTTTTTGTAAAATAGATTTAAAGAAAAAGACAAAAAAATAATCTTTTTTTAATATATTACAAAGATGCTTCTAAAAATCCTTCAGAGTGTAATCAAAAAATCTCTGATAATCTCTTACACCTGGCAGATTTTTTATAAAGGGTGATGGCAATTAAGTCTCTTTTATGTCATCCATTGGGATTTTGTAATAATAACCAAGAATGAAGAATTAAACAAAATTACATTTCATTGTGAAAATTTAATTCATTTTTCTTTTAAACTACTTCCGATTGACATTGTCTTAAGCATTCTCTTGTAGAAAAGTGTTATTTGTAGTGACGTGAAGTGACCCTATTAAGTTATACTTTAAATAGTTTTTATTCTTTTAAATTTCTTTTTATTAACAACTGTCATTTATACTGCTTGTTTGCATAAGAGTTACAAGAAATATTTTAGTTCCTAAAAGTCTGTGTCCTGTCTCTTATTGTTTCTTTGACTTTATAAGCAAAAGCTAGCAGGAATTTTAAATGGATGTTTTATTGGTGAAATAAATCTAGTTAGAAGACCATATCTACAAACATAAAAGATTTACATTTAGACAACCAATCAAACTTGCTTGTAAAACACAGAAACAAAACTGGCCACAACTTTGATTTTTACAAATGCCATGCTTATTGAGAAAAAGAAAAAAAATCATTTTTTATGTTGAATGTACTTTAAAGTGTTAATGATGACTATTACCAATAAGCACATGTCAAAAAAATTATATTTTATCACCAACCTTTACTGAATCCATTCTTAAACAATCTAACATACAATTATCTAAAACAAATAGTACACCCTTGTGCAAATTAATTGAAACAATTGATTTAGTTTCCTTTCTTTCACCATATGTCCAGTTTTAGACCCAAGTTGAATACATGTGAAACATGATTAACTAATGAAAATTAAACAACACAAAAGTAAAAATACCAGAAATTTTTTTTTTCGTCCATATCTGATGAAGCTTTAATAAAAATGAAACCTCTTAGATATTATTTACATTATTTGTACTATTGTCCTCATCTTTGTCACCATATTTATTACAACGTTTCGGCCATTGTACGCTCTGGCCGTTGAACTGGACCCTTTATTTCACTCACTGGGGTAGACTGTTCTAGTTCCACTTACCATGTTTTAATGGATGTCAGTTATCAGTTATCTCCTGTTAATTTTCCCTCTGAAACTGGGTATTGAACTCACACTCTTTGGGTCCTGTCATTGGATCTAACCAACGCCTTTATCCACTGTGCCATGTGTCCTTGAGGATGCATGGCACAGTGAAAATATAGAGGAAATATTGAAACCTCTTAGATTGATAAATGTTTCCTATTTGTTCTTTATCTTTATATATTCTGGATTGTATATATTTTCATGTTGTTAATGTTTTACTTCATAATTTTATTCTAGTAAAATGTCTTACTTTAAACCAAATTTTTATTATTTGACATGCCAGATGCAACTTATTTTATGATTATGCATCTTTTAATTGTCATATTTTTAATTTTTTTTCTAGTTGTTGATTGTTGTAAAATAATTAATGATGAAATATTTCAAGTCATCTACCATGATTCTTTAAAAGACAGTATATTTTACTAATATAGGCTTAAAGCCACATCAAACACAGGTTCTCATATAAGCACCAAAGTTAAGCAATGTCAAAACTTCATTGCCATATTCAAAACATTTTGGCTATTGTATGCTCTGGCTTTCTTCAGTTGATTGGATTTTTGAACTGAACCCTTTACTTCATCCACTGGGGTAGATTGTCCTAGTTCCACATGCCCTGCCTCTTCTGGATGTCTCAGTTATTTCCCTTTAACTCAACTTTCCAAATATGCAATAATAACAGAAAAATTGCAATATGAGCAGTGGTAAAAACGGTTGCTGAGTCATTAAGTTTATAAGTCCCAGAAATTCATACACAGATGTTCTCAAGGAGACATCCAGAAGAGGTACGGCATGTGGAACTAGAACAATCTAACGGTAGATGAAAAAGGAGTTTGGTTCAAAATTCCAATTGCCTGAAGAAGTCCAAAATGTGAATATGGCAATGAAGATAAGGATGACAGTTTGAATAATGATAATAATGTAAATAATCATAATACCTCATCTCAGAGATATAGACAGATATGGATAATTAGTAAAACTTGTATCACTAAACCATTATTATCTCCAATCAAAAAATATTTTCTGTCTTTAAATAACATGCAAAGGGTTAATAAGTTGTAGAAAATGATTCACTCAATCCATCATGTAGTAATATATTTCGATCAATTGAATGTAATTTAATTTCATTTCTATTTTCCAGGTGGCGAAGATGCTCTCTCATTCTTGATTAGCACCCTTAGTCTTATTGGGATGCTTGCAATCATCACTTACACAGTAAGTGGAGATTGTTTTACTTAATATATAAAATGAAACTTCTCCATGTAATAGACATCAATATGTAGAAATACATATATTGATAACTTTTTTTAAACCAATGTTTTATTGTTATGAGGGGAGGTGCTGGAAATTTTTCAGCTTAGCCTGCTTTCCAAAGTTTTTCTTTTAATGACTTTGTATACTGACTTTGAGAACTGAGTCAGGCTGAAAGCTTTTTAGCATGTCTGTACATATTTGAATTGTTTATTAGGTTTCAATGACTATAAATTAGACTCATCCCAACTCTCTTATGAATCCTCTGCACTGTTCTAAGATTAACACCCAAACACTCTGAAATGTTCGCTTTGGAGCCTCCAGTCTGAATGCCAACCAGTACAGCATGCCATTTCCTAATTTCTGGCTGAGTGAATTGTGTCATGGTGCTCTTTTTCTCACAACCGGTGCGCAACTGACCTTACTATACTGTGCAGTTGAAAAATCTAAAACAAACAACGCACATATGTAAACTTAACAATAAAAAAAATGGTGACAATTTACCCACTGCACCTGATAAAGATATATATATATATGTGTGTATATATAAAGGAAAACAAAAATATTATTAAGGAACAAGAATGATAAAAATAGAGTAATTAAATAGACAGTAGATAACGATTGACATTGCATTAAATTTTTTAAAATCAGAGTTGACTAGAAAGCAAGAAGCCAGAAGAGTTCCACAAGTGAGAAAAGAAACTGTGTTAGCATAGAACTTAGGGTTATATCTAACCATTTTAACTATGAAATGAGACCTAGTTACCAATCTAGTACTGCGCTTAAATCCTCAAAGTCTAGGTATCACAGAGGAAAGTTCATCATAACAATTACCATGAAAGCAGGGAAGCTGCATTATGGCAGTGGGTAAATATCAGGGCAGGATCAAGAACCTTGCAGATTCTTTGGATTTTATTAAGGATCTCTAAATATATAGCAGAAAAACCAGACCATATGTGGCATCAATATTCAAAGCATGGGGATTGATAGACTTATAATATTAGTTAATTTCTTACATAAAGTACATTTTTATATCTCACTCATTTCTCTACTGATCAATGAAAATCTTTTTGGTTTCTTCTTTTATTCTTATTATTGAGAATTAATTGTAATTGAATTTAGCTTATATATATTTATTTTGTTGAATATGACAGGTAAGGAAGATTTGATGAATTTTATTTTATTGAGCTTTACTAGTATTCTTAAATTTTTGGTAGGGATAAGGGAGTGTAAAAATTTTGATTAATTTAGCCATTTTCAAGGGTTTTGTTGTTAATTGTTATTAATTTCTTTTCATGGTTGTCTTTTAAGATGTAACTGTGTGATGCCTATTGTATGATAGTAGCATTTATGTTGAGCCCTGTGAAAAGAATGTGGCTAGAATTCAACTTGATGTCCTGTTTTTAAAAAAAAAACAAAAACTTTAGTACATTGTTTCTGTTGTTAAATAAATTGAGATTAATACTGGGTGCCATGTGTTTTATGTAGTGCTTCTTTCACAGTGAAATGTTTTCAGTTATGGGATTTATGAAAGAGGAAAAATTTAAAAATACTAGAAAAAAAATCATCAAATTTTTTTTTTGTCTGTCATATTCAACAAAAGATGTTTGGAAGAAAGGTTGTTGGCTAAAATGTATATATATATATATATATATATATATATATATATATATATATATGTTGAAGTCAACACTCGGGGTCACAGGCTGTTTCATGCTAGATGCAATCGTCAGGCTGCACAATTGTGTCTAGCATGAAACAGCCTGTCACCTTTGACTTCAATGTTCACTTTTTTATTTATATTTACATATGCTCTTTCTCTGATATTGAGCACTTTATCCCATAAATATAGCACACCTTAAAACTATTTCTTTATATATATATATATATATATACACACACACACATATATATATCTCTGTATATTTAGGCAGCAATCCTTCTTTTATGGACATTTCATTGAATATGACAGACAAGGTGCTTTTATTTAGTTTTTTTATACAATTTCCCATGCAATCTAATAATTTTTTTTCTTTTCAGATGATAAATTATATAAAAACTGTCCAAATGTTCTTTTTATCTGAGTGCTTTTGGCTATACATTTAGTCATTATCAAGAATTAAATATTTTAACTGTTAAATAAGAAATATTGTTGCATGTATGTATTTATATATTTAATGAAATGTCCACACACACACACACACATATATATATAATCTTACATTAATTGTACAGCTTCGAGTTTCATACGAGGCAATTTTCAAGTGCTAGAATTATTATATTTATTTTTTAATAAATATAATAATTTCAGCACTTGAAAATTGCTTTGACATGAAATTCAAAGTTGTGGTGTGCAGTTAATATATCTATATTTCTTAATATGTGTTAAATAGCTCTGTTATCACTCGTTTGCTCATATGCCTACCTATAGTTACCCATTCGTTTTTTATATATATATATATATATATATATCTGCAAAATATGCATGCACATATTTATCTATACTGTTGCTACAGCCAGAGATAAAATGGTTTAATAGATGTGTAAGTATATAAATGCTGATTTATGAACTTTGGTGAATTAAGCCGATGATATGTAGGTAATTTCTACTTTTCATATTGTTCTTATTGACAAGAATGTTTGTAATATTCTTTTTTATTTATCCCTTGAGTCATATGGTATGTCTGCAATGCCAATCAGACTCATCCAGGGTTATCGAAGCATCTCTCATGAAAGAAATACTGCTGCCCAAGTAAGAGTTAATGCTACTGAAAGAATCCAGGCAATCAAAGACAGAGTAAGTTCTTGGCTTTTAATTTCACTTTCCTCTCAAAACAGGCCAGCAGTGGTGATCCCTTCTTTATTTTTATTTTTTTATTTTTTTTTGTATTGTGGTCTTGAAATGATGAATATTTTAATCATGCCATTGTATACATGAATGTTAAACTTCATGTAAAATGCACAGGCAATTTTAGCAATGTCAAATGGAAAATTTGATCACATATAAAAAAAAAAAGAAAAAAAAGTTACACTTCACGTATAAATCATGTCTTGGTCAAATTTCTGGCAGGTTTAGAGATAAGAATGAATGGAGAATTGCTAATTTTCTTTAAATAAATGAGTTTGCTGTGTCATAAATAATTGAAAAAGCTTCTCATATACAAGGCGCTGCTAAAAAAAATTGATGGGCTGACCAAGATACTCTAATGGAATGTCACCAAATGAGTTTTATTTTTGAACATAGTTCCCCTTGTGGTCCACACACACTTCTTCCATTAGTGTTGCATCCCATTGGTAATGAAGTTTTTATCCTATTGGTCAAAACTGTCAATAACAGATATGTCATAATCACTGTGATATTGGCTTCCAGCCAAGTGTTTTTTCATGTTGGGGAACAGATGATAGTTAATAGGGAGGATGATCAACCAGTTCAAAAGCACAGTTATGCACAGTAGCTATTGAAACCAAGGACTTGTGTGCTGGAGCTCTGTCCTGATTAAGCAAAACCCCTTTCGTCAGTTTTCCTAGGCATTTGATTCTTATAGCCTTTCCTAACTGCCTCGGCAAGTTGGCACAGTACTCTCCCTTGATGGTGTAGCCCTTTTGAAGATAGTTGATAAATGCAATGCCTTTTGCATTTGCAAAAAGTGAAGCCATCACCTTGTCTGCAGATGAAATGATTTTGGCCTTCTTTGGAAATAGTGAGGAAGAGTGTTTCCACTGCAAGTATTGTCTCTGGCTCAGTGATGAACCTAACACTTATCCTGGGTTAGGAAACATTCAAGGAAACTAACTGGATCTACCACCAAACAATGTCAGATTTTCCCATGATGTGATCAGTCTTGTATGCTTTTTGATCAGGTGTCAAAAGATGTGGCACCTACCAAACTGAAACTTTCATCATGCCAAATATTCTCAACCCTCTCACTGGATACGCTATTGATTTATGGTCAATCACTTGTCATCCGACACCATTTGATGAACACCATGTTTTCCTCTATGGTGGCAGTTGCAGGATGTCCAGACTTTATCTTCAATATTCTCCTTTCCTTTTTTAAATTCAGTTGCCCATTCTAACTCCTCATTCCTTGTGTGCCCTAGAAATTTCAATTGTCTCTTTCTAATTTTAAGTATGTATCCTTTTCGTTTCCATTTTCCCTAAAACTTCATTGTTGACATAAAAAAAATCTACTTAAACACAGGTGTCTATGAAATATGATGTACATAAGAAATATTCAGCTTGTTAACTTTTGTAGATTTTAATGTATAATGCTATGCCTTGTAAACTTCACAAATAAAGGTTTTCATGCAAGCTTACCATGTAAACCACTGAATAGGCTCATATTTTCAAAACACCTGCTCTATTTTTAGTATACTGGCCGTAGAACCATGTCATCACGGGACAGAACTAGAATAGCAGAACTAGAGGAGAACCGACGTTTTGTGGAGCGCCAGGAACGCCATCTTGCTGAGGAGCAGAACAGCTGTCTTCGCAAATGTCTTCTGGTGTTCCGACCATTTGAAATCTTCATTGGCTGCTTTTTCTTGCTGATTGCCCTCCTCATCTTCCTATCTCTCTTGCTCACAAAGTATGTTTTTTGTTTTTTTTTCTTTTTCTTTTAAAAACTGATGATTTTGAGTAAAGGGGGTTTGTAGGTCTTTTAATGGAAAACTATTTTTTGACCGAAAGAAATATGGTAGACTAGTATTGTTTGATGATGTAAGTATTGAGAAATCATGAAAATGGATGGGGGATTGTGAGATACTAGGAAATTTTTAAAGTTTTGAGGAAGGTCAGGTGATGAATGAGACAAAATGTAAATGGATGGCTGTGTTGAAGGTAAAAAGGTGGCAATAAAAGGAGAATTTATTTAACGAAAAATGGGGGTGCTTGTAAATAAGTAGACATGGAAGGTGGCTAAAGAAGGGGGAGGGGAAGACTTCACCCAAAAAGAAAGAGTTCATTGTAAATAAATCTTAGGAAAAAAAATTTATTTTCAGTCACTCTCATAAGAAAAAAATCTGGTGTTACTGTAGGATATCTTATGAGTCCTGTAACCCCTGAGAATCATAGGGACGCCATACGAATTGCAGCTGCATATCTTGGGCAAGATAGGCTGATGAAGCCCAACCCTCTTCAGACTGGTGTGAATTCAGAGTTTTCCTTCTAGACTAGTTGCCAACTAAGGCTATAAAATTCTGTCTGTCCTGCTATTTACCCATACCTGATGGGAGAAAAGATGGATTCCTGTCCTGGGTATAATGATAAACTACATCCAGTGGCAAGGCCTCTGATCGGGAGGTTTTGAGGTGCATGGAACCATCTCTTAATTGCTGTTGTTCCCAGGTCCACCCTGACTCGAGGTGGTAGTACTTGCTATGGTTCCAACTATGGGCAAATCATTAGCCCACCAAACTGGGATCAAAACACTCTCAAAGTATAAAAATACATTTTATAGTAAAAAATACCAGCAATACATTTTCATAGTAACAAAAAGAGAATTTACTGGCAACACATTTTTGTAAATGAAATTATTAATGCTCTCAAGAAAATTAAATTTAGGCATTAAATGACTTATAAGGAGTTTATATGCCACTAAACAAACAAACAAACAAGAGATGGATTCATACCTTTCCCAAGGGTATTAGCTGTTTTTTTTTTTTTCCCCCTCACAATAATTTCCTTGAAAAATTAAATTTACTACTAAAATTTCACAGAAATGACATCCTCGGTAAATTCAATTTAAATCCATTTTTCTGTCCAATAAATATATGGTGCAGCAGATATACCTCCCACATTTTAAAGGTTGACAAAAAAGACGAAGGTATCCATTATTAAAAGATTTATTTCACTGTTGCTTAAAAAAAGTGCTACATTTTCTTAGTCACTTGGTTCTTAGTCACTTGGTTTTAAAAATGACATCCACCCAAAAAAGGTTAGCCTCTTATTTGTCATACACTGAAGTAGACGATTTCTAAAGTTTTTCATCACCCATGGCTTTCTTTTAAGTGTTGAACCTGTGACCCTGAAATTTTTAACCCAGAGCATTATCCATTTTCCATCCAGAGCAGCATCATTTTGACATAGCATGAAATGAGCATGAAAAGCTCTCTGTGTCATAATTACAGATTCATCAGTTTTAAAAAAACGTTTCAACAGCAAACACCTGGTATACACCAGTTCAAGCCATAATGATAATTGATGATATCTGAAAAGGAAAATGGTAAAACATTACACTTGCCTCTGTTCACTAACACCACACTGATGACAGCCTGAAATGTGGGAGGGCAGTATTTCTGTCACACCTTGTATTAACTTTCATTAGTTATTTCTTGTAAATTGTTTTATTTTATACTTTGCCTTGTAATCTTAAATTTTGTTTCAAATATTATATTCAAAGATATTGAATTTTTGTCTCTCTATCTACTTTAAATGTATCATAGTTTATACCATTGTGGTTATTTTATTTATTTTATTTTTTTCTTTAATATATTTTTACTTTTTAAGCATTGACAAAGCCATGAACAGCCTTGGTTTCAAGATGGGATATGCTCTGCCTAAACGTACCCTTCCAAATCCAATTGATATGGTTTTGGTATTCAGCCAAAAGGTATGTATTAGTACAGAGACCATTTTATTGCAAAGTGATTTTAATTAAATCTTTGTTATTAACATTAGAAAAGTCTCTTAAAAATGTCAAGTATTAATTTGAGAACTTTCAGCTTTATTTTCTTGGTACTATTGAGTGCCTAATACAAGGGGAGGTTTTACTAATTTGTAGGGGTGGTTGGAATTTCTGTCAGAATCCTATAAACTAGGTTTTCTTGAAATGATTTAAATAGTTGAAGAGTACAAAATTAATAAATAGGGCAGTCTTAATAAGATTGGGGTGGGTGCTCAGAATTTTTTTTTTTTTTTTATAAAGTAAAATAAAGTTTTTTTTTTTTTTTTTTTTTTTATCCCTATTAAACACGTGAGAGTATTTCTCTATCCAGCCTTCTCGTCAATGGTGTATATATAACATGCTCATTTCTATGTCTTTTATTTTTATAATAATAATTTTAAGTAGTAATGACTAATCATTTTTACTACCATGTTTTAAAGGTAAGCGAGTCTAGATTCTGACCAATTTTGACTGGAGATTACTAAAATTGATTTTCTTTCTCTTTCCTCAAGGCTTATCCCCTTGATTACATCATCATGGTGTTCATCATCATTTATTTGGTTTTCTGCTCTATTTCTGGCATTCGAAATCTCGGCATCTGGTTCTTCTGTGTCAGGGTAAGTCACTTTTTTTCTTTCTTTTTTTTTTTTTAATCACTTGCAAGACATTTAGCTGCAGGCAGGGCCAAATTTAAGTTGAAAGAGGGCTGCTGTGCTGATAGAATTTGGGGACCCCTACATTATGTATTTAAATGATCCACTACAACTAGATGAACCCAGATACTCTAAATTGTTTCAAATTAGTTTAAAGAAGCCCCACTTTAATATGAAAATAAACAAATCTTCTCTGTTCTTATATCTTTATTTTTTATTTTTTTTTTTTTTTAGTTTTATCAGGGTTGGACCTCTAGTTTTGCAAGCCATGCTAGTCCATATGTAAATCTGGCACTGACTGCAGGGATAACTTCAACAATTACATGCAATATGAAACTTTCATAATTTGTATACCAAAAAAATAATAGTGTAAAATGCGAATACATAATGAACTCATAGTGGAAAGTCACCTTCTAAAAAAGGTTTTGTTTGCAGAAAAAAATGCAGATAAAATGTTGTATTTGATTCCTTTTGTTACTTTTTTTAATCCATTCACCACAAGCAAGTTGTTAGTACCACTATGACACAAGGGGTTACTGAGGGTGAAAGAAAATGAGGAAGGCATTAGTGAAGAGAAAGAACAAGAAAAGAACAGGATTCAGTAAGAGAGAAAATGGCAGTTGATGTCACTCTTAAATTTTTGAAGTTCATAGGTGACAGGAAAGCAAGAAGCTGTTAGATTTTCACAAGTGGGAAGTATAAGAAAAGAAATCATTAGAATAGAATTTATGGTTCTATCTAGTTATTTTAACAGTAAAATGATGAAACTTGGTTGCCAATCTTGTAATAGGCTTTAAGTAAACGCAGTTGATATACCAAGGAATAAAGAAAATGCCAGACATACAATCTGTTTCTGTCTTTACTGTCAGTATATATAGGAATAAGCATGCAGCAGAATCAGACTGGAGATAGGACAAGAACAGTGCGGGTTCAAAAAGACACTGAAACAAGGAATGTAAAATGCTGAATGTTATACAATACAAATGCAGAAGGATGTACCTCTGTTTTTATAGATTATGTGATGGCATTTGATAAAGTACATCACAAAGATCTGTTAGAACTGTTAGCAACCTGGATATATTTGGGAAGGGCGTTAGAATGATCAAGAATCAAACTGACTGCATGTGGATAGGAAATGAGTTCAATAAATATACAAAAACAGAAAGGTGTGTAAGACAAAGATGTGTCTTCTACCAGACTTATTCAACCTATACAGCAAGGCAATTCTGAGAGAATTATGTCCTACTAGGATTCTGTATTTGGTGACCACAATTTTCACAACATAGAATATGCAGATGACAATATTGATAGCAGAAAACTGCAAAAGCTTCTACAGAAGGTAGTGAAAGAAAGTGAGAAGAAAGGACTAAACATCAACTGCAAGAAGACAGAATGTAGCTATAAGTAAAAGCAAGAGTCCAAAAGGTAAATTACAAATTAGAGATACCAAACCTAATCAAGCACAAAAATTTAAATATCTGGGAAGTGTTTTGCGGACAGAAAATGTGAAACTGAAATCCGAAGACACATTGGGATAGCCAAAGATGCTTTTCAAAACCTAAGGAGAGTATTAAGAGATAGAAAAACTTCATCAAAAAATAAAGAAAAGCATACTGAACTGTTACATGACATCCATCCTATTGTATGGCAGTAAATCCTGGAGAATTTTCTCAAAGATGAAAGACTTTAACTAATATATGAAAGAAAACTTATAAAAAAAATCAAACAGAATTGCAAAACAGGTGTTTCAAAAGAAGTTGGAGCAAGGAGTTGGTTTGTAGATTGGGTTTGTGGAAGATGGAAAACAATTTACAGTACTTAACTGTTTGGTTGTCCTATACACAATGTTTCATGTTCACTAGTTTGTTTTTTGTTATGTAAGTTTTTATGCTAAAACAGCGTCACCACTGTGGTGACCTTTTCCTTTTGCAGTTTATATTTTGATAGTCTTCCAATTTCAATCAGAACTACTACTACTAATATTATCTTTGGGTGGAGGGCATCATAGCTGATGTCTGCAGTATATTGGGACAACCAATCTGCTACTATAATCTAGAAAATATTAAAGAAACATTCTCTTTGTAAATGCTTTAAATGCAACTATTTAATGTTATATTCATGTCATTTGGTTTACAGCTGTACAAAATCAGACCCCATCGTACAAATCCCCAGGGGATGCTTATGTTGAGCATGATAATGATGCTGATTGTGGTGGCCATCAACATTGTTCTGTTTGAATTGACACCTCAGTATTCGTCATTTGGCAGTGAACTCTATTTGGTGAGTTTGTTTTCTTTTAGTAACATTTTCAAACTTTTTACTTTTACTAAAAGGCCCAAGAACCACTTAAAGTTGAGGATTACTGAATCTGGTTGTTTTATGGCTATAAGGAGGAGGAGGAGGAGGTAAAAATTGTAGATTATGAGGATATGTAGGATAGATAATGGTTGACCCTAGACTTGAAGAGGTAAATCATAGTAATCTAGAGGATACATCCTTTTGAGAATCTTTTCCACAAAGTAGCAGCTCTTGGGGGGGAAAAAGTTGACTAAATGGAACTTCTATTCTTATCAATAAAATAATTCAGCCCTGTGTTGAACAAAGCAGAAGCTAATATCTGATTATAATAAAGTATCAAATGCAGAAAGTTATTTCTGTTTTTAAATCTAAAGTAAAATTGAAATGAATAGATTGTCACAGCTAGATTTTATTTGAAAGCTAATTTGTAATCATTATAATTACATGTATGTTCTTGTAGTATGTTATTAACAGCAAGAATCTCAACTACATCAAATATCCTAAATTTGATTTGGTCAGTTAGATAATGGTGTACTTTAACATATTTATGCTATTAAAATCCTGTGTTTTAATTATTCAGTATATCAGTTAAGCAAGCTGTGTGTACATTTGTGTGTGATATATAAAATCTTCCCTGTCAACACATAATTGGCTGACTTGGCAGGGTAAAGTTCAAAACTCCCTATATTCTGGGGAAAGGCCTAGGCCCTTAAATGGACTGAAAAAGTGACTGATATTACAATGCACATATGGTGGATTCTCTGAAAATGCTTCCAATTTATTTCCATGGTAACAACAACAACAGATACAAGGCGCATCAAAATACTTAAATAGAGCAAAGTTTCAGCTACAAAACATTAATTTTCAATACAGAAATTTAAATATTTCGGAAGTGTTCTAACAGAAGACAGAAAGTGCAACACTGAGATTAGTATTGGAATGGACAAAGATGCTTTCCAAAACCTAAGCAGAGTATTAAGAGATAGAAAAATCTTATCGGAAACAAAGAAAAGAATACTGAACTGTTAGGAGATATCTGTTCTCCTATATGGCAGCGAATGCTGGACAATCTCCTCAAAGATGAAGAAGGCACAAAGCAACAGAAATGTGGTTCTACAGAAAGATGCTGAAGATACCATGGGCTAAACACCTGAGCAACAGCAAGGTTTTGAAGAGAATGGAAACAAAGAGGAAACTTATACTTAACATCAGGAAGATACCGTTAAAATTTCTGGGACATGTAATAAGGAAGTGGGTGCTTGAAAAATCTGATACTGACATGATGGAAAGAGGGACAGTGGAAAGCAACACTTGGCATACTTAATGAGCTTGAACAAATGGATGGCAGAACATAGTTTGGGAGACAAAACTTATTAAGATCTACAAGGGACAGGAAGATGTGGAGGGCCATGATCGCCTACATCCTGAAGGGACACAGCACATAAAAGAAGAAGAATGTCTTTGTTAGGAAAATATCTACATTATCTTACATTGATTATCATAAATGGGGATTCTTACACACTGATTTCTGTTGCCACTGATGAAACCTTTATTGTGCTTACATCTACTGTTTGGTCTCTGTAAACATACAGCAAGGTGTTGATGACCATTAATGTGTGCAATTTTTCAGCATAGGTGTTATTTATACCAAGTGGAGTGGGAAAGAAAATTCATCCTCTACAAATATACACCACTGACCTCATGTTTGTGTTTGTTTTTTTCTCTGTGTGGGTGTAAAAATTCAAATATAGTTAAATATCTATCTGTAAAAAGACAATATAAATAAAGACAAAAGGAAAATGTTTCTTAGCCAATGCGCTTTGTCCTCTGATGGACTTTATCAAGACAAATGTAAGAATTTTATATTGTGTCATGTGAATTTATAAACAGAAGTAAAAATGTTACTTTTTTCAATGTTTTAATTTAAGAATGCTCATAAATATGCTTAAGGCTAACTAAAAAGTCAAGGTAAATTATGAAAGATGCTAAGTGATATAATTTAATGCCTGATAAACAAAAGTGAGTAAATATTTTTTTTTTTTTTTTAATGTAATTATTTTATTTTAGCTTGAGAAATTTATTTATATATTTTAAAAATAGATTTTAATTTTTTTAATTTTAAATTTTTATAGTCATGTACATTGGCTTGGGGTATATGTTGGCCCATAGTTATATTTTGGTAAGATTCAATAATAGCACTCTCACCAGGGTTTTGTTATTATAAACTAGATAAAAACAGATATATAATATTATCTACTAACTCCTATACATCTACAATCCAAAACAAATTATCCAGTCTTAACAATATCGGAATAATTACAACCGCATCCAAAACTATTATTGATATAATCTGAACCAAAAATATCCATAACAATAATTCTGAAGCAGGTGTATGTAAAATAAACTGTCGCGACTGTTCCTTACAATATATTGGGGAAACTTGCAGAAATGAAAAAAAAAAACAGACAAAACAAAAATGTATCCATGAACACAAAAAGGATCTTATGCACAACAATTTATCAAAAGCAGTAGTGATACATAGAAAGTTCAACCACAACTTCGATCTAAAGAAGGTCACACTTTTAAAAATGAAAATAATTTACTTAGATGGAAAATTTTTGAGAGTGCTTCCATTGAATCTTACCAAAGTATAAATCAACATAAATATATCTGGTTGAAGTCATACAAATGTATTAGTTTTGGTTTCAACTTTATTCTTTATTATTTTTTTTCAGTTGTTGTGTTCATATTAACTAAGCACATTGTGGCAGATTTATGCAATATTATTTTTACTTTTTATAATGAGACAGCTAACATAAAATAAATTACCATTTACTTTAAATGGCATGGAATCGATTTAAATTTTTTTTCTTCTTTCACTTCTAGAATACAACTGTAAACCTTGATGCAAATGGTACTGTAACCAAACACCTTTACCCTTGTGATGTGTCTGCTTCTTCAGGTAGATTTTCATTTATTCTATATCTGTCATTTTCAATGTTTTTGGTCCACTGCACACTTTTTGTCATGTCAGATTTTCCTGCCCCTATTCAAGATTATTTGGAACGCACCTTTTGAAGGTGCATTCCAAATAATATACATATATTGAAAATCTTCATTCTTTTCCATATTAGTACATATACATTGACATGGATTATTTTTATAGCGGAGTTTTTCAAATTTAATAGACTTAGAAAAGGTTGATGTATTTTTTAAGTTGAATACATGTACAGTAATTTGTTTTAATTATTAAATAAATAAACTGATGAATACTTTAGTAAGCAAAAAATTCCATAGAATGCCAGGGTATTCAATAAACGAAAAGTTCAATAAAAGGTCAGGGTATTTAAATCGATTTCATTATAATGAAGATTAGTCAATGAGAAACTTGTGAAAAATTAAAAGATTTTTCCTTACCAACCTGGAATTCTCCCCCATGCAGGGGTGGTGTCCCCCTCACCCATTGAGAATCCATGTTCTATACAACATGGATTTTTCCTTATTTTTCTTTACTTTTTATGCATTAATATTTGTCTTTTATTTATTGGTATTTGTATTTTCTGTAGAAGGGAAAACGGCTTACTTTATGGAACGAAATGCGCTTGTATGTGCCTTGAGTGCAAAATATGTGGCAGAAAATACGTCCGATCCAAAGGCCGCAATTTAAGAACAACTTGTTCTCGGAGCTTAGACATTTTGTGAGACTAGTGGAGAACACTGATGAGACAATGACAAAGCTGAGCTGTCAGGCTTTGTGTGTGAAGTTCTGCATTAGTCTCGCTGATTGTGATTTGTAAACTAAACTATGAAAAAAACGAGTGGCTTGCCTGGAGAACCTTTGTCACACAGACAGGATTACCCCCCTTCAACACCATCACTAATGATTTTTGCAAGTCACTTGATTTGAAATGGCATTTTCATTAATTCCTGGGACAAAATGTTATTTTTCTGTCTTTATAATGTACATTTTCTTTCAGCTTTTATAAAATATTCCTGTCATATGCATACACAGATGGGCTATAAGACAGACACCATTTTCCTTGTTTAGTATTAAATGAAGTTCTCTTCAATAATTACTCGTTTACTTTTTAAACCTGAGAACTAACTATACAATCATTTCACATGGCCTTGTATTTCAGAAACAGGTGAATTATCAGGTTTTGAAAGAAGGCAAATTTTTTGAATTAATTTGTGTCAAATAGTATGAAAATTATGAATCTCACTTTCAGCTATGCATAATAGGATCATACAATTTGCTAAAATAAGAAGAGAGACCTTCTGACCCACCTGCATCTTATGCAGACCAACCTGAGCTGTCTGAAAAATGTTTTTGTATTGTAAGACAGGAAATTGTGAACAAAATTCTTAGTTGCGTTGCAGTAGCAGATTCAGTGGTACATTTTTTAAATCTGCTTAAAAATAGCAATACAATATTTTCATATTGATTATTAAGACAAAGCAGCTAAGTAGGAGAGAAAAGAAATAGTTACTTCTTAAACAAGTCCATGACCAGCAGATGTCAACTGAGATAGTGAAAATACTTTTTGAAATTTTTTGTAAACTGTGGTCCTAGGTGTGCTCTGTTTTTCGCCCGGGCCCTAGGCGTGCTCTGTTTTGCGTCTGATGTGCTCTTTTTTTTTTTTTTTTTCCGCTTGGTGTGCTCTGTTTTGTGCCCGGGCCCTCGGCGTGCTTTGTTTTGCACCTGGCGTGCTCTTTTTTTTTTTTTTTTTTTTTCCGCTTGGTGTGCTCTGTTTTGTGCCCATGTTTAGAGCATCTTTCAAGTTTGAACTGTTAAAGCGTATAGAGATTAGTTAAACCAGAATTTTGTTTTAATTACCTACATAGCATATTTAGTGCAACAATTTGTGATACTTGGTTATGAAAACTTTTAGGATTCATATGAAAATCAGTTCAGAAAAATAAATATCCATTCTGCAGATATAAATTCTGATATCTACTGATGGTTATTTACACAAAAGCCGTACCATTTTCATTGACAATGGAACACTATACGAAAAAACAAACAACTTGAGAATGTGTTGTGCCATAGTACCTATTCTATTGTAATGGACTCTCCCATAGATAAGTAGGAGTAGCAGTAGCACGTCTGCAGAACGGTGTTGAGCGCGTCAGTCTAGATTCGGACATTTGAAGTACCAACCGTCACAACTAGATTTGCTGCGTCATTGACTCTTATTTTCCAAGTTCCTAACGTTTTGTACGTCGGACCTAATTTAGGAGGACTTATTAGAAATACAAGCCTCCACTGTGAAAATACTCCACAACAGAATGGTAAATTCAAGAGGGTATTTTTCTATGTAGACCATTTGTAGGTCTTCATAGCATATTTAATATTTTATAATAATCTTGAATTCTTTACTGTGTTAAAAAAAAAAAATTCTTGATTGTCTATTTACTTTTGTTATGTCCATTCTATATAAAAGCAAATGACAAAATTCCTGAAATTTTTCAATTTTTTTCTTTTAATGTTGAAATTTGTGCCACTTGAAAGATTTAGTTTAAAAGTGATTTCTGATCATGTGTAGTACAGAGTTAATTTGTTTTATTTTTTATTTTAAAATGTTTAACAAATGAATAAACTTCCACTGTATTAAACAACTTGAAATTTCACATTTTTCAATTTTGAAAAAAATAAAAAAAACTCTGCCAAATGATAAGTTAATTTCCAAATTTTTATTTTCTGCAACTGACAAAAAACCTGGTTTTTATTTTCTTTTAATCATTATCTTTTCAGATCAGTGTGTCATTACCAGAATGGCTATGCTTTTGACTAGATTCTTTTATAAGATGTGGTTCTTTGGTGCTGCTTATTACTGGTCGTCTTGGTTGTTTTTAGCGGTAAGTAAGAGTATATAGAAATCTAAACTTAAGAAAAAAAAAAAGCTCACACACATTACTGACTGTATTACTCACTTCTGGATCTTCATGAAATTTTGTTAAGTACACTAGAATGCTATATTCACTTTCAGAGAATTTTTTTTTTTTTATTGTAAGCAAGCAATGTCACTAGAATGCAGGGGGTTACAGGGAGTGAAAGAATGAGAAGATTTTAGTGAGGAGGATTAAGGAAAGGACAAAAAAAAATTGAACAGGGTTCAAGATGATAGAAGATGGCAATTGACATTACATTTAAATCTTTGAAGATTGTCATTATCAGGGAAGCAAGAAATCGGGAGTTTCACAGATAGGAAGTGTGTGAAAAGAAACTATTAGAGTAGAAGAGGCAGTTGCATCTAGGTAAAAAACTGTGAAACCTAGTTGCCAATCTAGTAGCATGCTTAAATTCATGTAGTTGAAGCACAAGGGGGGGAAAAAAGGCTCATTTGAACAGTCACCATGAAAATATTTGTAGAAAAGACAGAGGGAAGTTGTCATGTCAGTGGAAAAAAAAAAGTCACTGAAGTCAAGATGCCTGCTCAGTATCAGTTACATTACAGATCCTTTTTTTTAGATTTTTTTAGATTTTGTCAAGAATCTTGAGATATACAGCAGGAGCCCCAAACCAAATAAGGCAGCAGTAGTATTCAATGTATTGTTTGAATGGTAGATTTGTAAATGTGCAAGATGGATTCTGACAAGAAAAATTTTTCTGGTACAACACAGTGAACCAACTTTTCTTGCAGTAGACGAAGCAATTGATTATATATACAGTCACTCCATTTCATGTCAGTGGAAAATGTCACCCCCAAGAAAGCGTATGGTGTTGCTTTCCTGAAGTTTAGCATCAGCCATGCTGATGGCAGGAATAAAAGGTTCTCTGTAGTGATTAAATGAAAGCAGTTTTGTTTTTGGAGGCATTAAAATTTACAATTTTTTTTTTTTTTTTTTTTTTTTTTTTTTTTTTTTTAGAGCAGTTGCCATGTTTCCTTTTTTGAGTCTGTCAGATTTGCTAAGACAGGAGTAAATACTGATAATATCAGGAAAATCAATGATGAAGATTAGAAATAGTGTAGGTGCAAGGATACGGTGCGATGGATAAATTGTCATCTAAAAATGAAAATAATACTGACATCTCATTTTGATAGATATATTTACCGAAATTGCACGAAAATATCTTGAAATACTAAAGACTAAATTTATTCTATAAAATGTCCATTGGCTCCAAACACAACCTACAGACAACTTTGGAATCTCCTGCAACTCTTCTGGATGGTCTCTTTGTTTAAATTAATGAATGCTGCCATAATCCTTATTATATAACCTGGATTCTTGGGCTGTCACAGTTCACCTTAGTTACACCAGCCTGACTTATGCTGCTGTCTTCCACAAGTTTGTCTGTTGAGATTGTGTGTATCTTCTTTTCCTATTCTGTCATTGTGGTCTTCGGGGTTCGTTGCATTCACCCTAGTCTCTCCTACTACTTTTGTGTTCACTTTGTTTAGTTCTTTTTCGTAACAGATTTAATGTTTAGTATAGAGCTTAGAAAAAATTCGCAGTGTGAGATAGGCAAGAAGTAAGGCATGTAGCAACATCAGCACGGCAAAGGGCACTCCTTTAAAGGCAAGGAAGGGCAAAAATATTTTAAGTCAAGTGATAGCGATTACTGTATGTTGTACGATTTTTGAATCAAGCACGGGCCACGCTGCTAGTGTGTGTGTGTATATATATATATATTTACAAAATTTCTTTTTAAAGACCATGAATTTTCAATATATATATATATATATATATATATATATATATATATATATATATATATATATATATGTGTGTGTGTGTGTATATATAAAAAATAATCCTAGGAGCCAGGTAAACCTACCTAGGTTTCACCTAAACAGATCTTCAGGGTAAAACTGGCCAGTTTTTACCCTGAAGATCCATTTAGGTAAGTTTGCCTGGCTCCTTAGGATTATTTTAGTTTTTGCTCTACTTAGTGTATTGAGAACTTTGTTAAGTCTTTTACTCGTTTTGGGGTTTTTGTCTTTGGACTCGGAGCTCAAGCACTTGATGAGAGGATTCATACAGTGTTATGTTCTTGGTTCTTTTTTTTTTTTTTTTTTTTTTTTTTTTCAAATTTTTCCTTGGACATCAATTTGTTATAAGTTTAGCCAACTGAGGTTTTTTCAAAAATGTGTATTACCATTCATCTATATATATATATATATATATATATATATATATATATATATATATATATATAAATTTTTTTTTTTTTTTTTTTTTTTTTTTTTACAAATTTAAGTTGAAAAATGAATTTGTAAAATAATAATTTTTATAGTGATTGTAAGCTAAATATTTTGCAATTTCCTTGTAAATTTTTCTCGTATCAAAAACTTAAAAATTTTACCATGTCTTGTTGTAGCACCAGAATAGATATTATTTGTACTTATTTTTGCTTGCAGTTGATCCCCATTGGATTCATTGCTGTTGTTGTTCGTCGTCGTAGATCAGCAATTGAAGGTGCTGTTGAAGAAGATGACTTTGAAGAGAGTGATGATGACCTTATCCGTGCATAATGACCAAAGATCCAAGACAAACAGGAACTATAACAGTCAGTGGCTCAGCCAGTCATACAAAGTCATTATGCTGCTGGTGGCACTCATATTATCTATTGTAGCAGATTATTGCTGACTGTTGCTTTTGTATTGTTCTACATCATTCCACCGGAATTTCTCTTTTCTTGCTTTCTCCCTTCCTCCTTTTTAAACTGATCCAAACTACATTTTGGCATTATGCTGATGAAGAAGAAGAAAAGGTAGCTGCTTTTTTTTTTTTTTTTTATCAGTTTCTTTTTCTTTCTTTTTTTTTTTTTTTTTTTTTTTTTTTTTTAAATAAGTTAATAAATTTTAATACATTTAATTTAATGACACTTTAACATTTACTGTTTGGAATTGCACCTTTTGGGAATTACATCCAGTGAAATTTAAAAATTGAAGCCTACTACAACATATGTCTTTACCTTGATTTATTGATATTTAAAGTTTAGCTCAGTGGTTTTAGCATAGGACTTGAAGGTTGTGACGTTTTGGGCTCTTTCTTTATCTATTGATTCAGGAATATGGGTTGGTTCATTTATAACAAGGAAAACAGATTCTCAAATAAGTCAAGACTCTTTCCCTGTCAGTCATTTAGTCTGTACTACCTAGATCAGGGATTGAACTCACTGTCACCAAATTCACAAACCACTGCTTTAATCCATTAATAGGACAACAGCAAGCCTGACCAATGTTTAGTTATAGACTTGAGTATCAATCCGACCAATATTTCTGATAGACTCAGTGTAGCCATAACAAATTTGGTGACATAGTAACTTTGAGTTCAATCTCTGGCCTGCTTGGTGCATAGTTAGACTCTGTAGAAACAGAACATGCAGTAACTGAGCAGTACTAAAATAAGAACAATTTACATTGGTAGATTAAATAAATGGTTAAGTTTGAAATTCCTAGACTGTTACCTGGATTGACAAGTACCTAAAGAAGGCTTAGGGCACAATAACTAAAATGTGATAACAGCAAAAATCAAAAGGGCTAGATAGTCTAAATATAAATAATGAAAACACTTCATCCCAGAAATACAGACAGAAGTTATTTGTTAATTTAATTCTGGATGCAAGACCTTGTATTTTTTTGGTGATTAATTCTTTAGAAAATTTTAATTAATATCTAGAAGTGCGTGTTGTGATCTTTTGAATTTGTATTGAGGTTTTGAATTTTTTATATTTTGTTGCTAAAATCACTTTAAAAAATAAAGCTGAAAATACATCTCAACCTTAGAAAAAAAAAATTGGATATTCAAAACAGTTTCTTGTACAAATCGAGCATGACTGTTGCAACTTCTTTTGACAATACTTCATATACTAGAATATACAAAAGAGTTTGTATCATATTTATTATATCTTATTACTAGTTGAATACTTGTTCTAATACAGAGAAAAGTTAAATTGTAATTTGTTCCTGCTTTTTTAAAATTTCTGCATAAACAACAGCCTTTTTTGATTTTCTAAAGTTCTTTATTTTCATTATGCTAAGTCCTCTTGAATTTCCTAATGTAGACATAACAGATGATCATAAGAGAAAATTAATTCAGCTTTTCACTTGTTTAAATAATTCAGTAAACTTTTAAGAAAATCTAATTAAACAGTATATTTTGGTTGACTTAGATAATTCCATAAGTTTTATTCAGCTTCATTTGACTACTAATTTGCAATGATGTGAAATATCAGATGACAGCATTGCTTATTATTACAAATGCCATAGGGTATCTAATGACTATATTTTAACAAGACTTATAGAAACGCAAACAGAAAAAAAACTATTGAAAGAAATATTGCTTATATATGGCAATTTTTAAAATTTAAATAAAAAACGACAGATGTAACATTAATATATGCTCTTAAAAATTGTTATGCAAATTAAACATTACTGCTTATTTTGTAAACACTATTTGTTAGTAACATAGGGATTTACTAAGCAAAGCTTGGATGTGGTACAAGGCTAAAAGTATGGAGCACCCAGTAAGGATTGAACTCACTACTCAGTTGTAATCAATCTAGTGAGACAAGCTTGCTGACCATTATACCACATTAGAGTGCCTTCATTTGTTAGTAATATATATTGATAGCAAATGTTTCATATGTTAGTGGTATTTACCCCAGCTCCATAGTTTCAAAATAATATTAAGCTCAACTCCTAGGAGGCCACCTTTCTCAGGCAGAACCTCTCCTTCAGGATGGGTCTGAGGTCATTACTCTCAAAATGGGGAAAGTGCCAAGGGAGCTTGAGCAATTTTTCTACAATATTGCCATTAAACCCACTTTAAACCTCACATTCATTATTGATGTGGGCACATTGAAAAATCCATATGTTAGCAGAACAACTGGGCTGTTTTGTTCTGCTGAAGTAAGGTCAGGGCTTGGGGGTCAGAAAAACAAAATTTTAGCCTTATGCAAATTTATAAAAGATGATAGAAATAAACTAAATTTTCAGTTGCTAACTTATGAAATTTAGCCTGATTTACAACTGTTAACTAATTTTTATTGGTCTTTACAAGTGTCTTTGTTTTATTTTATTTTATTTATTCCTCTCGAGATATATGGTTTGCAGCTCTTTTTCCGATTCTTCCAAAACATGATCCCTAAATTTTGTTTCATCTATGGTAGCTTCATACAGACAAAAAAAAAATCTTGTACATCTTTTTTTTTTTTTTTTATACTTCTGATATTGCTAGTTAACAATTTATACTTAGTAACATTCTTTAAGTCTAATAGGAAATATTCTCCTTGATATCCCATCTGCTGACAAATATCTTCTAATAGAGAAATAAACTCGTATTTTAAAACTCTTATTTGGTGGTGCTTCAATTTGACTTGTGGTCTTAGATATATGAAATACGCTTGTCAGTGTATGAGTTTATTGTAAGATATTTAGAGAACTTTGTCCTAAATTCATAATCTGTATAGAAATAACTCTCTCCATCCAAAAAATAACCATCATTATTATTCTGTCATTTATATACATTGGTTATATTGATAACAATTAAAAAATTATTAATCAACTTCTCATTTACCAGTTGCATACAAAAAGGTTTTTTTTTTTCTTACTAAATAGAAGCTTTAAAATGATAATTTATACATAATCAACATTATTACTATTGTCATGTTTTGTGATCAGTTGTTAATGTCTTACAGCTGTATTTGGTGGCAGTACAATACATAAAGAAAAACATACTGCCAAATGATATCACTTAGTTTCAAATTTTTTTTTTTTTTATTTCTGCTAAGAAATTCTATAGAAACTGCTCTAGTGATATACTGTTTTTTTTTTTTTTTGTTTGTTTCTTAAAAAAACAAAATATCTATCGAATGTACAAATCATCCACTATAAAATCTGGCCAGTTGTAATTATTTTTATTGTATTTTTTTTCTTTGTAAATTTCTAGCCATTTATGACTACATAGCTAATATTTGAATTACAATAATAAAAATTCTTTTATATTTATTACACTTTATTATATCTATTTTATGAAAACTTATATTGGAAAATATTGTCAATTTTATGAATACTCATATTGTCAAGTGTTTGGAAATATTGTCAATTTTCATGATAATCTTTGTTGCTATTTATGAACTGTATACCATAAAAGTAACTTTTAGCTAAAAAGAAAAAAAAGATTTCTTAATATGAGTGTATTTAATACCATATAAAAATATTCTTACTTTAATTTATATGAAAAGACTGAAATTTTCATGGCTGGAGTACATCTCCAAAATTACAACAATCCTCTCTGTATGATCTGAATTGGTTTACTTGGTAATTACTGCCAATGTTAATCAGATATAGACAGGTTGAGTCAAAAGTAGTGTCAGATTCCAGTGTGCGGTCAGTTGTTCAAGATAATTTGCAAGACAATTATAAGACTTTGAAGAATGTTTCGACTCACTGTGTATATTTTGTGTGAGGTCACATTGATCAGTTTGTGTAAAAATGTTTTTTTGATTTTTTTAATTTAATGCTTTTCCCTACCCCCCCCCCAAACTAGATTACATAATGACAAATACTCTTAGTCCTTTTGAAGTTGTCTTTTATGAATCTAGTAAAAAAAAAAAAGAAAAAAAATCTCTATAAAAACCCAGCTGTTGTTTGCCCATCTCTTTCTTTTATATCTCGGCTTTGCTTCAGATATATTTCTCTTGTTTTTTTTCTTTCTCTCTATAAGATTTATCTTTGTTTAATATTGGAATATAATTGCTGAATCTGCAAACTTTTTTTTTTTTTTTTTTTTGTCAGGGTGGGGTCTATTTTGAGTTCATGATAAAACTTAAAGCCCCTAACAGAAATAAATAGTTCTACTTTAGTTTAAATACTTACCAAAAATTATGAACAATAACATATCCATACAAACTGATGTCGAAGACGAAAGCAGTAGCTTAGTATTATATCTTCTTCAGTGTTATAGGTATCAAGGTTAACATCTTTGGCTGGTTGCATGGGTAACTATTTATATCATACTCATTCTGAAAAAAAAAAAGCCTAGAAATTTAGAAAATAGGCAGTTTTAAAAACATTCTGGTAATTATCATTTGTGATCTACTTTTCCATTGTAATGTTGAATTTCTCCTAAAAATGATCATCCATTTTATTGCAGTTATACATTAAAATCACTCAACAGTCAATAATTTACAGTTACAATAAATTGTTTTTTTAGTTTACCTCTTTCTAGTTACTATAAGTTGTTTTTTTTTTGTTCTTTCCTGTACTTTGATTTTAATATGACTGTTTTTTTCTCCAATTATTAAATTTGGTACCCCAAGTAAAATAATATAAAAGGATTTGGAAGATATACAAATCCATAAAGAAAAATGGGAAATCTTGTATGTTCTGTATTTATCCTTTAAAAACACTTCAAACTAATAATGGTTTTATTGATTGATTTTTATCTATATATATATATATATATATATATATATATATATATATATATATATATATATGTGTGTATGTGCATAGAGAAATATAACAAATGTTTGGTTACAAAAATAGGTTTGCTGAGTCTGTTTCCTGGCTGATTTGGATGTTGTTAATATTTATTTGAACTTAGGTGGAAAAAAAAAATTGAAGTAAATGAGCAAATAAATATAATTTATTGGGCTGAATGGCAACAGTATTTTTCTCTACCAACTCCGTTTCTATCAACAATTGTGTCTAAACCAAGTTTAGAGACTCTCTAAGCTGTCAACAATTCTAAAAGACATATTCGCTCGTAATTATCTGCCCTTTGGTTAGGAGTTCATTGCATAGACTTTCACACTACCACAATGAAAGAAGAAAAAATTCTTACATACATTTAATACAGATATTGTAGATGATAGGAGGTTCAAACATTATCTTTGTGTCATGCCGTGGATAATTGAACAACAAAATGGAAAGGAAGGAAAATTTATGCAATGTGTTTCATCGTTTCATAAGGATTTCTTCAGATGAAATTTTTTTTTCTCTCTCCAATGAAATCATATATTAGGGGTGGGGAAAGCGATGAAAATATGAACAAATATCAATTGTAATTATACATCAAAAGAAATGTTTAAGTACTGGGAGACATAACTTTAAATTTTTGGTATCTGAGGTATCTAGACGTACAGCCTAGCAGACTTCATTTAATTATTCATACTGCTTTTTTTTTTTTTGTTTTTTTTTGTTTATTATCTTTTATCAATGTTTTTAAATATTCTAGTAATAGCATTTTTTTTTTTTTTTTTTTTCATAGAAAACTATTTAGGCTGAAGGTTCCTTTTTGAAGAACGAAATGCATTGCATTGGATTATTTTTTCTTTTTGTCATTCAATTACCTACCATTAAATAGTTTATATATCATTTTACTATTTAATACTGTTAATCCATGATCATCTACATATTTTCTGGTCGGAGAAGACCTTGCTTCTGAGACTTTTCAAAATATTGTCAGGATTAACATATGCAATGGACATGGTAGATTTTAAATAAAGAATTGAGGAAATAGAAAATTATTATAAATTGCCTTTTTATTACAAGGTGAATATAATTAAAAATGGTCAACTTATCACCAACTCGGTCACCTATTCTGTACAAATATCTGTCATACACACACACACACATATATATATATATATATATATATATATATATATATATATATGAATGAAAAGACAAGAGGAAAACTATACTTAGTTTAGCTGGTGTGTTTCATCATTCAACAGACTATATCAAAACAAATGTGATGGTTTTATTTTGCAACAAGTATATGTTTTACAGTTACTCAATTTCCAAATTTAAGAACACCCATAAATATTCAGCAAGTTAACTGAAAAGTTTTAGGTGTTAGATCTTAGATTATATCATATAGCATATTTGAAAGGAAATTTTAAAATTTAAAGACCTTCAATATCAGATTAACTGAAATGTCAAGGCATTTAGACCGTATAATATGTCATTTAGTGTACTTAAAAAAGGAAAAAGAAAATATTTATTGGTTTGAAATATGAGATGGATGCTTGTATTATATATATATATATATATATATATATATATATGTTTAAATAATATCAACTTCTGTTTATCCAACTTTTTATTGACAGTTTGAAATTTCTGAATTAGTTGTTTTATGTAATTGCTAAATTTACCTACGTTTTTTTTTTTTTTTTTTTTTAATTTTATTTTTTTCCCCCCAGGTGCTTTCAAATATTGCTACATTTATTTACATTATTTGGACTATTGTCCTTATCTTTGTCGCTGTATTTATCACAAAGTTTCGGCTGTTGTACACTCCGGCCTTCTTCAGGTGGTTGGAATGTTGAATGAAACGTTGTGATAAATATGGAGACAAAGATGGGGACAATAGTCCGAATAATGTAAATAATGTACATAATACCTCATCTCAGAAATATAGACATTGCTACATTTGTTTTCAAGGGATGCGTTTTGTGTATGCTTATGCAACTGTTTCTAATTAATTCTGGCATTCTCATGGAACCAATTCCAAGGCACTCAAAGTGATGTCATTTAAATGTTCAAATTTACTTGAGTTTGATTCGAATGTGAGAACACCTGAATTTACTAGAGACAGTTACATAAACAGACAAGAAACGCAATCCTTGAAAGCAGATGTAGCAACTCAGAAAGTACTCGCTGAAAAATATAAAATAAAAATAAATATGAACATAGATAAAACGACTACATTATTCAATCGAACATGTTTGAAATAATTCTTGCTGCCGAAACATATTTTTTTTTTTTTTTATTATATATATATATATATATATATATATATATATATATATATATATATATATATGCCTGATTGAATAAATTGCAAACATTATATCTGCTTATTTTTATTGTAATCCTTTCATATTCACAAATATTTTTCCATATATTACAATAATTATAATATATGGAAAAATATTTGTGAATATAAAAGGATTATGATAAAGTTAAGTAGACATATTGTCTCTAATTTATTCAATCAGACATGCCTAAATATATACACACACACACACTTTAGGATATTGCATTGAAAACATGTCTTCGATGTGTATCAAATGGACCGAAACACGACTGCAACTGTGTAATGATTTTGACGTTTTCGATGTAATATCCTAAAATAAATGACATTGCTCTACTTTGTATTGAGCTCTCTTTTAAATTAAACGCTATGAATGTTGGAATTGTACCCTATTCATTCTCATCCTACCTGGGATAGATATATATATATATATATATATATATATATATATATATGAATGACTGGCTGCTATAACCAATTTCATTTGTGCTATGCACACAGTTATCAAGTGGTTGTTAGGGGTCTGTGGTGATGTGAACTTATACCTTCTCATCCGACTCAAGATGTTACAACAAAGGTATGCAACTGGCAGTTGTGTCTGGCCAGATGAACATCTGGTTATGTTATATAATATCTAATACTCTGCTATTTTGTCATAGAGCACCTTGGTGTGTCACTTTTGTTGATCTGTAATCAGTTTCTTTTAATCTTACAAGATAATGAAAAAAATTCACACTAATTTGTGTAATAGATTTAAAAAAATTGTTTTTAATCAATTGTGAAATCATTTATTTATTTATTTTTCATTATTTAATTATTTTACACCTTTTGGCTAAAGGTGGCTTTTGATGTTTGAACTGAACAAGTCTTGTTATCTATCATTGCCAAACAAATTTTTTACAGCATAACTTTATTGAATTATTTTTTCTTGCAAGGAAAGAGGCGATACAGTCAGATGAACTCTATTTTGTAAAGAATGAATTTTTTTTAAGCAAAAATTGTTTCTTTAATTGTTAAATTTGTAAATGATTTATCTTGAAAAGTCGTTTTATTTGGCGACTCATGTGTATGTATGTTCATTTGAAATAAATAATATAGGTATTTAAAAATAGAAATTTGCTTTTAAAAATTATTTTCATTATAAATACTGTGGGATTATTGTTAGATTGTTATATGAAAGAAAAATCTAATTTCTTATTTTATGGATATGCATTCTCAATAAAAACATGTTTGTATAGGACTTAAAATAAACTTTACAAGAAGTTTTTGTATAAATGCATGTATTATCTTTATAATTGGTTTTTTATTTTTCTGTTTGAATTTCTGTAATGAAGAATTATTATTTACATTATTTATAATTAGACTATTGTCCTCTTTGTTCTTATTGTTGCAACATTTCAGCTAATTTGCCCTTTGACCTGACAAGTAGCTGCTGGAGGGTACCACACCTGAAACATTATGATAGCAATGATGATGACAATAGTCAGTATACATAATTCTGTTTGAAAATTTCTGATTAATTCTGATGTTACTTTCCTATGTTAGGACATTTTTTGTGAAAGTATCTCCTCATTACCTGTCAACATTTTATTTTTTTTTTATTTTTATTTTTTCATTTATTTTTTTTTTTTCATTCTTTTATTCATTTTTTTAATTTTATTTCAAATTTTTTTATTTTTTTTTTTTTTTTTTTTTTTTTTTTTTTAATGTTTTTGAACTATTTTTATTAATTTGCCAATATATTATTGCTTATATTTCTGATTTGGAGCAATAGTAGCAGTTATTTTTTTTTTTTTTTTTTATAGGATTTTATTTGACTCATTTATTTGTTTATCATGAATTTAAATTTTATAAATATAATAACTTTGTCGGAGAGGTATTAAAAGCACAACTTGTTGGGAAATCCTTTTTAGGGACAATGAATATTTAATAAAATTTTGTCATGACATCTGCTTAAATGATTAAGCAGTACAATTTTTTCTAGTTGTCTTCTTTTTTCTCAATAACCAAAAAAAAAAAAAAAACACGTATGAGGTTAGTTTAAAGGCCTTTGATCTGGTCTTTTAACTAAGTCCATGTTTATAACTTTTCTGACCAACATTTTTCCAGACTAATATTGGTCACATTTGCTTTTGCAGACTTTTAGTGATTGTTCATCTACCACTGAATCTTGGAGACTGTGTGTCAACTACAGAATATCCGAAGAAATGTTGTCTAAGAATTGTGCAGCATTTGATTACCCCTCCCCGCCTCTGCTTAAAAAGAAATGAATGTCTTCAAGTAGTGTTATTGCTTCTGATAACAATAGGGGCTGACCATATGACTCAATCATATCAGACCCTTGTTTTTCCAGTACTGAAGCTTGGTATCTTTTAATCTTGTCCGACTCTTGTCCTTATATAAGTCTTGTTACATTCCTTAAAAACCCTTTGATTAGGTTTTATCCTTTTGGTATCGTGCTGACCATACAATACTAGCAGACTCAAAATGAACACCCAGCATAGCGATAATAATGTGTCAGTATCTAAAATATTACAACTTACCAATCAATACCAGTGTCCTGTTAGCTTTGTTAACTCAAATTTCTTTGCTTGCTAGTGTTCATTATCTACCTGTATGCCTAATAGTTCAAGATGAGATGATTCCAAGGAGTCTCCATCAATGCTGTCTGAAGTCTTGTAGTGGCTGCTGGAATTGTTACCACTGAAATAAGTGGTTCGTAATCTTTTTGACTCCATGACCCACCTTAACAATTAAAAAAAAATTAAGTATTTGAATAAATAGATTTATTTATTATTAACCCAGGAGTCATTAGACCAAAATAACAAGGATAAAACAAACAGACGATAAAAGACACAAGAAAGAGCTTGGCAACATGCAAAAAAGAGGAATTACTGTAATGTTGAACTATAAAAGCATTTAAGACAATGGAAGAGGCATATTGTACACAATTAGTTACCATCTGAAAATGTTATATACCATACCTATGAACACTGAGGAGTATGTCCCAATCCTCATAAACTACATCCATGTCTTGGGTAAGACAAACTATGTCTGACAGCAAGGCCTCTGATCAGGAGGTTTTGAGGAGCATAGAACCACCTCATAATTGCTGGTGTTCCCAGGTCCACCTTGACCCTGGGTGGTAGCACCTGTTAGGGTCCCAGCTATGAGCATTTAGTTAATTGCTAAACTAGGGTCAAAACATTATGAAAAATGTAAAAATAGGTTTTAATGCCAGAAATACTTTTTTTGTAAAAAAAATTATTACCAGCAATAGATTTTTGAAGAAAAAAAAATATTACCAACAATAAAAAATTTTGTTGGCATTAAATAACCCATCAAGTTTGATATGCCATAAAACAATCCTCATAAATATGTTGGACACTATTGTAAGTGGGGGTAATATGCTGGCAGCGTGAGCAGCTCTTGCTGTGTCAAACTCTTGGTAGAGAGGAGCCTATGCCGAAGGGTAGTCTCATCCAAAGAGGTAGACAGATACCCGATCCCATGTATGTGGAGTCTGTGGGCAATTCTTGCTCAAGCTCATGGGCTTGGATTTCCCACACATTAAATTTGACCTTGTGCCACTTCCTACCTCGTGGGGAGACAGGTAAATATCGTAATATGCTGTCTAAGTAGTCCACCACTAGCAGTGTTTTACATATTTCACACTGCTGGCGAGTATTGTATTTTATTGTTATAAAAATTACTATTTCATTTCCAACCTCCATTTTGGTTATTTCGTATTTAGTAAGCATTCCTAGGTTACATCATAATATAATCAGAATTTATTTTGATCTCCTTTTTTGAAGACGTCTAAAATTTTAGCATTGACTGCAGGAAAATGGAAAATTTCATTCACTACCTGATGAGGTGGGTGGGGTGGAAATATTTTTGTACATTCATATGATAGGTTGAATTTTTAGTTTATGTGCTCTGGGTTTATAGTGGCATTTAGTAAAATATCTAAGCCATCAATTTAAATTTTTTATTCTAAATACCTGTATTAAATCAAGTCTGACGTTCAGTTTCCAGTAAGAAATGGCTGAAGAATTTTAGAATTAATCAGTTAAAATGTAACACCAGTCAGTCCTTATCTTCAGAATGCTTTTCATTCTTCTCACAGAATTTCAGAATTACCCCAGAAAACATCCAAATTTCATCCCCTAGGATTCCTGTGACTCAGATTCAAGATCACTCCTAAATGAAGAAGTTGAAAACTTTAAATTTGACATTGTTAAAGCATAGCTGCCAGTAGTCTACCCAGGTTTTATTGGTCTTGCTGAAATCTTTTTTTTTTTTTTTTCTCTGATTCCTAATCTTTGTGGCATCTGCATACATGTTATAACTTGAATTAACTACCTATGGCATGTCTGTGATTGTGACAATAAACAAAACAGGATCCAATACACACTCCCTTGTGTTACTTCACTAGTGAAAAGCTCAAATCTGGATAAACAATAATTCACAGAAACGAGCTTAGAAGTTGATAATCCAGTCTTTGATGATTCTCATGATAGCATTTTATTCAAGATGTGGAAACAAGTCTAGAATATTGGAAAAGCCAAGATAACTACATCTACTAGCATCCTTTCATCCAAAAACTTAGTTCATCATCAGGTACTTTCACAAGATTTATAACACCTGATCTTTTCAATACAAATCTCTGCTGACTAGGTACCATCAAACTGTTCTCTTGAATGTAGTCCATTATTCTGCCTATACTCATCAGGTTATCAGGCTTTTAGTTTGTTTCTCTTGCTCTTCTGTAATATATGAGTAAAATTGGTTTCTTTTCATATCTCTGACAGTTTCATTTCTTTTATAGACTTCTCAAATATAGTAATATGAGCTGTTTCCTTATATGGAGACATTCTGCATTCATTGACAGATTCACCAATGCTACTTTAGTTACTTTTTTTTTTTTTTTTGTTCCTAGTCTGATGATCATGGAGCAAAGTGTACGGTTCTCCCCTCTAATAGTAATATTAGCAGTTTCCTTATATGGAAACCTTCGTTATTCATTGACGGAACAGCTGGTGATACTGTTGGTTGAAATTTATAAAATCATTCTAATAAAACAAATTTTCAGGAAAATAGGTTTCTCAAGTCCAGTAACTGTTATTGCTCTTTCAAGTATTGAGGGTGGGGGCATTTATTCTTAACATTTCATTAGAATATCAAGGTCTTGATTATATCAGTTTTTTTCTAACCTTCTGCTTACTTTCTGATTTTTCAACCACCCCCCCTCATTATTTCCCCCTTTTATTTGGCATGTGAGCGTATGATTTGCAGAAGAAATTTGAAAATGGGATATTAGTGTAAAGACAAATGTCCTGGCAGACAGTAACGGAAAAATGAGTGTGTCACTAAAGATGTTTTAATAAATTTTAAGAGTTTCTTTACAGATCTTAAATGGTAATGTTATTATTAGCCAGTTCCTTACATGAAAACATTCTGCATTCATTGAATAAACCCCTTAATAAATAAATTACTAAATAGGATTGACAAGATTATTTATAGGAAAAAAGATGCTGTAATAATTCTATGCAGCATATTGAGACACATTGGCATACAAAGGAATAGAAAAACTGACAAAATGGCAAAGGAATCGCTGAACCTGGCCCTCTCAAATATAAAGGTTATACACTGATTTCCGATGTACTATAAACAGGACCATTAAAGAAAATGGCTGCAGTTATAGGACAACTGTCAAAGCAAGAAATTACACAACATCCGACCAATCATTAGTAAAAGACAGTCAAGTTTCAGAAAGATAAGGAAAGAAGAGGTTGTATTAGCCAGACTCTGTATAGGACACACATATAACCCACCAAGATCTAAACATATGAAGAACTGCTAGTATGTGTTTCATGCCAGGAACCAATGTTAAACACATGCTACTAAATTGCTATAACTTTCAGCAAACCCGAATCAATCTTTAAAAATCGGATAACTTAAAGAATCTATTTGAAAATACTGATCCAAGTAACATCATAAATTTCATTAAAGAAATTAGGCTCTATAGGAAAATATTAAAAAAAGCACTTTACCAATTATTCCTACCTACATTGTTTTGTAACCAATTTTATGCAACCTACAATTCTCAAGAAAAAAACAAACAAACTGTATTTGGTCTATGGCACAGGTTCAGATTGCTGAGGATGGAATGTTTTAAAAGAAGAAACAAATTTTTAAAAAGATTAATTGAGGCTAAACACAGATTGGGTTTTGTGAAAATGTCTTTTTCTTTTCTCTACATTTTTAAACAGTTTAACTTCAATGATAAAAATCTAGTCTCAATTAAAGAGACTAAAAATGAACAGTTATTTTTGTAATTCTTAAACTGACATAATTACTGTAAATAATAAAAGAATTGTTTTAAATGATTTTTGGATGAAATGAAAATAATTTATTATCATGGTTAAGAGATTTTCATGGAGTACGAAAACTTGCATGTTGCTATCTGAACTTTTATTTTTTATTATTTGCTATTGAATTGCCAAAAGGTTCCTACACTCATTGCTTATATAATCTTACCACCTGACAGAATGATGCTTAAAACTTTTTACTAACACTAAATCTTGCAGTAAAACTGAAATATTTCTAGTTCTCTGCTGCTTCAAAGATATTTCTCATCTCACCTAACCAGTGGCTATCCTGTAAAATGAAAAAGAGAAACTTTTCAAGTGTGTGTTTTTGTTTGATTTTTATTTATATTTTCCCTTATTGTCTTCCTCCTCCAACCATTTTTGTCCAATTTTCTCTTTTCAAAACTGTGATATAAAAACTGTAAATGAAAGAAATAAAATTCATGCAAAATAAATTACATGTGTTAGTGGTGTGTTTTTATTTTTATTTAAAAATTTTTTTTTTTAACCACCCAAATGACTGTAAGACAGGAAAGGATTCTTGTCAAGGTCAGTGATGGGAGTAATATTTGCTATTGCTGCTGTTACTTGTGTATGTAATGTAATGTAATTAGGGGAAAGTGGTTTTTTTCCAGCAGCCCAATCACACACTCCATTAACCATTATATCATAAAATGGAATTGAGATTTTGTTTGTCAATATACCTAGCAATAAAATAGTGCAAGGAAATAAGTGGGGAGTGAAAGCAGGTAATTTACACATATATATATATATATATATATATATATATATATATATATGTAAGCAAATATATGGATATAGATCCAACAGTATGAAGAAAAATATCCGGAAAAAACAAACAAAAATCCTTATATGCAATTATGCTGTTTTAATTT